TCGAATAATGTTAGTGAGTCAAAATAATGCTTTGCATCGTATTAAGACTAAAAAGACTCGTTGTACATGCCATTTTTCTACATTAAATTCTTCCATGGCAATAAAAAACATTCTAAATTCAGCAATGTTATGTTGGATTTTGCATAGATTAGATTATAATAATACATTTTATTTAAGGCACCTTTCATGGCGCTCAAGGACACCGTACAAAATACATAAAGACAGTAAACAATCAATCCAGTACAGCGACAAACATTGAATCACATGTAAGCCTGCCTAAACAGATATGTTTTAAGTCGAGATTTAGAAACTGAGAGACTAAAACTGTTACCGGAGGAGAGTTCCATAAACGGGGAGCAGCATAGCCAAAAGCTCGGGACCCCATATTAGTTTGTGTGCGTGGCAAAACATGAGTAAGTGCAGAAGCAGATGTGTATATGAAGAAGATCTATAAGATGAAGTAGCCAAATTGTTAAGTGCTTTTAAGTCAATAGTACGATTTTAAAATAGCACAGAATTTGACTGGGAGCCAATGCAAGTTCCGTAAAACAGAGAAATGTGTTGGAAGATGGAAGTATTGATAATGACTTGAGCTGCAGTATTTTGTATTAACTGTAATTTATGAAGAGATTTGCAAGGAAGCCCATAATACAAAGCATTACAAAAGTCAATTCTTGATGTTACAAGAGCATGCATAAGTGTGGTAGTACTCTTGAGTGAAAGGACAGGACGCAGATGATTTTTGAACTGGTAACATTATTTATGTGAGATTTAAAAGATGGAGTTGTGTCAAGAATGACACCCAAACTATTAACCTGATTCGACAGAGATACAGAACACTTATCTATTACCGTAGAAGAAATATTCGACTTACTTATTGTATTTTTTGAACCAACAAGAAGAATTTCTGTTTTACTGCTGTTCAATTTTATAAAAATTACTTGAAAACCAATTTGTTAATTCTAGGGCTGTCAAACGATTAATCGCATCCAAAATAAAAGTTTGTGTTTACATAATATATGTAGACCGCACTGTGTATAATTATATATATATATATATATATATATATATATTAGGGCTGTCAAATGATTAATCGTGATTAATCACATCCAAAATAAAAGTTTTTGTTTACGTGATATGTGGGTGCACTGTGTATAATTATTTTATATATATAAATACACACACATGCTTGTATATATTAAAGAAATATTTCCATGTATACACTGTATATAGATTTATATATAAATTATATTATATATAAATATAGATATTTTATATATAAATATTTTTTTCTTAAATATACGTGCACATGTGTGTATTTATATAGTTAACATAGTTATACTGTGTATAATTATACACAGTTTACCCACATATATCATGTAAACAAAAACTTTTATTTTGGATGTGATTAATCATGATTAATCATTTGACAGCCCTAATATATATATATATATATAAATACACACACATGCTTGTATATATTTAAGAAATATTTTCATGTATATACTGTATATAGATTTACATATAATTTATATTATATATAAATATAAATATTTTATATATAAATAATATTTTTTTCTTAAATATACATGCATGTGTGTGTATTTATATATATATATTATAATAATTATACACAGCACACAAACATATATTATGTAAACACAAACTTTTATTTTGGATGCGATTAATCGTTTGACAGCCCTAGTTAATTCACTTAAGCACTCAACAAGAGCAGAGGAGGGAGACTTAGAAGAAATATCATATTTCTTAGAAATGCTGCCAATAGGTAAAAGATAAATAATAAACAAAAGAGGTCCTAAAACAGAACCCTGGGGCACACCAGTGATAACAAAAGTGGGTTTTGATTTAAGCTGTTTTAGTTGTACGAACTGAATGCGATCTGTGAGATAAGAATGAAACCATCTTAAAGCCATACCAGTAATTCCAAATAAATGGGATGTGAAATGGTGTCAAATGCTGCTATAAGGTCAAAAATTACAAGTATTGATAGAAAACCAGCATCAGCCGCTAGTAATAAATCATACCGTAGATATAGTGATAACATTTATGGCGCTTCTTTTTGTTTATGTTGAAACAAATTGACATTGAAAATAATTCATACATTGAATTGACATCACAGATCAAATAAATATCAGGGTTGTAGATTGTCATTTTTTATTGTGTAAATACAGTGAATAAACAAGGCAAGTAACAGACATTCCACAGCCATAAATTTGAAATGTAAACAGGTATTAAATGAGGAACATCACTGTGGTATTAAGACTTTTTGTCCTTTTAGGTATATTTTTTTTAGTTCTATTATTTTGATAGAACCCAATCCAAAACTAAACAGTAAATGAAAAGTAGCAAAAACATTGTCTGTGGAAAATCCAGTGCAAAGATCTGAACACATTGGCATTATATCATTTTTTTTTTAATTAACATAGCAAGTAAAGTGCTTGGATGAAAGGCGAAAATCGCTATCACCTATTCCAATGAGATCCAAAATACTGATTTAACGATCCAAACTGAATACATGGATAGTTCACCCTTACTGTACTAAACGGCTATGCAATACAGGTTGTGGATTTCTGTATTTAATGGCCAGAGATCCAATGAAGGACACCCCAAATGCCCTTTTACTAAAGAAGGCACATGATCGGTATGTTTCAATTGATTTTCTTCTAAGTTGTTTATACGACTCTGAGGTATTTGTTACATAGTGTCACTTTAAAGCTTACTTGTATAAACTTTATTTTATAAAAAAAAAAAAAAAAACTCTACAAAATCAATCACTTTGTTTTGTCCATGCTCAAAGATTCTTATATTACAAGATAACGTGAGGCACTCTTGGATAGAACAGCCTTTGAAATAATGCCCCTTTTTTTAAACATCTAAAACAATCGCTTGTTTATAAATAGACATATTAAAAACAAAATCATTTTAACATAGTACAATTTGCAGTTTTTCAGCCTTTGGCCACGCAAACAATTATGATTCTTCAGCATGTGATTCCCAGTCTTCTAGTTTTAAGAAAAAAGTACAAAGTCTCTGACCCTGAATTATTAATCATTGGCATTTTTCCCTCTGCCCTATTATCTCAATGGCAATGAAAATGAATCTCTGTCAACGACTGCGCAAAATACAGTCCGTGCAGTCAATACCAGAAATTTTGGCTTCAAGTTGATATGGTTGGAATTCAACCATGCTAGAAACACGAGAGAAGTCTTTTCGATATATTTTGCATTGACTTGCATTGAGGGTCTCGTCTGCATTGTCTGCCTCTCAGCTGACCGGCGAAGACGTTTATCTTCAGATGGCGGTCAGAACAGCAGACTGCAGCTCAAAGGCCACAAAAACATGTGGAATCCACTGGCTCCAGCAAGCATGTAGTATAAAGAGAGACTCCATCTCAGACGAAGCTTTCTATTGGCTTCTCCATGTTCTCTTTAGTGGACAGAGGGCTGAGGGGGGCCATGTTGACCCCGGTCTCTTTACGACGAATGGAGCTGTCTGAGTGGTCGTCACTTTGGTCCTTGGCAAAGTTAACAAACACCTGTATATTGAGGAGAAGAGTAATCACAGGATGAGAAAAATATACTGTAATAGTTCATAATATTTAACAAAGACCTATTATGCTTTTCTCCAAGCATGAAAAAGTCATGAAATGTCGCTCTAAATGATATTCTCTAGATCAGTAAGCACTTTTTCTGAACTCCCTGAAACGATTGATTGATTGATGGATTGAACATACACGTCACAATATTTAAATAATTCAAGGCATAGAGAGGAGCTGCGACAATGTCAAATATGTAACAAAATATGTTTTTCAGGGTTTCTGTGAGTCTTAAAGGTTTTTAATCAGGAATTCATGAAGTCGTGGCATTAAATGTTACTTGCATTGCAAAAAAATTGATTCTGTTTTCCAATACAAATATTTCAATCAATATACATTCACTTTAGATGCAAATAGAAAATACAGTCTTGAAAATTAATACTATTCTGTGAGTTTATGACTAAAACAAGAACAAATATCTGTGTTAATTTGAAAGTTATGAAAACCCACTGAGCCCACTGGTAGATATTTGTTCTTGTTTTAATCATAAACACAGAAAACAAGACTTCATATTTTATATCATATTGTATCTCCAGTAAATCTTTAGACATTTTCACTGGAAAACAAGAACATCACTTTTTTAGCAGAAGGTACAATTATTTCTGTATTCTGGTGGTTGGGAGAAAAGCGATTAAAACAAATGTAGTGTATGTAAAATTAATTCAATACAGATATCTGTAGGAAGTTTTGCTACAACTCAAAGTTTTTCTTCCTCGACATTTACATTTAGAGATCACGTTGACGTATTGAGTTCCCTTCAATTTTTTTTTTACCTGGTCTTAAAAAGGTCTTGAATTTACCTACATATAACATGCAGAAACCATGTTTTTTTTATATTCAAGCATAAAAACCTATTCAAGTGCCCCAAAAATAAAATTCAAGACTTTCTAGAAGAGCATAATATTGCCTCTTTAACTACAAAAAATGAAACATGAAATAAAAGAATAAAATAAAACGTGACTGCCTATGTAACTGTAAAGTAAATTTTTTTATCAAAATTCAAATCTTTACTTTTCTGTCAATTAAATCAGCTCACTTTTCACAAACATTATTTACTGCTAAATATTCTCTTTCCCTCTTCAAGTGAAATGTGTTGTGAATGCCATGTGTTAACCGTTGACTGTGCTAACTAGATGTGCCTGTGTTATCTGTTGTTTGGAAATGCCCTCTCACCTGGTCCAGAGTGGTCTGGGACACGGAGTAGTCCTCTATCCTGAGAAACTCTTTATTCTTGGCGAGAATGCTGAAGATGTGAGAGAGGGAGGTGAGGGAGGAGGGAAGCTGGTATTGTAGCATGTTTCTGTGTTTCTCTTTCAGTGTGCTGCCCGGCAGCTCGCACTCGATGAACTTCATCACCGGCTGCAGGTCAGGATCTGGCCCTGCAACCCTCAGAATGATGGTGTACCCATCGCCAAATCTGGAGGAAGATGAGCAAGAAATATGCGTCAAATCTAGAAATGCCCAGAAAGAAACTAATGTTTGTTTTATTCTTAATTATTTTTGCGGTTCTGCTTGACGTTGCTAGTGTGCAGAAATGAGACACTGTACCTTTAAGTAATTACTTAGCGATTTGTATATATTAAGTAACGTTTTTCAGTTCTCTGATTGGTGGAGATTTCTTTGCAGAATCATGTAGTTTTTCTCCAAGAATTCCACTGTTAAGCAGGATTATTTAAAAAAACAAGTTGGAATAATGTGGACTAATGGCTTTAAACAAAGCATTGATTAACTACCTCGGTGAAGAAATATAATTGATTTATACTTCTGGAACCTGACCTTTGCACTCTGTATTATTGGTGATCTTACCTGTTCTTCAGGTGCTGGACACTACCCAGACAGCGGAACCTGCCGTTCACCATGATGGCCATCCTGGTACACAGCGCTTCACATTCTTCCATGCTAGGAGTGGACAGGACACGGGTTAGTATGGAAGAAAATATATGAAATACTGCCTCCTAGTGATAGGTGGAAGTCTAACCTAAGCATGAATCTAAGGTAAACTAAGTAGACATTCAAAAGAACCCGTTTTAGAGGAAAACAAGAGTATCAGCCCTGCTGTCTAGAGACATCCGACTTTGTGTTCTTGTTTAGAACAGGAGATTTCTGGAAATCTTAAACTTTCAATGGAGGGACAGAAATCTATATTCTCCCAAAACTCTGATGGTTCAAAACCTTAATAATGAGATCATAAAAGAAATTCAGTGTTTTAATCAAAATCTAATCCTTTATATGGCGAACATATTTAATTTAGGCTTTATTTCACATATAAACATTGATCAGCAAACATACATGGGAACTCAATTTTTAAACACATGTACTATGGATGTTCGCTGATCAATGTTTATATGTAAAGTTCAGACCATCAGAGTTTTGGGTGAATAGACTTTCTGTGGACGGACAGAAAGCTCTCAGATTTCATTAAAAAAATCTTCATTTGTATTCCTAAGATAAAAGGGAGTCTTATGAGTTTGGAACCACATGAGGGTGAGTTATTAAAGGAGTAGTTCACTTTTTAAAAAAAACTTTTGCTGATAATTTACTCACTCCATGTCATCCAAGATGTCTTTCTTTCTTCAGACGAAAAGAAATTAAGGTTTTTGATGAAAACATTCCAGAATTTTCTCCATATAATGGTCTTCAATGGGAACCAAACGGTTCAAGGTCCAAAAGACCGTTTCAGTGCAGCTTCAAAGGGCTTTAAACGACACCAGACGATGAATAAGGGTCTTATCTAGAGAAACGATCGGCCATTTCAAAAATAATTAAAAAAGTTCAAGTTTTATAAGCACAAATGCTCGCCTTGCTCTGTTCTGTGATGCGCGTTCGTGACTCTCCTGTTCGAACTCAACAAATGAACAAATCTTCGAGTAATGACTCGAAGGGTCCTAGATAAGAGCCTTATTCATCGTCTGGTGTCGTTTAAAGCCCTTTGAAGCTGCACTGAAACTCTTATTTGGACCTTGAACCGTTTGGTTCCCAATGAAGTCCTTTATATGGAGACAATTCTGGAATGTTTTCTTCAAAAACCGTAATTTCTTTTCAACTGAAGAAAGAATGACATGGATATCTTGGATGACACGGGGGTGAGTAAATTATCAGCAAAAGTTTTTTTTAAAAGTAAACAACTCCTTTAATGACAGATTGATAATTTTTGGGTGAACTATTGATTTTAATAATACCTGTATAAGTCCACTGTTAGTGTTCATTTTAAGAGCATAAAGTTTGATGTTATTAGGGATATTCTGATAAATGTACCTGTGAGAGGTAAGCACGACGGAGCGTCCTTCTTTGATGACGCTGTGAATGCAGTTCCACAGTGCTCGTCGTGCCTTCGGGTCCATTCCTGTGGTGGGCTCGTCCTGTAATCAAAAGCACAGCCACACTCAGATTTGCCCTCAGGCTCAACAGGAAACACACACTGAACAGTAACATAAGCGAGAAGAACGGATCACTTCCTCGCATGAAACATATTCAGTATAATGCTCAGTCATATTATTGATTTGACTGCACTGGCACTATTGGATCAGAATTGAATTGAGCTTGATGATACACTATTGTCTTCTGCATAGCTAATTATAGCTGAATTGAACTAATTTCACAAAATTTTGCAATAATGACACTGAACACTGTTATTGAACTGAATTGAATTAACATTGAACATACTCAAAGTTAATAACTCTATTATCTTGTGTAGAGCCACCTGAACAGCTCAGTTGAACTTTTTTCATGATTGAAGTACTTTACAGTGTTGAAAACTGAACTGAGTTGAATAATGACCCGGTCGTCTTTTTTAGAGCTGATTTACAGCAGATTTTGAATTCCATCGTTGATTTTGTTATTTTCTACTGTGAAGCTGCTTTGAATAAGTCTGTATTGTATAAAGCGCTTTATAAATTAAGATGACTTGATGTGTATCGCACTCTCGAGTGAAGCAAAACGTGCCTGTTCTTACGTGATTTTTGTGTAATCCACCCCTTTATGAAGCCTCTCTATAGGCAATGGCAAAAGAGTTCAGGGTAATTTAGCTCTAGGGGTGTTATAATCCTGAACTCCTTATACAACCAGAGCGAGAAAACCAGCTGAGAGAATAATCAAACAGTGGTCATGTGATCCCGACTTATGCTGTTTTTGTTGATCAGTTTACAGACATTCACCCAAGGAGGCACAAGACTTAGAGCCAGTTATGTAAGTGTGTTTGTGTGTTTGAGGAAATGCACATACCAGGAAGACCACTGGAGGGGCTCCAATGAGTGATATGGCGGTGGAGAGTTTGCGCATGTTGCCGCCACTGTAGCTTCCTGCGTTTTTGTCCACGTACTTCACTAGACCCAGTTTACGGATTCCCCACTCTGCAACCTGCCAGAGGTACAAAACATCAGTACAACCACATGACACTTTAATAGTTCATATTAGAGTTCAAAAGATGTTCAGTATATATATTTTTTGAGGTTAATCTAACCTCATCATTATTATATACGTAATATGACAAAAGAACAAAAAGTTTTCATTCTTAATGGTGATTTGTCATTACTATAATCCAGTATTTTTTTTTTCCTTTTTCATGTTTTTGTTTTTTTAAATCAGAATAAATTGAAGAAAGTATAAATACTCTTTTATGCAGAACAATAATGCGAAAATGTGCTTAATTGTCATGCCAAACTGCAATAAAAGAAATCTTCATGGTCCTAAAGTTTTTTTTTTTTTTCAAAATGTACTTAATGCAAATAAATATAAATATTTGTACTGTAATTCACTTTATTTTTAGTGGCGATTATTACTGTACTATAGTATTCCTTAAAAATGTTTATATTTTTATACACTGTTTCTTTTTTTTAATTAGCATATACTGAAGGCTGTATTAATACTTAAAAGTTTTTGCATTTTGGTAATGAAAAAAACAACAACAACAACAACAACAACTTAATTGGCATGTCAAATTTGGGTATTGGGAGGGTGGAGGTGAAATATGGCCCGGGCATGTGAGATTCACCACAAAAGTCTAATGATATTATCTAAAAAAAAATAGTCAATACTTAATTAAATGTGCGTGATAGTTTATAAGCTCTGCCCACCTCACAGACTTCATTCTCAGGTACACCGCGCAGGATGGCGTAGAATTCCAGGTGTTCCCGTCCTGTCAGCAGATCATTGATGGCGTCAAATTGAGGGCAGTAGCCCATGTTCTGATGTACTTCATCTATTTCCCTGAGAATACTGAGACAAGAGAAAGCAGCGTCATCAAAAACAAGCAACCACAGAAGTATAGACTAAGCTGTAATGAGGAAGTAGCATCTGTTCTCATCACTTATTTGTATGTCTACCTTTTTCCAGCAATGAATGCTTCTCCTTTGGTGACCACAGAGTCTCCGGTCAGCATTTTAAAAGTACTGGTCTTTCCGGCTCCGTTGACACCAAGCAGACCAAAACACTGAAAGCAGAGCAAAACAGACATCAGTTTCTATTTGTACAGTTGCTGTGAAGAAGTGTGACTCATCCGTCATGATTTACCTCTCCTGGAGGAATTCCCACACATAGACGATCGACAGCGGGCTTCTGTTTTCGCTTGTACACCTGGAAAAGAAAAGAATGACAGATCGATGAGGGCACCTTTATTTTAAAGGCTAAAATTGATGTCTGTGATCATCAGCTGAGGTTTTCTGCTGACCTTAGTAAGTTGTCGGAGTTCAAGAATGTCTCCTTGTTTAGCTCCATTCATGATCCTCTGCCTCTCTCTGGCCACATCTTCATCTTCCTCTCCAATCGGACTCAACTTAGCACTTAGAGACCTACAGGAAATGGACAAACCATCACTTTAGATCGTCTAAAATGCTAAACTATGTTCAACCATAATTTCATGAAAATGCAATTTGTTTTCTTTCGGAATATCATGTTGTGATGATGCTTACTTGGGTTCAAAGAAGAAACGATACTGGATGAGGACTGTTATGATGAAGAAGACCGCTCCTTCCACAGCCATAGCAAAAAGATTCTTGCCTACCATGTCCCATTCCAGTGGAGAACGGAAACGGTTCTCGCCTAATGCAAGGAAAGAGAGCGTTCAGCATCTATAACAATGACCCTTGCAGTAGTTACAGTTCTGAGAAACGCTGAATCGGACCGAGCAGCACGACACGCTTGTAGCCAATCAGCAGTAGGGGGCGTGTCCAATCATGATGGGGTAGGAGAGAGTGAGCAAGAGGGAGATTTGAACTGAAGAAAGACTGTAGAAAGAGAGATGGTGAGAGACATTACAAAAGGGAAAAGTTCAGAGGGAGATAACTGGACAAAGAAGGCTTAAGGACCTGCTTTAATATTAGAAAAGCAAAGGCCTGACAGACGCAGAGGTTGCGTTGTTTCTGGTCCATACATGCGTAACGTCGGTTTTTCAGAAACGTTTGTTTCACAGAACCAAGATATGGTGTCGTTTTAATGTTAGTTATAGAAACAGGACAGTTTTGAGTGTCATTGTTTGTCTAGAGCTGGTGTTCTGTTGGCAACTAACAAACAACTCTTGCTTGTGTTCTGTATGTTAATTTTTTTGTTTATCAACTTCAATTCATTTTTTTCCTTCGCTTCAGCTATGATAAAGAGACTTTTCTTGCATTTGTGATATGATTTAAAAAATCAAGTGTTTCTCAGAAATCGTTTACATCTTTAATACACAGACCACAGAACTAATAAACTTGTCATTCATCAAGTTTATGAGGTCAGACTATAAACTTCATTGATTTAATTCTCGTAATCAGTCTGCAAAAATTTTAAATTTAAAGTGGAGCAAGCTAATCTTACCGAATCTCTCCATAGCGTCAGCCATGGCCTGATTCTTCACCATGTCGATGAGACCTCGACCCAGGCAGAAGTGCGGGAAGATGAGCAAAACGTTCTTCAGGATGTCGTTAATGCCACCAATCTCCTGTGGAAGAGGATGAGAGGTGTCAGAATTACTTACCCCTCAACAACACAAATAGCAGGACTGCATTAGGATGAAACCAAAAAAGTATTTTCTCACATTGTTTCCAAATAACTCCATGACAAATGTGGAGACGCTCCCATTGATCCCAATGAGAATGTTGACGCTAGTGAGAACCACATAAGCGGTGCTGGGGATTTTGAAGAGGAAAGAAGCCGGGTACATGAGAGGAGTGATGGACCATCTGAGGAGAGACAAAAATAATTATTCATCATGAGGGGAAATGCTTTGCACATTGGCAGTGTATTCTGACCCCATGTCAGGTCGTAATCAGTCTATCTTGGAGACAGATTTTGCAAAAACAAACACAAAGTATTTCTTTTTCTATTTTTTTATTCCATTTCTTTTATAATTGCTATCTAACATACTTTACAATTTCATTCTACCCACCCACCCCCATGTTCTTTTTTTAATTATTTTTTATTTAACATTTTCTACTAAAAACATACTTTATAATTTATAATATATTACACGTCTATGATGAATGTAGTTCTAATGTAGAGTCAATTTATGGGATATTATGAAGTATACCTATAAGTTATCGCCTTGTTGAGGTAATTAAACTAGCTTCATATGAATGTCTTTATCTGTCTTACCCATATAGAAGCAAAAGAAGAGCAAGAACAGGCAAGTTGGTGGCGGAGACGTAGGCTTTTTGTTGGAAGCAGACAAAGATCAGGATCACCAGAGTCGCAGGAACGACATAATTGCACTAAAACAGAAAGCAGACAAAAATAAGATTAGAGGATTTGGGTCAGCAGCCAAGTAGGTGAGTGCATTAAGGCATATGAAAGCAAAACCAGACACTCACCATATCCCAAAGAAAATTGGCCAGCCAATAGAGGTATGGCTGAACTCCGCTGATAAACTGCATATGCTTGGCCTTATTCACTCGTTCCTGAATAAGAAAGACAACAAAGCTGGCGGGAACGAAGGACATAGCGAAGATCACACAAATGGAAACCAGCACGTCCACTGAAGTGGTCATCCTGAAATGGCATAAATCAGAGTTGAGAGATTAGAAAAACATGATCGTCCTTAAGAAATGTTATTTAAATGTAATCAATCTTTCAATGCTTACAGGGCCACTTGAGAAAGCTGTTCTTTGGTCAGATTGAGCGGATGGTTGAACGCCGTGATGCCAAACTGACGGGGGTCTTTACCAGGTGGTAAGTTGGCACGCAAGATGCCATTGTTCATTACATTGAGGAATGCTCCAATACTGTGCCAGCCCTTGTTATTGAACCATATCTGAAAATAAGAACGAAACCCCAATAAAGATCACTCCAAGTAGACTTTAAATATAAAATAGATTGTCTTCAATGGGTGTAAAATAGCAGTCGTCCAGTTGTCACTCACTTTGACATTATTCTTAGTGTCCAGCCCATTGATGAAGGCAGACAGGCTTTTCAAGAAACGGTCGGGAGCTGATCCGGAGTTCTAAAAGGGTAGGATAAGAAGAAATACTTTACGCACTATTCCTAAAAGATGTTTGATTCATATCGTGAGAATCAGCTTTTTGGTTTACCTTGCCCAGTTGGAAGATCTCCCTGACTCTAGAGATGGCATCATCAATCTCCTCAGCAGGAGGAAGTACCTGAGTGCTTCTAGCGCCCAATGAATATCCTCCATACCTGAATTCGTTCACCCAGATCTTGTTCTTTAAGCTTTAAAAGAAACCATTTGTTTACCCATCGAATGGCTGTATTGAACTATTTCATGTAGATACAAAATCTGCCCATACCTTTTCCCAATGATCTGTGCGTAAGTCTTCACTAGATAGTCTGAGATGTTTCGTCCTGTCAGGTTCTGGAGAGTCTCAGTTTCACTGATCTTAATCTGAGGAGGTGGCAGTCCACCAGCACCGGCAGGGCATTCTGGGAGCATCTTCTTTTTGCCATTACAGCTGCACGCACAAGCGGGCGATGGGTTGTCCATGGTCCAGTTTGTCATTGTGAAAATGTCCATCAGGCTTTGTGGCACTTCTGGTGTAGACCATTCCTCATCGCCCATTGTACAGGGATTCTCACTAAAACCATTGGAGAAGACAGGCTTAGTTTTTTTCCAGATTAAAAAAAAAATATTAACCGTTGCAAGAAAATCTTGGTTTTTCATATTCTCAAAGTTCCTTACAGAATTGGTTCTCCTTCCATGCATCGTGTTCCAAAGCCAGGATCATCTAATAAGGCGTTGAGTAATTTTTGTGTGCTTATATCATGTGGAGCATCATCACTATAACAAAAAATGACCGTATTTAATCTAAATTGTTTCCTGCAAGCTTTTTGAATTTATGTTTGTTGTCCTTGCATACCTGATGAATGTGATTTGTTCTTCATACATCCAGGGATTAAGAGCCAGGCTGGGATATTTTCCAAATGGTGGCACAATTAGACTGAATACTAGAGCGATGCACACAAACACAGCGGGAAGAACGATCTGCAAAGAGAATCAAAGTGAGTTGAATCTACTTTTGGGAATCATAGAAACCATTGACACCAATAGTCTCTAATCTCTACTTAAAGTCATGAACTGGCTTTTTATATTGTTGTCTGAGGTCAACCTATGACGTTCACTTGGTTTTTACATTCAAAAACATCAAAATGATTAAGTAATAGGCTATTTTCTACCCTAGTTTTGAGTCTAGCTGAAAAACGCTCGGTTTTTATGGGCGTCTCGCATTGAAGACTTGGAAGTAAACGCCCACTGCTGTGAGTGGATAACAGTTTTGCATATTATAATGAGTTTCAACTCACTCGTCAGTGCACGTGGGGGAAATTGCTTTTAAAGCTTCCAATAATGTAAAATGGCAACCGGAATGATTCGCCCATACATGTTCGACCCAGAGTCCGTGTGTTGCATCATTCCTGTCAGATCCAAAATAGACGGCACAGCACCATTCTTTAATCTTAATCGGTCAGCAAATCCAGTCTCGAGTCGACCTGTGTCTTGTTTATGAAACAATCCTCAGTGAAATGAAGCGAACAAACTGACAATGTTTTTAAATGTTTTATCAACTGGAACGTCATTAAAAATAAAGTTTAACCATGCAGTCCTATTGGAATCCAGAGGAAGCTTATGCAGCGACTGTCGTCTTTCACAACCAGGCACGGCACAATATTTTGTAAACGGCATGTTAATTGCTCGGTAGCTCAATCCAGTTTGTCCTCACGAGGTAGGCTATTTAGCTATGCGCGAATCGGTGGGCGGGGCTAATGGCCGTGTTGAACTAGGCGTTGATCTTCTTCTGCGGGGGTGGTGTTTTAGTTCCCCACTTTGAAAAAACAGTCGTTTGCTGAGTCTGGTGTCAATACAAGCTTTTATGGGACTAACGAGGACGTTTTCAGTTCTGAAACAGGATATTCTTATAATATGATGACCTCTTAGATGTCAAAAGCGCAAGGAAAATTTGATTTCTCAGTTCATCACCACTTTAAGCTTATGTTGTTTTTGGGAAACGCAGCCCAGGTTTAGTTTAATTATATTTTCCATTCTTACCTGTGCAAAAAAGCCTTTCCTTGAGCGGCGAGCAAAAAGAAATCTCTTCCATAATAATGCCACAAACTGCTGCCTCTTTAAACTCCAGCCTTTCACCTGATATGATCCCTTTCCATCAGTCACGTTGAAATAATCTGTCTCTTTGGATTCTGGTGGATCAAATATATCAACAAGAGTTGGCAACAACACATTTAAAACCAAGAATATTAAGAAGACGTGTGTCTGTCTTGAATTTAATGGCACAGTATACATTTTAGGGCTTTAAAGTTTACCTGGATCACCATAAGATTCGGTACAGTCAAAGTCATTGTCTTCGGTCAGGGGTTTGAGGCAGCTCTGGTGGTCACCGCCAAATGCATGTTGTCTATGTCTGCGCACTGGCACAGTTCCATCTAACAAAATTATCAATACAAGATGAGATCTTAACTGGCTTTTTTTTCTTTCTACTGTTTATTCCGTTTTCTAGAGAGCTAAAAAATTTACCAGAGATGATTTCTGCGTCAACTCCACTGTCCTCTGCCACTTTAAGGAAAATCTATAAAAAAATAGAAAGATCATTAAGAACTTGTATAATCGCAGCTAACATCCTAAAGATTTTTGGTGACGGATAAAACACAAGACAAGCTATTCTGTACCTCTTCAAGTGTAGTATCTGAGACACCATAGCTCGAAATTCCAAGGTCAGCGAGCCGATCATCCAGGTCTTGGAAGAGTTCAACAAAAGCACCATCTTTGGCAGACTCATACGGCAACACATATGTGATCTCATGACCGAGGTCTTCCACCATGCGGGCGGCGGGAACATACTTCAGGATTAGACTGGAGACGAGGGCCACATCAACAGGAACAACAGTAGATTCGGGCCATGTAGTTCCTGCAGAACATATTGAGCAGAGTAAAAACTTTAGTGAAGATTCAATTAGAATATGATGAAATCAACAGTTACCCATCATTTTAAACGTTGAGGTCAGGTGTAGCCTTACCAATCGCTGTGGCAGCTTCGCTCTCTTGGTCGCTACCAAGACCAGCATCTGAACTGCTGACCGACGCATTGTCTTCCTGGAAAACCAATAAAACAACTGTTTAGCTATTAGCTTCCCAACAAATCAACATGTTTTCCTTTTATTTTTGCAACCTGATGTCGACTTACTTTCTTAACGAAAGACACTGTGCTGCTCGAGTTCCTGCAAGAACTGAGAGAAGGTTCCGAGTTTTTCTTCACCAAGGTAAGATAGTATCCGGTTCCCAGTTGAGTCTTCAGAAACAGCGAGGAACCCACACAACAAAGCTTTCCATGGGAAATGATGGCAATACGATCGCCCAGAATGTCTGCTTCATCCATATGATGGGTAGAAAGAAGGATAGTGCGACCTGAAAAAATACCCACAGTCTTCTATGATTCATTTAATAAATGAGAGCTGGTTGTATTTTCTTTACATATAAAGACAAAATGGAGTCATAGCCAAATGCATAGGGTGGTTACCAGCACGGTACTTGAGAAGAAGGTCCCAGATGCCTCTACGAGCGTATGGATCCACACCAGCGGTAGGCTCGTCCAGAATGACAACTTTTGACCCTCCAACAAAAGCAAGGGCTACCGAGAGTTTCCTCTGCATACCACCTGAGGAACATATTTTAAGTTAGCAACAAATAAAACAAGCAACATATACAAATTTCAAAGGTCGTAATGCCACACACCTGATAATTGGCTGGTTCTGGATTTGCGTTTGTGTGGAAGGCCAGTATCAGTCAGAATCTGCTCCGTCTCAGCCTTCACTTCCTCCTCAGACAGACCCTTTAGACGGGCATAGAACCAGATGTGCTCTTCTACTGTCAACCTGAAATACCCCAGGCCAAGCAAGAGTGGATTATCATCCACAGAACTGAACTATACAACCTTGACATCAACTAATATGTGACTTTTTTTCAAATGTTTTTCCTTGATCGCTGACCTTGAGGTCTGATAAAGGCACTCACATGCTGAAGAGGACGTTGTGTTGTGGACACACTCCGAGGCTCCGCCTGATGGAACTCAGCTCTGAGCGAATGTCTTTGCCCATGATATACGCAGTGCCAGAGGTGGGAGGGAAAAGCCCAGTTAGGATGGACCTAAAAACATTGAAGGGTTAGATATAATAACCAAAAGGTACGATAACACTTTTTTTTATTTGAATATATTTTAAAATGTAATTTATTCCTGATTTGGTGCACAAGAAAAATCGTATTATTATCAATATTGAAAACAATTTGTGCTGTTTAATAGTTTTGTGGAAACCGTGATACTTTTTTACAGGATTTTTTTAAGAATTTACTAATTTTTAAAAAAAATTATAAATATATTTACTGCCACTTTTGAGCAATTTAATGGATCCTTCCTTGCTGAAAAAAAAACTATTAATTTCTTTTAAAAATGAACGTTACTGACCCCAACATATTGAACTGTAGTCTATTTAACTTTTAATAGCAAGCACTTCGTTGAAAATAATAATTTTTTTTTACTAATTTCAGAATGTGAACTTACATGGTAGTAGTTTTTCCAGCTCCATTGTGACCTAGAAAGGAGGTTATCTGCCCCTCATAGAAGCCAAGTGTCAAGCCATCGACTGCTAGCTTTTTTCCGTGACGGTAGACCTTCACAAGATTCTCAATGTAAACTCCCAGTTCAAGGTGAGTGGGTTCCTCTTCAATGCAAACGGCTTAAAAAAACAGCACAAAACACAATAAGTCCATTTTGTTAGTCCTCGTTTCTCATTTTGGCCAGAATTCTAAAAAACGTTTGCGAACAAAAAGGTTTCTTACCACCAGAATTGCCCTTCTTTCCATGTATTGCAGTATTATTTGTGGTTTTCTCTCCAAACCAGTAAGATTTAGTGAAGGGGAAGTACCATGGCCTGGGAATGCCATACTGCCCTGGGAATACGGTCTCAATGTACCAGGTCATGACCCCATACAAGAAGGAATCAAAGTACATGAGGATGAGGCAGGTGGTGAGGCTGTATTTGTCGTCTTCTAATGGGCTGGAGAAGAGGTTATTCCATTGGATGCCCACACCCTGCTCCTCGAACAGTGCAAAATACTCACAACCAAACCCAAACGCCACTGGAGACAGTAAGCTCTGTGGAGACAACCAAATTGGGCGTAAGTAGCGTTCTGTTTATTTCCCTCCACTGCAATGTTTAGTCAAGGTTTCATGCACCAAAATAACCAATTTAGTTTTACAGTATTAATTTCCACCCTCCATAATGCAGTTCAATTATATGGGTCTGTAAGTCTAGCTTTGCAAAAATCTGACTGGTATGATTGCTGTCGGATTAAATTGTGTACATTTGGTGTTTTTTTATATGGTTTTAGTTTGAATGAAATCAAACTGTTAAAGAGGCCATATTATGCCCATTTACAAAGTCTTGATTTTGTCTACTTACTAGAATAGGTTTTCGTGCTTAAATGTATAAAACACATTACTTATTATAACATATTTTACTTTGTTGCAGCACCTCTTTTGAGATGGTCCTCACTGCAGAACACGAAATCCAGGGGGAAGAGTTGGACCCAGATTCAACTCCTCCCACCTGACATATACCTAAACCTACCCATCTCCACCCCTGATCCCTAATCCAACCCATCTCCGCCCCCTGATCAATAACTCACCCCTAAACCTAACCATCTCCACCCCTGATCCCTAACCTCACCCCTAATCCTACCCATCTCCGCCGCTGATCCCTAATCCCACCCCTAATCCTACCCATCTCCGCCCCCTGATCAATATCCCCACGGCTAAACCTACCCATCTCCACCCCTGATCCCTAATCCAACCCATCTCCGCCCCCTGATCAATAACTCACCCCTAAACCTAACCATCTCCACCCCTGATCCCTAACCTCACCCCTAAACCTACCCATCTCCGCACCTGATCCCTAATCCCACCCCTAATCCTACCCATCTCCGCCCCCTGATCAATATCCCCACGGCTAAACCTACCCATCTCCACCCCTGATCCCTAACCCCACCCCTAAACCTACCCATCTCCGCTTCGATCCCTAACCCCACCCCTAAACCTACCCATCTCCGCCCCCTGATCAATAACCCCACGGCTATACCTACCCATCTCCACCCCTGATCCCTAACCCCACCCCTAAACCTACCCATCTCCGCTTCGATCCCTAACCCCACCCCTAAACCTACCCATCTCCGCCACCTGATCCCTAACCCCACCCCTAAACCTACCCATCTCCGCTTCGATCCCTAACCCCACCCCTAAACCTACCCATCTCCGCACCTGATCCCTAATCCCACCCCTAATCCTACCCATCTCCGCCCCCTGATCAATAACCCCACCCCTAAACCTAACCATCTCCACCCCTGATCCCTAACCCCACCCCTAAACCTACCCATCTCCACCCCTGATCCCTAACCCCACCCCTAAACCTACCCATCTCCGCCACCTGATCCCTAACCCCACCCCTAATCCTACCCATCTCCGCTTCGATCCCTAACCCCACCCCTAAACCTACCCATCTCCGCCACCTGATCCCTAACCCCACCCCTAAACCTACCCATCTCTGCCCCCTGATCCCTAACCCCACCCCTAATCCTACCCATCACCACCCCTTAGATCTGGAGCCAACTCCGCCTCCTGGATCTCGTGTACTGCAATGGGGTGATATACTGCCTCTCTTCCCAATCTGTCAGTTCCTGTCTCTATGAAGCCCCTCCTTCTTAAAAGAGCAATGTGCTCTGATTGGTCGGCTGGACCAGTGTCCTACAGTGAGTCACTTCTAAGTCTCTAATTACAAGTAACTAGGTAACCATCCAGGATCAATCCACCCTGGAACAACCCGGGGTAAAGTGCCTTCAATCAAAGTAATCTCAGTAACTCTTCACTGCTTGCTCACCTTTCACTGAACTCTTGTATTAGTGTCTCAGATCTTTAATCTATCACTACTATTTAACTAGTTTAAACAGGAACACCCCAGTGTAGATTCCCTGTAATCTAGTGTCAGCCTACAATGGGTTTAAAGTGCAATTTTACAGTTGAGATATTTTCATCGCTCATGTAAGTCATTTTAGATAAGGGAATCAGTATAAATGTGTTTCCTTATGCAATATACTGTACAATTACGTAATGCACTTACGTAAGCCCAGCACAGCAGCAACCAATGACGCTAAACACACACACACATTTGTAACTGTGAAGTTTATCTGTTTTCCATAGGTGGTCGTAACTCACAGCGATGACTTTGGCGGTGAAGCCCACGTAGTCTTGCCAAGCCACGCACAGCACATAAGGCAGGTAGAGGGTAAAGTAGATAATGCCGCCGCAGGCCGCTGCCAGGTTGGCACGTGCGAACGCAGTACTGATTAGGAAACACTGCATGATGGTTACCACAGCGAATGACCCGAGGAAGAGAAAGACTACGCCAGGGTCACTGTAGGGCAGGAGATTTCCCATCTGAAAAGGTAAAAGAAATCAGGTTGAGTATCTCTGGTTTAAACGAGTGGTTTAAACGTTTGTCACTAGCTATTTTGATACTAAAGTATTTTACATTACTTTATTAATAAAAATAAATAAAAAAATTACAAAGTTTAAGTTTTATAAGCACAAATGGTCGCCTTGCTCTGTTCTGCGATGCACCTTTGTGACTCTCCTGTTCGAACTCGTTCATCAAAATGAACGAAACGAACGAATTGATTCGGAAAAAGATTCATTCATTTTGATGAACGAATTCGGACAGGAGAGTCACGAACGTGCATCGCAGAACAGAGCAAGGCGACCATTTGTGCTTATAAAGCAAACTTTGTAATTTTTTTTTAAAATGAGCGATCGTTTCGCTTGATCAGACCCTTATTCATCGTCTGGAATCATTTAAACCCCTTTTAACATTTTGCAGTTTGTACTGAAAGTGTATTTTGGACCTTGAACCATTTGGTTCCCAATGAAGTCCATTATATGGAGAAAAATGCTGTAATGTTTTCATCAAAAACCTTAATTTCTTTTCGACGGAAGAAAAAGAAAAATCCTGGATGACATGGGGGTGAGTAAATTATCAGCAAAAGTGTTTTGAAAAGTGAACTACTCCTTTAAGCAGACGGTCTACTAATACACTATGACAGTTAGTTGACATGTACTGTAGTTGCAATGTTATAGTTAGTAGAATGAGAAAAGTGGAATATCTAATAAATATTTATTGATAAATAAATGTATTTTATTTTTAGGGGAGAAGTATGCTTCTCAAAAAGGAAATAAAATCTGCAGATGTCTTCTTAGTACCTTAAGTAGAAGAACCAGCAGGCCTGCACTGACGAGAAGAGGAATGAGGCTGCTAATAAACCAGCTGAACCACAGGATACCGTTGTCTAGTCCCATAATTCTCATGGTCTCTTTGAGTCGGGCCTCTTTCTCATAGACGACGCCTTTAATGATGATGGCCACCGAATACATCCAGGCCAGAGTCATGAAGAGAGGCATGGAGCGGCTCATAATGCGAAGGAAACTATGAGAAATGAGAAGAATTTTCAGTAATTGTTGTATAATAATGTCAGACTAGCGCTTTGGGTTTTAGATAAGCACATTATAAAATGTATTATTATGTCATTTTTTTCTGCAGGGGAAGTAGTCTCAAGGTTCCATATTTAGTGACAGAAGTGATATTTGGATAGAAATGTATTAATTTGTTATGGCAGAGTGCATACAATTAAATTCAATGTAATTCAATGGCACCCGGAGGCTATTTTTAGTATAATGGGAACTTCAAAATTTGTGATATCAACTTTAAATTTGGAACACAGCTTGGTTAGATATATAGCTTTCATTTTATAGTAATTTTATAGTAAAAAATATTTAGTAAAATATTTATTTTATATTAAAAAAATATATGTTAATAAATTATATTTGATTTACTGTAAATTATAACGTTTTCATACTTTAATTTTTTGAAGTGCTTTCACTTCAGTAATAATCTGCTGATTGTTTTCTTTAAAACAAGACCAAACTTGGGTATATATTCCAAAGAATTCTTGAATTACAAGCATTTAAGTTTGTATAGTGCATTTTAATGTCAATTATCAAACAATGGGTGACATTTAAGGGGTTAAAGATGATCCTTGATCATTTGTTATCTCTGTAATTCATCTAGGCTCAGTGGAATACTTACATATCATCTACATAACATGGATAAGGCATCTGCTGGATATAAACACCAGTCTTCTCTTTGGTTCCAGTAACTGCTCTGATGATGCTGTGTTCAACTACATCCTGAAGGTAAGAAAATCCTCCCCAAATATACCGCATATCCTCAAAGGGATCAGCCCTGGGACCAGGATCCCAATACCTGACAACAAAAAACACAATAAGCATCTGATTTCATAGCAGCCATACTCCTTAAAATGGAAATTTCCTTCATTGGACAACTGAGAAAAGCAAACTTACCCATCTTTAATCTTGTTTGTGCGTTCCACGTTGTCGATATCCATGCGGATCTTGTAATTGACGTGTGGTGGAAGTTCCAAGGTGTTGTGCTGTACGTCCAGGAACACAATTCCTGCCCAGAACTTTCTGTTATCCAGGAGACTCATAGACTCATTGACCAGTTTCTCCTCTGTGCTCACAGGTTCAAGTTTATCCAGGTTAACACACTGTAAAAAACACAACACTTTAGACTATGGTATGTGATTTAATCAATAACTTCTATAACTGATCTAAAATAATCAATTTCACCTGTCATAATCTTTGCCTTGTTGTTGGGAACTTTTGACCCATTAAAAATGGCGACGGCTAGGGAACAATATCTTTAGCCTAAATAAAAGTTGTTTTCACTTCCTTTTCATCTTTCAAATCTCCTTTTTGTCAAACTAACATAAGTCATATTGCTGAAATAGACATTAAAACCCCACAAAATTCATGCAACAGGTCACCCAAGCACGTTTCGCACGAGCCTTTCTCCCTTCCAAAAAACTTGAAATCCTGCTGGTTGTTACTTGCGTGTACTATTTAACTGATGATAGGTTGTTGACGTGTTTAATCTGAAAGTATGTATGTGGGAGACAGATGGATTATGAGATAGAAAGGATGTGTGTGGGAGGAGAAAAGAAAGGAAAAGGTGGTATGAAAGAGAGCGGTTCTGACCTCCATGAAACGGGATATGCTCATAATTGCCTGGTCCGTCTCATTGAAGACATCCCGCCACGTAAATGCCGTCCCAGGGGGACGTGTGTCCTCGGAGTGCTTATACAAAAAGCTGATAACATCCTCCACGTTCCACTGAGTCCCAGCCAATTGGGCATTAAAGAAACTTGCAGTGGCGTTGTTTCGAAGAAGCGTCTGTGTTTGGAAAAACAAAAAGATGGACGTTGACATTAGCACTAGTATCAGTAATAGTGACTAGTTCTAGTCCTGCAGCGCAACCACCAGCCACATAGGGGCAGTAATGAGAGTAAGACATAACATACCCGCATCAGATCCATTTCTTCACTGTTCTCCATGAAGTTCCAAAACTTCGGTCTGGCTTCTTCCCACATTCCTCCTAAATCTCGTAGAATTCCGAGCTCCTGAAATGTCTTATTTACCTAGGAGAGAATTAGGAAGTTCTTCAATTGCACTGCAGATTCATGCATGCATTATGCACATGTTTTTTTTTTCAATATGGTTACCTCATGAATGATCTTCTGGGTTGCAGGGCTATGTGGCGTATAGAGGATCTTCCCCATCAGAAGAGGTTTCAGTGCCCTCCAGATCATCCGAGAGATGGGACTGGCTTCCATGTTCCTCATCAAGTTGTTACAGTATGGAGCTAGAAACACAATGCATGACAATTTAGCTTCTGTTTACTGCATACTCTCTATCATATTGTATACTGCTAGTATGTTATTTCCAATGCAGTGCATGCTGTCTGTGAAAACATGTGTTAAAGGAGTAGTTCACTTTTAAAAAAAACTTTTGCTGATAATTTACTCACCCCGATGTCATCCAAGATGTCCACTTCTTTCTTTCTTCAGTTGAAAAGAAATGAAGGTTTTTGATGAAAACATTCCAGGATTTTTCTCCATTTAATGGACTTAAATGGGAACCAAACGGTTCAAGGTCCTAATGAGAGTTTCAGTGCAGCTTCAAAGGGCTTTAAACGACACCAGACGATGAATAAGGGTCTTATCTAGTGGTCATTTAAAAAATAAATATAAACGTTTAAGTTTTATAAGCACAAATGCTCGCCTTACTCTGTTCTGTGATGCGCGTTCGTGACTCTCCTGTTCAAACTTGTTCATCAAAATGAACAAATCTTTTTACGAGTAATGACTCGAAAGGTCCAAGATACAGTAAGACCCTTATTCATCGTCTGGTGTCGTTTAAAGCCCTTTGAAGCTGCACTGAAACTCTCATTTGGACCTTGAACCGTTTGGTTCCCAATGAAGTCCATTATATGGAGAAAATCCTGGAATGTTTTCATCAAAAACCTTAATTTCTTTTCGACTGAAGAAAGAAAGACTTGGACATCTTGGATGACATGGGGGTGAGTAAATTATCAGCAAAAGTTTTTTTTAAAAGTCCTTTAGTTGCTACTCCTTTTAGATGCTACTCCTTTAATTGCTGTTGTAGGTCAGGGTTATTGTTCACCAAAACTATATAAAATAGTTTTTGTTAATTGAAATAATACTTAAATAAAGCAGAATATAAATATTAGATGAAAAACATAAACTTAAACATAAACAAAAATTAGTAAATACACTAAATAATAACAACGACTAAATAATACTAAAACTTTAAATGTAAAAGCTAATTCAAAGTATTAATAAATACTAAACTATTATATTAAATAAACAGTTGTTGGTTTGACGTACTTGTGGTATTGTCGTAAACTGAAACCGATTCGTCATCACTGTCGTTGTGGCTGCCGAACAGCGCCTGGAAATTGCTGTCCTCGTACCAGTTGAGGGATTTAATCTTGAGGCCACCCCCTTCCGGATGTCCACACACGATACGGGACACAGCCTTGTACATCAGACTCGGAGAGCCGGTGGCGTTTTCCGTCAGAAACAGGATCTCATTTCGCAGGTCACTCCAGCTCCTCATACTGGCCAGCTGAGAGAATGATGAACGTTACAATTTTAACCGAGTCAATAAGTCTGCGTGATATGTAATCACACAACAAATTCACTTAGTTGTTTTCATTAGTTTTTTAAGCAGGCATGTTGTTTTCTATATTAAGTTGGTGTGTTTTTAATCAATTAGTTGACCCAAAATAGAAAAACTATGTCATCATTCTATCCCCCTCATGTTGTTCCTAACCAATACGGTTTTATTTAAAGTCTCCCTCGGCTATAAATCAAGGTTTTAATATTGTTTATAGGTCTATGAGGTGTTTTTAATACGCTTTAAGACAAACCGTGTGTAAATTCATAAGTCGACAGCATTGCTGAGTATTTTGCATTGGACTAAAGGCAGTCTCAAAAACACGGTTTGAAATCGTTGGTGTTTCTGACGTCACAAACGACCTTGTAACCAATCAGATCAACGTGTGATCATCAACCAGTGGATCTCTGAGCTGAGTGAGTGAGTGGAGGCGGAGCTAATTTGCATATCTATAAAACCGCATATACTAAATGAGGCAAGAGTGTCGAGTTACATTCAAGATATTTTAAGACATGAATATTTTTTTTGGGGAAAAAATATTTAAATATGTAATTTTGCAGATCAAATATTCGTTTTAAGGGATAAAATGATTGAATATAGGCCGAATTTAAGAAAAAATGTGTTTATGTTACACTCTATCCAATGCAGTTTCAAGCATCAAAAAAATATAAAAGTAGTTAACTCAACACTATATACAACCAAAGCCATGTGATAGCAATTTAAGCAATTGGTGTGTGTAAACGTTTGCGAACAAATCACTAAGACTAACACTTGAGAATTGGTTCAATCTGATTCATGAATTAATGATTCAGACAATTCAGACATCATTTTTTAGTGATTCAAGAACATTCAATTCAAAAGAGTGATTAGTTCACAAACCCATGAATTCCTTGGAACATAGTGCACAAGTCGTTTGAACTACTATCATGATACATGCTTTTGTCCTTTTTTAGACAGCGAAAGCTCCAGTTTCTGGCCATTGTAAATGAAAAGAGCCCAAAAGAGCGACTCCTTTTGTGTTTCCTCGAAGGAAGTTATACGGGTTTGGAACAACATGACATGAGCGTGAGTAAATGACAAAATCATTTTAATTTAGGGAGAACTATCCCTTTGACAGTACATCGAAGAGAAATTTGACAAGCATTACAACACTGTAAAAAAATATTGTTGGTTTAACTTAAAAAAAAATAAGTAACCTGGTTGCCTTAAAATTATAAGTTGATTCAAATGGAAAAAGTGAGTTAATACAATGAAGGAGATTGATTTAATCCTCGAAAACTCAAAATAATACGTTATCTGACCTAAATAAATTATTTAAGTTGATTTGACAAAATCAAATCTTATCAGCAGGAATAATGTTAGTGTTTCTTTATTTTGCCAGTGCAGGCCATGTTTGCAAAATCCTTAACAGCTACTCTCACTGTCTAACTCCTGATTGGATGTTTAACCAAGAATCCTGAATCCAGAGAGCAGATGCCCCAAGGGCCTGTCAAATTGAACACAACTAGCATTAGTCAAATAAACCCTCCCATGAAAGGCTGGTTCTGCTTTTTCAACACACAAAGGATTGTTCAACATAACAATCGTCTAAACTGGGAGGTTTGCTTTTAGAGGGTGGCTGACGAGAAGAGAAATGTTATTCTGTACTGCTCAAGATATTTCACATTAAAGCAAACCCAAGAGGAAACTTTCATTTTTATTACAGTACATCTCCAGTGTCCCAATTTAATCTCATTGCTGTATAAGAGATTAAAGTGATTTTTCTTTCACACCTGGCTATGTTCAGATAAGCACACTTACTATTTCTGTAGTATATAGTATACTGCGCACATATGCAGTATATATTGAATAATAGGATAGTTCCACTGAGCAGAGAATTGTGTCTCCTGGTCATTCATTTTAAACCAGGTGTGGTGGACGGCATAAAGCTTTGCTTGTTGAAACCACGTGAGCCTTACGGATCTGACTTAGCAAGCATGCAAGTCACTTGCTGCTATTTTAGTGTAAAAGTGCCAAGAGAATGGAGGGCGGCGGAGAGTGCAACAGATGTCCTACCGCAAAAATACTCTCACAGAGGGAGGGAGGGATAATGTCCCCTCATGTCCCTTTTAAAACAAAGCTGTGCAGTGAAAAACTCCTAAATAACTGCACTGCAACAGCAAAAAAAAAAAAATGTTTTTGCACTTTAATTAGCATTCATCCAGTCTCACACCAACACAGTAAAAGGTTACTGGAATTCGCCATCCGTCTCAGACATGAGGGTGAGCCAGATTAGACAAATGGGTTGAGTTTAATGTTCCATTCAGTGAGACTTGTAGCCAAAGGTTTCCCTTTCAGTTAAGCAGAGAACAGAGAGGCTTTTGTATGGGCAAACAGGTCATGAACGCCCATCTCTCTGTGTAAAGCAAACGTCTTTATTGCAGTCTTTAGATACTGACTGCTGAGTAGACTGTGTGACTCTCTCTCTCTGGATGCTTGTTCAGCTGTGCTTGGTTGTATATCTGTCCAGCTGGGAGCTGAAACAACTTTCTCTTCCTCCCACTGTGGACCACTACAGCTGGGGAACGAGACACTACCGAACTCATCGACACATGCAGGCCCGATGTGACACCTTGACTCCTGCGTCACAGGCCCTGCAGTTGTCCTCGCCATTAAATGTCACTTTCACTCTCAGAGCCTTACTGGGTTAGGTTTGTTTGAATTATGATAAAACAACTCTCATTTGCAGTTGATGGACGGTTCACAGAACAGCTCAGGATTGGTTTTGCTTGCCTGTAGTGATAAACTTATAGGCTTTAAAGGGTTAGTTCACCCCAAAATGAAAATTAAGTCATTAATTACTCACCCCCATGCTGTACCAACCCCGTAAGACCTTCGTTCATCTTCGGAACACAAATAAAGATATTTTTGATTGAATCTGAGAGCTAGATCAGTCCTAGATAGACTGCCTAATGCCGAGTTCAGACTGCATGATTTTAGCCACGATTTTGGCTCGCCGACAGGTTTTGAGAAATCGCCGACAAATGCCCGAAATCACAGGCAAATCGGCGCTCGTTCACGCGAGTGACAATCACGCAGTGTGAATGAACAAAGACGCGAACTGAGAGAATCACCGACGAGTCGCCGATGCCCGTGAGATATTTGGCATGCTAAATATCTGGACCTGTCGGCGATTCAAAATCCTGCTGTGTGAAAAGTGTTTTGACTGAAAACTACATCGACGATCACCGGCAGCCAGTGAGAGAGCAAGATACAGAGCAGCAGGGAGTTCGGGGAGGAGTTATAGATCACATATCAACATGATATGGCATTGTTTCAACAAAAAAAGCTTCTTCTGGGTCTATTTGGACACAATAAATGGAAGAAAAATTAGTAGAAATTTGGCAGGAGCACTCGTGTCTGTTTCACCAGCTGTACCACAACCGGGTCGAAAAAAAAAGTCTCACGTGAGAACTCCGGTCTTGCACGTGTGGTGTCGCGCGTTGTTTCCTTTTCATATCTCACGCGTGTTTGTTGTGAAATGTAGTTTGCGTGCAGCGTGCTAGACAGAGTCTGTCGGCGATTTTTCTAAAGTCATGCAGTGTGAAACCTTCTGTCGCCGATCCATCGTCCAGTGTGAACACAGCAGCGACTGAATGCTGGCCAAGATAGTCATGCAGTGTGAAAAGAGCAGCGACCTGACTACTTTGAAAATCGTGCAGTCTGAAAGAGCCATAAGGGACTGCCTCTTGACGGCCCATAAAGTCATTAAAGAAAAGGTTTAAATGTTCCATGTGCCTACAGCGGCTCAATTATAAGTTTATCAAGCGACGAGACTACTTTTTGTGTGAAAAAAACATAAATAACGACTTACTTCGACTATTCCATTACTTCCTTATGGGCGCATGCGCGAGAACTGAGACGAGGACGTTCTTCTCCTTCGACTACTTTTTGTTACCGGCTGCTCACCGCTTAGGAGTTTTACCACCCCTTACCGTATAAGATGATGTGCTGATATAGCTGGAAGTGCAAAACTTTCTGTTAACAAGCAGAGGAAGATGCGCGCTGTACATACGCTTTTCAATTAGCGTATTTTCCGCACTACAAGGTGCACTTAAAAGCCTTTAATCTTCTCAAAAAACGACAGTGTTCCTTATAATCCGAAGCGCCTTATATATGGATCATCATTTTATACGGTAGGTGGCGGTAATACTCCTAAGCGGAGCAGCCGGTAACGAAAAGTAGTCGAAGGAGAAGAACGTCCTCGTCTCAGTTCTCGCGCATGCGCCCATAAGGAAGTAATGGAATAGTGGAATAAAGTCGTTATTTATGTTTTTTTTTCGCACAAAAAGTAGTCTCTTCGCTTGATAAACTTAGAATTGAGCCGCTGTAGGCACATGGAATATTTAAACCTTTTCTTTAATGACTTTATGGGCCGTCAAGAGCCAGTCCCTTAGGCATTCTATGTAGGACTGATCTAGCTCTCAGATTCAATCAAAAATATCTTTATTTGTGTTTCGAAGATGAACGAAGGTCTTACGGGGTTGGAACAGCATGGGAGTGAGTAATTAATGACTTAATTTTCATTTTTGGGTGAACTAACCCTTTAATGCTTAATAAATAATGATGATATGTACCTCCACAGCCAGTGATCCCAGGCTCTCCAGAAGATTGTCTGTGGCTTTGGAAACTTGCTGGACATCAGCGGGATTAGTCCTTATGTCAGACTGGTATAAGGCAGAGATAAAAATATTATTGTAGTAAGTTGTAACACAGTTATTGAAAAACAATAGTGTGTGTGCGTGGGTGTGTGTGTATATAATATATATATATATATATATATATATATATACATTTTTAGACTTTAGTTCAAATAAATAAAATGGAATGTCTAAAATAGATATTTATTTACAGTTAAAAGTAAAAAAAAAATATATATATATATACATTTATTTTGTAACCGTGTTCTTGCGCTATATTTACATTAGCATTACATTAGACAACTATGCAAATATTAATATTATAATATACATTTATAACAAATATATATATACATTTATAACAAACATGAAGAAAAAAGTCATACAAAACTGTAACTAAACTCAGTCAGTTTGTATGAGTGTTAAAGGAGTAGTTCACTTAAAAAAAACTTTAGCTGATAATTTACTCACCCCCATGTCATCCAAAATTTCCATGTCTTTCTTTCTTCAGTCGAAAAGAAATTAAGTTTCTTTTCGACTGAAGGTTTTTGATGAAAAATGTTTTTTTTTTTAATTCCAGGATTTTTCTCCATATATTGCACTTCAATGGGAACCAAATGGTTCAAGGTCCAAAAGACAGTTTCAGTGCAAACTGCAAACTGCTCAACTGGCTTTAAACGATTTCAGACCATAAATAAGGGTCTTATCAAGCAAACGATTGCTCATTTAAAAACAACAAAAAAAAGTTTAAGTTTTATAAGCTTAAATGGTCACCTTGCTCTTGCTTCGTGACTCTCCTGTTGAACTTGTTTATCAAAAGTCACGAACGTGCATCACAGAACAGAGTTTGTAAAATTTGAGCTTATAAAATTTGACCATTTGAGCTTATAAAACTCCAACTTTTTTTTTTTTTTTTAAATGAGCGATCATTTCGCTTGATAAGACCCTTATTCATCGCCTGGAATCGTTTAAAGCCCTTTGAACAGTTTGCACTGAAAGTGTCTTTTGGACCTTGAACCGTTTGGTTCCCATTAAAGTCCATTATATGGAGAAAAAATGCTGGGATGTTTTAATCCAAAACCTTAATTTCTTTTCGACTGAAGAAAGAATGACATGTACATCTTCACTCTCAGAAAAAAAGGTACAAAAGCTGTCACTGGGGCGGTACCTTTTCAAAAAGGTACACTTTTGTACCTAAAGGGTGCATATTGGTACCATAATTTTACAAATATGTACCATGAAGGTACCAATATGCACCCTTTAGGTGCAAAAGTGTACCTTTTTGAAAAGGTACCGCCCCAGTGACAGCTTTTGTACCTTTTTTTCTGAGAGTGTTGGATGACATGGGGTTGAGTAAATTATCAGCAAAATTGTTTTTAAAGTGAACTACTCCTTTAAATCAAATCTAGTTGCTCATGTTAGTGTTGACTCATTCTTGAGGCATCTCATTTGCATGACTGAAAATTATCAAAGAACCATAAATGTTACGCTTGATCACATTCATCCCATGCATTTTATATGCCAACAGCCAGCGAAATCCAACTAACATGACACATTAATCTGGTTTTCCACAATCCCAAAATCATCTTTCATTGACCAGCGTGATCTATGAGTCAACCCGACAACTTGACATTTTTTTGAAGTAGGAAGAAGCAGAACAGAGAAACTGAAGCTGTCATTACGTGTTGTAACTTCCAGCAGTGGCTTCAGGCCCTATATTAAGGTAGGTGTGTAGGGCAACAGGCAACGACACGCATCCTCCCACGCTCTTCATAACCCGCTAACTCTTTCATTCTTTTTCCCTTTCCCTCTTTTAGCTGAGTGTTGAGTTGTTTGTCTTGGCACAATGCACGCCAATGATAAAGTCGCCTGGATTTGTTTTAACACCACTATCAACAGCAGTAGAGGAGGAGAGGACACTATTGCACCGGTTTGGAAGATAAGACGGTGACCTCTGTCACCCTAAGACACACGACGGAGGTACATTATTAAGCAACAGTTTAATTAAAAACCCTTTGCTGACAATAAAGCTACACCATCTGGACACCCCTCTTACATTAACATGGTTTAGAGATGGTGTCAGATGATAGAGTGAAAAATGGAAAAATAATATTTTGCATAAAGACAATGTAGTCTGTTTTAGGAGCTTTTTTGCACTGTGACATATTGCTGATAATTCGAAATCAAAAAGCATTCAGAGCCTTTTTGATTCACTGTATGTTTTTTTTTTTTTTACCTTAAGAGGTTTGAGAAAATCCAGGTTGGACTTGAAGTGTCTCTCGGCCTGGTCTAGCCAGCTTTTTGGAGACCTGCAGATGATGTCCTGGGTGAATTTCGCCACCTCTTTGTCTGGGATGGTCACAAAGTCCTCAAGTGTGGTGGAGCTGCACATATCTCTCAGATGGACGCCAAAACCTTTGATCAGAACCTAAAACATGAAGAGCATCGGTGATAACCGGTAAGCTTTAGGGCAGATAAGAAGGTGTTCATGTGATCCGTGAAGGGTTTTGGAGATAAACGGGACAGAACTGTTCATGTGACCTATGAGTTTATTATCAGGAGAGGGTACTTAGACTAGATGCCTTGAATACACATTCTGAGGGTACATTAGGGTAAAAGTAGGCTGCCTATGGTCATTTATAAGGACTGCTGATTGTTTAATGCCCTGAGGGCATGTCACACCGCTAACAGCTGTTGATTTACAAAAAATGTGAGATGCATGCTGGTTTCCTCTCTTTAACTGATTCCCAGGGGGAGTTTAGCAGCATGTGTGGTGTAAACTATCAAAATGGACCTAGAAACAATGACCATGCCCCTACATACTGTAACTGTATGCATTGTAATTACTGTAGAGCAGATGTGACGTTTGAGTCTTTGTTTTAACTTGAGCATCGAAGAAATGGGTGAATCCCATTTTTTTTTCTCCTTGTCTCCATCATATGTATTATTATGGAGTATTATATTTTGTAAAGTGTTAGGGAGGGAGGGAAAGGAAAAAATAGTAAAAGATTTCTCATGTATGTTTTAGGGTGTGAATGTGAGGATGAATGTATAAGCATGAAGAGTCTCTGAAGGTTTGGGTCTGTAAATTGTATTTCTTATTAAATAAAGGCGTTAAAAAGAAATGTAATCTTATGGTCACCATTGTTGTTGTTTTTACCCCTTCAAAATAATGCTTTTCGATGCGCACCTTTTCAAGATTCACATCAGCCTCCAGAATATTCTTCACATAATTCGGGTCAATGGAGGCATTTTGCAGGAGGAACATTGAGAGGGTCTCGTTTTCACGCAGGAAGTCCTTCAGCTTGAAACCTAAGGAAAAATGTGCCACTTTAGTGTGTACATGTTAAGGAATGCTTTACAAAACCAACATACAATGGCTGTAGTTATAGGTTTTTCAGCAATTTGACCAGATTTTCAATTTGAGTAGATCCGCCCCTCTATTTTAGGATTCATTATTTTGGAAACGCACCCCACTTTCCAACCTCAAACTTTTGTTCTGAGTACATGCGCTCACTTGCTGAAACTTCAGGTGTCGAGCCTTTGAGAGAGTTAACAACACACTCATGTGCTCTCCTTAAATTTCATTCCTCTTTCAAAGTTCAAGTACATGTCGGAGCAGGCCAGCAAGTGCGGTTTACATGGGCGTGGAAAGAAACGTTTACTGATTCATCGCGTGATTTCACAAACAACACATGGGGAGTCTAGTTTCCTAAATGTTCTGGAATCTACAAAAGGAGATGAAGTGGCCAATCACAAACAGTGGACACCCCCTCCTCCAAACCATACGCATAAAAGTCATACCTAATGTGTTTGGGTAAAGTTTAGTCATTCACACCTAGCTAACAACTATCTGCGATAACCCTTGCCTAGAGCAGCCCAACTGTCTCCAGGTCTTCCTTCTGTGCTGTTCATGGAAACAAAGGCTGGAAGTGTGTCCATTGCAAGGGAGGGGCGAAACCCCCAGGAGGTGGCAGATTCCTAACCTATTCATTCGCTTCCACACTAATCAGTCTTTTGAAAAGAGGGTTAAAGGGGTAGAAATAGGGGAGCACAATGGGGTCGGAAAAGACATGTGAATGCACCTTCTGTAAAGTCATGGCTGATTACATCTGTAAGGCTTTTTTAGACAGGACAGGTATATGCAAGCTCAAAATGAGAAAGTCTTAAAGAGTCTAAACGAGGTGAAATCAGGATACTTGGTATATGTAATGCAGGGGTTTCCAAAACCCTTAATCCAATTCTTAGACAGTTGTAATTGTTTTCCTTAGGATAAATGTAAAAAAAATATTCTAACGACTATTCGGGCACTTTTGGGGCCCTTAAGAGGCTCGAAAACTCTTGAAACTTTGCAAATGGGTTAGAACCCGCGGCCATCAGGGCTGGGCTGAAGCTGGTACCCAAGCGTGGCTCAACAGCACCCCCTGCAACGGGCTCCGAAAACTTGATCCATAAATCAAACACGTTTGTGTGTAATAACATGCAACTCGGTACACATATAGATCTCATCGGTTCATATATACTTCACACTCTTAATTTTTACCCCAGCCCAACAGGAAGTCAGCTATTTAGGGTTGTTTGGAAAATGCATGCAATGGAATTTGAAATACTCCTCCTAGAAAATTCAAATACACGGCTCCTAGAAAATTCAAACACACGGCACGAAACTCAGTCAGCATGAAGTCAAGACATTGAGGATGAAAAATTGCGAGGGGATTTTTGATATCTCGAATGGATTGGCCGTGTTTCAAGAGTTAAAATATAGCTGCATGCAGCGATGAAGGGCCAAAGCCAGCGGCACCGCCACCCCGGTGCCTTTAGGTAACTAACTAAAGGTGGGGGTTGCGGTGCCACTGGCTTGGGCCTGTCATCGCTGCTTGCAGCTATATTTTATGTCTGAAATTCACACTGCAGTTCAAATGTAAGACTGTTTTTGAAAGAAGTCTCTGTTGCTCACCAATGCTGCGTTTATTTGATCAAAAATATGGTAAAACGGTAATATTGTGAACTATTATTACAATTTAAAATAACGTTTTTGAAATTTTAATATATAATTTATTTCTGTAATGCATTTGAATTTTCAGCATCATTGATCCAGTCTTCGAAATGATCCTTCAGAAATCATTGTGCTGATTCGCTGCTCGAGAAACTCGATCTCTTTTTGCTGCTTAAGTCATTAATTATATATTTTTTCAGGATTATTTAATGAATAGAAAGTTAAAACGAACAGCATTTATTTGAAATGGAAATCTTTTGTAACATTATGAACATCTTTACTGTCTCTTTTTAACAACTAAATGCATCCTTTCTGGATAAAAGTTTTTTTTTGTTTGTTTTTTTGCAACAACAAATCATACTGAGCTTAAACTTTTTTTTTTTTGCAGGAAGTGCACAAACCATTCAAGTGTTATCAGGACAGCTAGGTGAATATACAAGTGAATATACGCTCAACTAAGCCCCCAATGGCCAAAGAGAACACCATTACATTATTAATTTGCCCATTTCAACGATTGGCATCATTTTAAGCCTGAACGTTTTTAATGAACATTATAACCCATTATGTGGCTAATTGTAAAACTGTTTTTTTGTGAATCCAGCATTACAGCTAGCATAGCAAATTATCTTGGTGTGAATAAGTTTAAGCTTTAACAATAACCTAAACCCGATAAACTCAACTCTTTCATGTCTGTTGTCATTAGCTGAAATCAAAAGAGGAGAATGAAGACAGAATTGAATGAGATCGCAGCATGCGGATGCCACGATAAGCCTCACAGTGACTGGATGGTGAGTTCAAAGCATTCCTATTGTCATGCATGACAGCCTGAGACACAATAATGAAACTTTAATTTGAACAGGTGGGCTGACGTGGCTCTTTTTCTTTAAGACTCTCCCACTTTGGGAAAACAGGAAGGTTTTCTATGGTTACTTTTTAACTAATTTTTGGTGTTATTTTATTCTCTGTCTGTATAACTCTAGAGGGAGCAATCAATTTCACAAACTGTGACAGATCTAAAAATGTAATTGTCCATTACATGTTAAATGCGCTCTGTAAATTGTTACTCCAGACGTTCTATGATGGCGTCTGTACAACCTTTCCTCCATTAGGCAGATAAATGCGATTAAAGCTCACTTAGCGTGAGAAGAGTGTGTGAACAGGAAGAGACAGTTCACGTTGCTTACCCAGCACACGCTAAGTGAATTGAATAGAGAAGGTAATGCTAAAGGATTGGATTCTGGGATGCGTGTGCATATTTTACACCCACACTAGCCCTGAAACCGACTTGCCATGGCTTGTTTGAAAGGTTTGATCCTTCATTCATCCACCCACCTTCTCCTCTCCCAGTGGATTTTCCAACAAATCCTTAAAGACTGATGCCCATCAACCTTTTACTTGAATGTTTACAAGGATTTACTGATAATTAGAATGAGTCACTTCATGTTACGAGAAGTATTTGCTATGGACGTTTCTGAACCTGCATCTCATTTGGTCATTTGCATACTTGATACTTGATATATAATGATGTTAATGATACTGAATGCCGTTGGTTCTTGTGGGTCTCTTAACTGTCATATAAATTGTCATATAACTCAATCAGTAGACCATGCCTCTAGCAATGTAAAGGTTATGGGTTCGAATTTCCAGGGAAAGCAAGAACTGATGAAACAAAAATGCAATGCCAAATGCACAAATGTAAACATGGCTTTAGAAGACTTGAGTACATATGGATCACTTTTATTGTACTATGATGTCTTTTTTTGTCCTTTGAAGAGATTGGTCACTGTATGCAATCACTTTATGGAAAAGAACAGCTCAGGCATTTGAAGTTTGGAATGATAAGAGGATGACATTTTCAGGTGAGCTATTTCTTTAAGAAAATGTGAAATGTTTTTATTCTAGGCCACTGTTCTGTACTCACCAGCTGTGTTATTTTGCATGACTTTTACTGCACTGATAAGCTCCTTGAATCCATTTAAGCTCTTGTCGTTTTGACTGTACAATAGGATCTTCTTGGCATCAGAAAACAGGCGTGAGATTCTAATAAAGAAAGCAGAATTATTACCAAATTGCACTCAATGTCTTATATTACATAGGTCACATTAGAGCTGACGACCCTGTTATTTGGAAATCTTCAGCTGTAGGCAGCAACTTACATGGAATCATTGAAGTTCCCAACGATTCCCGGAGATTCCCCAGGGGTTGGGTGTCGAAAGCACGGATTGTTGGCATTGCATACAATGCCCTGGATCCATGGCAGGGTGCCTGCTGAGGGCATTGCTTTGTTGGGAAAGTGACCTGTAAAAAATAAAGGGAGACTAAATGAACTACCTTATTGAAGAAGATTGAAAAGAGTTTCCACATTAAGGCCTTCTAGGTGAACAGAAGAGAAGAAAGTGTACATAATTAAACCAGCATAATCAGTGATGAGTGATGATGTCAGAACAAATATGTTTCTTGTAAAATCTTTTTTTTTTTCCCAGATAATGCATCATTTGACTTCAAAAGCTCATCTACTTCATGTACAACGGCTGATCATGACAACGGGGAGCTTTTTAGCTATAGAGGGAATGCGCGTGACGTCACCGTCACCGAGTTACTCACAGTGAGTGGCAAAAAGAGTGTATTTGTTTTCAGCATGAATGTCGCGAAAAACACACACAACACATATAAAGTGGGAAAGAGCTTTGCGATTGATTGTACAACTAGATTTGACCAAAAAAATCGGAGGTCTATTTTTACAGACTCTATAGAAAGAGGAGCAAATGGATCAACTGGACTCCAGTCAGCGAAAGGTGGATTTGCAGTTATCATTTTGTGTCAATGTGCTGAATTTAGGTGTAAAACCATACCCATATATTTTGTATTGTTATATATATTAACAACTCATCAATTCAATATTTATCATTGCATATTCTGCATTATTGGATGTTTTTTTAATAAACACTGACCAAAAAAACCCCCAAAAAACTATAAAGTTTTAGGGCTGGACGATATGATGATATATATATAGGCCATATACAACACTGATATAAGTGATCGCCCGGATTTAGACCTACCTATATTGTATTTATATAAAGCGTTCACGGGCAAATTTGCTTTATGTTTAGGCCTGTATTTGCTTTTATTTCCCCGGTGTCGAAATCAGGCAAACATAAATGTCAGGCAACACGATTCCTGGCTGCATGTCAATATCCATGGATCACTGGATCTTTAGTAAGTTGTAAGGAACACAATATTGAGTCCAACATTTAGTTTAAATTGATAAAATTGTTTGGTTTAGTCGCATTTTCGTAGTTTCCCCTATTAAATCCAGTCACGCAGCAGATCTTTTGCCACTCAGTCAGGCTGAGGGGGGTTGTTCCGGCGGGAAAGTGACGTCAATGCATTCCCTCTATTAGAAGTTATCAGATTAACATCCAATGGCATGGACATGTGCCGTGAGATTTATTTTATTTCTACCTCCCAGCGCAGCCTGCCGCCCATCCCCATGCCCATATACAGCACCTATAGTGGATGTGCACCCTTAGACTTCCTTATCTTCCAACAGACCTAAAACCATCAGCAAAAAAATCTGACTCTCCATCCCTGGAAGGCGCGTACTCTATGAGGGGACCTTATCAAGTGATTACCAAAGCAGTATATGTGACCTATGCCCCACCCCCCCCCCCCCCCCCACACACACACACACTCCAGAGGCTCACTGTTATTTCTATAATGAGTCAAATGTATAGGTCTGCTATCAGTCAACCTTAAGACTGCCAGCTGCTCCACTGCTGAGCACAGCAAAGATAAGATAATCCTTTAAGCATGAAGTAATCAATTCATGGGGTATTTGTTCAATTCACCACTGTAAAAAAATATTTTCATGATTTGTAATCACAACATGTTGCTTTTGTCAAATCCACTTAAATAATTTATGTAGTTCAGATAACATAATATTTTGAGTTTCTGATGCTTAAATCAATCTCCTTCATTGTATCAACTCAATTTTTCCAGTTCAATGAACTTAAAATTTTAAGGCAACCAGGTTACTTCATTTTTTAAGCTAAACCAATAATATTTTTTTTACACTTATATATTTATTTCATTTTAAATCATTTAAAACAGGGTGAATCTGATGAAAAGCATATGTGGGTCATACTTAAACTAAAATTAAGTTCTTAAAATTAAGAAGTTATAGGCTATTTTGTAACTTAAGAATATGAAGCCTATTTGTAGGAACATTAAAGTTGTTTTTCTCCACAATAATTAAGCACATTTTCACCAGTTCTCCTAAAAGACTGAATTTTCATTATTGCAAATATATATATATATATATATATATATATATATAGCATAAATGATTATTTTTGTATTTTGTTATACAGTTATCATGTAAAAATACTGTAATAATGTACATGCAAACCTGTAATAATGTAAACATTTTTATTTTAAAATCAACATAAATTAAAAGATGTACAATATATACTGCCAGAATATATAACAATGTATATTATAATTATATATGATAATAAATTACATCTTTATATATCCTGGAAGTCTTTTAATTAATGCCGAATTTCAAATAAAAATATCATGCATTACAGTATTTTTACAGAATGTGCTTAATTGTCATAACACAATACAAAAACAAATCTTTATGGTTTAAAAATTATTATTCATTTTTGTATAATGAATTTCTTTCAATTTTTTTTTTCACATAACTTGCATAATTTATTATTTCATAATTTATTCACATAATTTGTGTATTTTCAGTTTAAGGGACTAAATTAATATTGCTGGTTTTTGAAGTCCTTAAATTGATTTTTACCAACATGATGGACACTGTTCTATGTCCGTTCAATCACTTCAGCAAGAGAGGTTGCAACATGCCTGTACTCGCATATGACAAATGTACTCATCCATTATCACACAAATCCAGACTTTAAGAGAAGTGAAATTCTGCTCCCATATCCTGTTTAAACCAAAGCGGTAGCACACAGACACATCTAAACGTCAACAAGATCTCATGACCAAGGCTCACACTTCCACAAAGAAGAACAGAAAGTTCACAATCTCACAAAATCGTATCCATTAAGATAGTATGTCTTTTCAAAGGCTAATAGTCAGGCATTGTGTGTTGAATTTATGAGTAGTTTACACCCTGGGAAGAGTAGCATTTCTTAGGTCATGGATGGTGACATTCCTTATATATACAATTTAGCCAATGAGGTTAGAAAGACAATCAGGCACAATAAAAGCTCAGGTGCTATTAAACAAAGATGTAACGATAAATTGAACAAACCAGCTTATAAATGCCAAACTGTACTATCAAATAACAGCTGATGACAGCTCCATGTTTAAATGTTCTCTAAAATTTGAAATCCCAACATGGTCACTTATCTGTCTACACATCATCTGTGACTGACAGAAGACCGATTCCTCTAGTTATCAGCAAGAACTCATAAACACCCTGCGAGCTTGACACATCTGATAATAATGCATCATAAAGTATCGTGCAATGAAACAAAAACGTGCATTATCACCCCTGTGTAGCCCATGTATTCAGGTTACACAATGCAATTAATATGCACGTGTTGAAGGGCAAAAGTTGTTTTCCGAGCAACACGTGGAAGCCGTTTAGTTTTCCAATGCCAAGTTGGGAATTTAATGTTACAAATCAAGATAAATGTTGCATTGTTGTTCTAAAAATGCTTTTCTCTCTTTCCAAAGGCTAAAAAGTCCACACGTGTGGAGTGTACTTACATTCATGTTGTTCGTAAGGCGGGTAATTCAACCTCACGGAGATCAGGATGAAGAAAATAAAGAGAGGCCACACAATCTCCGTCAGAAGCTGGAGCTGCACAAGTCAAACACACGAGGACAAAAACAGTCAGCGTTTTCTGAAGTGCAGACATTAGAGACCAAACATGACTTATAAAAAGCTCTCAGACTCCTATGTCTAAAGTAAGGGCTTCTGGTGAGTAATGTCATCAAGTAACAACATTTATTATTAATACATGACAGGGAATCGATCAGACCCTCCAGATATAGAACTACATGGCATGTCTGCATCGACCCAATAGGGAATGAAAGCCTTTTGTGCACTTTTAGCACTTTTGTGGGTAATGCATATTATTTTAAACAATACACTCAATAAAAAAAAATTAAACTGTAGTAAAATAAATAAGCACTGTATTTTCATGCAAGTCTTTCGATATAAAAAGTGTTTTTGGACATATGCCAACCATGTTTCGAGACATAACCTTATGTTTAAATATTTTTATTTGGAATTTCCTTGTAAAAACACAAATTTCAGTGCCATGGTGAATCAAAATACCATAGTAAGGCACAGACACACTCTTAGGAAATATCCGGGTTCTTGACTCAATTTTCAAGAATGCTTCATGTCAAGAGCAAATGTCTTAAATGATTGCATAATACTTTCATGTTTAAAGGGTTATTTCAATTTTAACAAGAGATAGAGTTTGTTTGCAAGCGGTTTAATTAATACAATTTAATTAAAACGAAAAAAAAAAAAGCCAAAAGTAATGGTTTAAAGAGTAAAATATCCATTGGCCTGAGAATATGTACGCAGAAGCATTCTGTATTGAAATGAAATGACGTTAAAATAACCGAATGTAGGTTGTTATGGTATATAAATGTCTTAAGATTATACAACTTTCCAGATATTAAGAGCTTATAAAATGGAAATCTAAACTGACTAATAGCAGCATGATGTTAAATGAATCATAACTGTTACTTCCTAAACATAATGGGTAACGTGCGTATCGCGTTTGAATAAATGTTATTCTTGTTAGTGAAAGCAGATGGAAAAACAACGAGAAAAGCAGAAAGATATCTAGAAAATAAATGTGTTGTCCTCACCGTTTGTCTCCTTCTGTAGGTGAAGTTCTTCCAGAGCAGCAGACCCAGCTGAGTGCAGACAGACATCTTCACTCGGGTCCCTCTTCACTCTCAGCGCTCAGCTCTCGACTGTAACGACACGACGGAGGAGCGCAGAGTGAAAAACACATCCAGCAGAGCAGCTCAAAAGTCCAGGACAAAGTGCAGCCCTCCTATCTGACTCTCTGCTTCTCGCTCACGTCTTCCCTTTTCATCCCGTTAGGGAAGGCTAGCATTTTCTTTTTCCCAGAATTCCTTGAAGTGGTGGACCTTGTCGTATCATCAAGCAAGGAATTTCACAGGCCATTAGGGTCTCTGGGGTAGGTAGCTTTATTCATAATGGCCACGATTGATCAAGGAGCTTCATTTAAAATGCACAGATTTGCTGGAAGTCGAGGAGAGAGTCGGTGGCCTTGCGAAAAGGGTCCAGACATTTTTGAGTGATCTTCTAATGCTCACATTGTTTTCACTCTCTGTATCCTTTCAGTGATTTAATCAGCTATCCCCAAACAGAAATGATCAGGTTTGAGTCAGATGGGATAGGAGGGAAACAAACTTAACCGTGTAAAGCCTGAACTATGAAATTATATTATATTCAGGGTGGGGAAAGCATGCGTGTTTTTGTTTAGTATCGTATTTGATACATCAGGCTGATCGGCTCATATAGTAAGTGAGAATATGGAGCTCAGACTCAAGGAGGAAAAACACCTCAGTTTTATTCCGAAATATGCAATTTGATGCAGTTACTGATTTAATCAAGTCAAAAAGTAAGATGTAATTCTGATAACTTGTAATGTAAACCAATGCATATATATTTAAGTTGTCACTCTATCTATGTCTCCTAATAATATATATCTTAGAAAGGTGATATTGTATGTTTAAAGCTCTGTAGTTTTTATTGGGGGGTGCATATTGTAATAAAAGCCTCAAAAGCCTGATGTATCATATTTGATACATTTTAACATGACATATGGATAATCAAGTAAATCTAAGTTGCTTCAGCCTAGGAAGTGTTCATCTTGAAATATTACAATATAAGTTTAAGATTTCACAGCAAAAAGACATGTAGCATGACCTGAAGGAGGACATTTTTTGAATTGCACTAAAAGGCCTTTCGCTTGCTAAGTACAGTAGGCTTTATAGGGTTAATCGTCACCCTGAGGAAATAAAATATATCTGAAATATCTCACTTCTTTCTCCTACGCAGCAATGGACACTGATTGGACACTTTTACTTTTACAGATCAAATGATCTAACCTGCTATCCACATTAATTTTATACCATTGGTTGGTTAGGGTAAGTTTAGGTGGTTATTATACGTTTGGGTAGAATTAGTGGTGTGGAGTGCGTGTGTATTACACACAAATGAACTGCGTATCAAATGCACGTGAAAAACTGCGTCTCATATGCATGTAAAAACTCATTTTCGTATAAATTACACAACAATACACGATGCGTGTTATAAAGATGCATTTATGTGAGAACAGGCTGGTCCATTTCTGTATAATAAAGAGTATAAACTATATATAATCACAACTTAGTAATATACAAATCAGCATTTTAACTGATTTAAAGTTTTATTTTAGAGTGAAGTTAGCGGAAAAAAAAACTGGACTTTAACATAGCCATTGAATAACTTGCTCAATCGAGTCTCGGATTCATTCAAGAATGAAACGCCACTCTGTGCGACTATGCTGTGAGTCAGTCCCACAATGGGTCAGAGACATAAAATAAAACACAACGTTTTGAGTTACATCAATACATACTCATCAATTTAAAAAAAGTTATGACTGCAGCATTGACACTTAGAAGATACTTATGTAAATGCATTTGCTCCGTGATGTCCAGTGCATCGTAAAGCTTTACCACAAAGTTTTTTAAGAGCTGGCCAGCTAAATAAAACAGGTGGTGTGTCAAATAAGTAGACTAATGGGTAATGTGGGAGCAGATGTTTCCATATAAACACTTATAGTGCATTTCTCTGGCATACCATGTCTACACAGAAGGAAGCCTTATCTTGGCTCTTCCCCCCAAGGGTTTGTGTCAAGCCATTAGTCTGGTTGATTAGAAAGAGATTAAATAGATGCAATAACGCTTTAAGAATAACTGTGGCAGCGGATAACTATTATTCTTTTTTTTTTTTTATGTTTTAATTAAATTTCAAACAAATAAAGTCAATGCACAGTCAGAACAATATTACATATAAAACATACAGCCAGGGGGGTAGGCTAAACGTTAAATTAAATATATTAAAGGACACGTATGTTAATAACTATTCTGTTGCGGGAATTTGATGTTTAGTTGACCAATCAGAGTAAAGGGGCGTTTCACTCCTGCCCACATATTTTGGATTTATTGTTTTTCCATTTGGGAAAATAGAACAAAGTGTGATGAAAACAAGAATAAAAAAAATTGACAAACCACACGAGATGGGATTCCCTACCTGGGAATCACTTCTCTTGTCATAAGGAAATCTATGTAAGATTAACCAAATGAATCATCTATAAACAGTAGCATTGATTGAATACACATAAGAAAATATTTTTTTTCTAAAAGATATTAGCTCTGTGTGTTCATGAGAAGGGTCGAATAGACTAGCCTATGTGATAAATTAACGGTGTATTCGTCTTACCGTTTTGAAGACAAAAACGAGAAAACAAATTATCCGAAGGTAGGACCATGAACCTTTGTCTGTCTGGTTCACTGTTCTAATGTTTCTGTTCTCAAGCAGCGATCTTTCTGTCCACTGATAAAGAACATCTCAGGTTGTCACTTTTGCTGTTTTCTGTTAGCCTATTTTAGTTTTTCATAGAACAGCGTCAGATTTTGTTTCTGAGTGTGTCTTGGAGTTAAAAATCAAGTGCGTGTCGTATAATTTCATTTGAAGCTTTACTTCGATTGGGAGAAAAACAACAACTTATAGCCTATAGTACAAGTAGACTGAACTTTCATTCAAACATTTCTTTTGAAAACTTTTACTCTCTTTCTTTTCGTAAATTCTAAAATATTGTTGTTATAGCGCTTAGCCTACTATATTATATAGTTTGTTTTCAATAGGCTATAAGCCATCTAAAACGTTGCTTTGCGTTCATTCTTAAAAAAAAAAACCCTAACCGTTGTTAAAGAAAACGAAGCATATGTATCTTACCCAGACACTGCTGAATATGTTTGATGGACATTCGCTGTAATCCCTATGAATCAGATGTATATTGATTCACTCTGGTGACGCCGGTGGTGCTCGTGCGAAGAGACATCTGAAGATGTTGAAGTGGTTTTATAGCGCATCCGCTCGGAGCGCCGGGGTTACTGTCGGTCATCCACTCTACTGCACATTTAACTGGGTCTGAGGAGCCCAAAACAGCTCTAAACTGCATAACTGCTAACATCTGCTGACGAATGAATGCTATGAAAACAATGCAGAGGGAAACGTGCCTTTTCCACTGTTTTTTTTTTTTTTTTTTTTTTTTTTTTTTTTGGGAAACTATAACATTTTGCTTGATTTTCCAACCCTTTAACTGACTTCTCAACAAAACGGTTGAGCACGTTTTGAGTCATTTTATTTTATTGAGAGGAGTACCTAACTTAAAGGAGTAGTTCACTTTAAAAAAAAAAAATTGCTGATAATTTACTCACCCCGTGTAATCCAAGATGTCCATGTCTTTCTTTCTTCAGTCGGAAAGAAATTAAGGTTTTTGATGAAAACATTCCAGGATTTTCTCCATATAATGGACTTCAATGGGAACCAAACGGTTCAAGGTCCAAATGAGAGTTTCGGTGCAGCTTCAAAGGGCTTATCTGGCGAAACGATCGGCAATTTAAAAAAATAAATAAAAAAGGTTAAGTTTCACAAGCACAAATGCTCACCTTGCTCGGTTCATCAAAATTAATAAATCTTTTTTCGAGTCATGACTCGAAGGGTCCTATAAGACCCTTTTCTTTGGGAAAATTTCTTTGGATATGGTTGATGGGATGTGATACTCTATGTAAAGTGTGTGTGTGAGTTTTGTTGTGAGAAATGCCTTTGATAAATTGGTCATCAGCGAGTGTGATCACCTCTATAAAAGCAGAAGTTTTGGTTGTTTGCTGGTCAGGGATCATTCGTGTCTTAAAATGCCAAAGAGGAAAGCACCATGATCTTAGAGAAGCAATTGTTTCTGCCATCAATCTGGGAAGGGTTTTATGGCCATTTCCACACAATTCGAAGCCTAATATTTTACAGTGAGGAAGATTATTCAAAAGTTCATAACATTCAAGACAGTTGCCAATCTTCCCATGAGTGGATGTCCCAGCAAATACATCCCAAAAGTCAGACCATTAATGCGCAGAAAAACAGAAAAAAACCCAAGAACCTCAGTTAGGACGTTAAATGTTTAAATTTATGACAGTACAATTAGAAAAAGACTGAAAAATGATGGCTTGATTGGAAGGGTTGCCAGGTGAAAGCCTATATTCAGCTCAGCTTAGGTTTGCAAAGATTCATCTGAACAAACCTCAAGACTTCTGGAACAATGTCCTTTGGACAGATGAGACTAATGTGGAGATGTTTGAGCCATAATTTGACGTTTAGCGAAAACCAAACACCTAATACCAGCTGTGAAACACTGATGATTCGGGCTTGTTTTGCAGCCACAGGACCTCGAGTCGACCATGAACTCCTTTGTTTACTAAAGTAGAGTAAAATGTGAAGCCATCTGTCTGACAGATAAATCTTGGCCAAAATTGGGGTTATGCAACAGGACAATGATACCGTGCATTCCAGCAAATCTAAAAGAATGGCTGAAAAAGAAAAACACCAAGGTGTTCACTGGCTCAGTCAAAGTCCAGACCAGAACTCGATTGAAATGCTGTGCCAGGACCTTAAGAAAATGAGAGACTGATAAAGTTATGAGGAAAATTATTGCTTCAAGTTATTGCTGCTAAAGGTGGCTCTAAAAGCAATTAAATCATAGCGTGCCGGTGTACTCCATTATGGCCTAGTTTTTGTTAAATAAATAATGACAGTGTAATATGTCACATGCTGTTGTTCTGAGATTGTTTTTACCTAATTTTAAGACCTGCTAAAGACCAAGTGATTTTTTTTTAATTATGCCTGATAATTAAATCCATCATTCAAAAGGGTGTACTTTCTTTTTCACATGACTGACTCAATTTCTATGTTATCTTAGCTATTTTATTCTCTCATTACAAGAATGTAAATAAAACTGCATAATAAATGATGTCAGACTAGACCAGAATAAGATGTATTGACCTATTTGACACTTATTAATATTGAGTTTATGTTCTTAATCCTTTAATCCTTATCCATATTTTTTATGGACCTTTGAAGTAATCTCAGCTCCTCAGGTACAAACTGAGCAACAATATTGTGCCATGGCATATGCCAAGAAAGATGTCATTTGTATGTGTTTGGTGTTTGTCATGGTGTTGCAATACAGATGCAACCAATATTGTGAAATTGTGGGAAACCCTGTCCATGTTCTCAAGCCAGATCCCGTATTCTAGCACTGTGAGAAACACTGTCATCTTAATTCCCCAAAATACGGCAAGCTCATTATATAAATGAACTTATTAATGATATCTTAATGGATGGTATATTTTACAATTTCATAATAGTGTAAGAACAAAAACTATTGAAGGTATACATGACAACCTTCTGTTGATCTAAACAAATATCTGAATAATAAATGTCCCGCTTTCTCTCGTCCATATAAAAGAAAGAAGGGCTGACGGCATTAGAACAACAGCAGGTTGAGTAAATGATGATGTCATGTTCATTTTAGGGTGAACTATCCCTTTAAGTAACCTGTGTGTGATCTCGCTATCTGGAAGAAAGGGTCAGCTGATATTCCCGCTTCTCTGCAGTACAACTGTTGGCACGTACAACACACACCGGTGCAGCTCCTGCCTAGGGAAGCTGTGGAATATTTCGGACATTTTTAATGGAAAAGGGTGATGAAATGATGGAAATCATTGAACACCTGTCTAAGAACACAGTCTAAGTAGGCCTATATGTGAAGTTAACTAGCGATTGCTAAGTGAAAATTGTTTCACAGTATGTAAATGCAACACTACATTTTTTTCAGTGAGCATTTGAGCAATTCAAATCAGATTTTTGGGGTAAATACACTTATGCCATATCCATTATAAAACAAATTCTCACATTTTAAAATCATGATCGCACCTGATTAATCATTCAGATTCTGAAGACATTATGAAAGTGTCCTGTAAGTTGCTATCGAGAGGTTGGCATGCAGTTTTCTTTTTCAAGCCCAGAACAGGACACATGAAGTGGGTCAGTCCTGCGGGGAAATACCTGGCCCATTTGGCACGCACTCGCAAGGTTTCACGTCCATAAAGAGAAGGACTTGTGCATTCTAGAAAAAAGAAACATGGATTGCTAGATGCACCGAGCTGGAGTACTAGAAACACAAATATCACATTACTCTTTGTCAGAAATAGGTTAAAGGCTCTTGTGGAAAAACAATAACACCTAAGCTGAGAATGGACTGATAAACAAGCAAAACTGTGCAAACCTGCTGACTAAGGAAGTGTGTGACAGACACGTCAATGCTGTTTTATCATATTTAAGGGGAAAGTTCAGGCCACATGGGTTTAAGGAGTAAGAGCAAAGCATAACACCCTCCTACAGATGAGACCAAAATCTCTTCTAAAACTGTGTTGAGGCATTCTCTAAAACTGCTGAAGATTGCACATAAACATGAAGTAGGAAAGCAAATTGAATGTTCCACCCAGCTGTGAGAGATAATTTTGGTTATATGACCCTTATTTACAGGGCCACGCACGTAGAGATAATAATACATTCACATACTGACATTGACTGCCCGAAAAAATAAACAATGAATTGAAAAACAACAACTGAGGTTGTATTAATTTATAATATACAATGTACTTTATGTTTTACAATAGCTACAGGGGATCCAAAAGTCTGAGATCACACCACAATTTTAGAAAATCTGGAAATAAATAGAATGAAATGAAAAACTTTATGATAGCCTATAACATGATTAAATATGTAAGATTCTGCACTGTTAAAAAGTTTGTTTTTTATTATGGTTGCTCAAAAATACAGTAAAATTGTGAAATATTCATTTGAAAAAACTGTTTTCCATTTTATTATAGTTATAAATGCAATTTATTCCTGTGATGCAAAGCTGAATTTTCAGCATTATTACTCCAATCTTAGTCTCACACTATCCTTCAGAAATCACTCTAATATGCTCAATTGCTGCATAATTCAACAGTGATACATTTGTACAGGATCTTTAGATTAATAAAAAGGTAGCATAAGTTACAGCATAATCTAAAATATAAATCGTTTGTAGCTTAAAGGAGTTCACTTTAAAAAAAAAAAAAACTTTTGCTGATAATTTACTCACCCCGTGTCATCCAAGATGTCCATGTCTTTCTTTCTTCAGTCGAAAACAAATTAAGGTTTTTGATGAAAATATTCCAGGATTTTTCTCTATATAATGGACTTCAATGGGAACCAAATGGTTCAAGGTCCAAAAGACAGTTTCAGTGCAAACTGCAAACTGTTCAAAGTGACGCGCGTTTGTGACTCTCCTGTTTGAACTTGTTTATCAAAATGAACGAATCTTTTTTCGAGTCATTTGGTTCATTCAACGAGTCATTTTAATGAACGAGTTCGAATAGGAGAGTCACAACGCGCATCACACCCGAACTAACCCCAACACTAACAGAGCAAGGCGACCATTTGAGCTTATGAAACTTTTTTTTTTTAAATGAGCGATTGTTTCACTTGATAAAGCCCTTATTCATCGTCTGAAATCGTTTAAAGCCCTTTTAACAGTTTGCAGTATGCACTGAAACTGTCTTTTGGACCTTGAACCGTTTGGTTCCCATTGAAGTCCATATGGAGAAAAATCTGGAATGTTTTCATCAAAAACCTTCATTTCTTTTCGACTGAAGAAAGAATGAAATGGATATCTTGGATGACATGGGCGTGAGTAAATTATCAGCAAAAGATGTTTTAAAAGTGAACAACTCCTTTAAATGTAAACGTCTCACATGCTGAATAAAAGAAAAATCCTTGTGATCTTAAACTTGTGAACTTTTGTATAAATCTGAAATATAATGACGCACGACATGATAAAATTATATTGAAAGCAATCCAGTGGAATTGGTCCGTTTTTATCATAGTTTTTATTCATATTTGTTGTGTCTGAGCTCCCTCTAGTGGGCAGACACATTAAAGTACAGTCAGATTCGACAACCAAATCACTTATGTTGTTTACAGTAATCTGTAAGGATTTTCCCCTCCTCTTTCTTTGTCTTTTCTCCCTATCTCTCTCTGTGACACACGCACACACAATAAGTCACAATGTTCACTCTCTCCCTGGTACAACAGTGAACAATGGAACAATGCAGCAGTTCTGTGGCCGAGGCTTCACCCCTCAGACAGAGCGCTGTGATGAGCGAGGTGAGACGGTCAACATCCAGCTCCTATCGCCCGAGCTCCAGCTGGAGGATAAAGGTGGGACAAAGTTGTTATGATTGACGAGTTTAAAACTTCTAAGATTAAATAGAGCTTCGAAAAAAATAGTTCCCCTTGTTTTTGTGCTCGTTTCTTCAGGGGGAAGGTCTGTCACACAGCAATACAAATGTTCGTTTGTCTGTCACACAGCAATACAAATAGGCTAGTAACATTTGTTTATCTATCTATTAATCCTGTCACAATCATTTATGTCAGTTCTACTCGATTACGGAATCAATTCAAAGTGGTCAAAACGTGAAATGAATGTTGTGACTTTCACCACTTAGATTTAGTAGAAATTAAGGCAGCAATTTATCTTTAAGAGTTGGGAAACTTTGGAAGTTTATATACAACTTTATTAAGTTGACATTTTTGCAACATTTAAAGTTGTGTTTTCAGGAATTCTCAAACAACTATTTATAAAAATACTACTTTTTTTTTTTTTGCAGTAGGATAATGGTAATTTATTATTATCCTCCTAGTTATGTTTATTGGTCTTCAAAGCCAAAATTGTAATAATCTCCAGTTAAAGTGTATGAAGAGTTGGGGTGGGAATAGAGTGCCTGTATTAATGTGTGTGTTTTAGGGTAGTTTTGCAGTGACTAGCACACTGAGAGGCAGAAGTGACGCAGATTCCCAACTGGGTGGTGATGATGATGACCGTATGGACTGACGTTTGTGCTGCTCATACAGTAGTGGTCAAGCAGAAATGAGCTTTTGCTCCTGTTTTTATAGCAATCTGTGGGAAAATTGAGGTCAGGGTGGGGCAACAGCCAAATCTTTTTTTTTTCTCAGCCAAAGATAAATGTTTATATTACCAGAAGTTATGAATGCTTATGATTACAGTTTTTTCTTATTGCCTACATATAGTTTCTTAAACTATAAATATACACTTCAAAACACTGTAAAACACTACAGTGTATATATTTAGTAGCCTATATTTACAAACTACAGAAAGCAAAGGTGAAAGTTTTATTTATTTCTCAAAACATTGAGCTTAGATTTCCGAGTGATCACATTAGGGATGTTTACATTATAAACAGAGATGCAATAGTTGGAAATTAATTAATTTATTTCTGAAAACATTGAGTTTTGATTTCTAAGTGATCAATTTATGTACAAGTGTTTTCACATGATCATTGGGTGTAGGTGGTGACCATAGACCTCCATTATATGACTGACAGACAAGAACAGTTTGACCTAAAAATATCAAAATTGAAAATACTGTGAAAATACATCTTGGATGCTCTCGAGGTAAGCTAAAACATATCAAAAATTAATTTCAAAGTAATCTATCCCTTTAAGTTCAGAAATGTTAATACAGTTTTGCATAATTTTGTATATAATTATTTCTTAAGTGAAGCTGTTTTAAAATATGACGAATCTGTCGTGTTATTAACATAATATTGAATAAAAGCATATTAATAAAATACAATACATACATTTAAAAGCGCATTTAAAAAATAGCCTAAAAAAACAGCTATTCCCTGTTTAAACTTCCCGGGTTCCTCCAGCATCCCTTCATCCCGCGCGCGTTCCGCCCCATCCAGCTCGTGCTGTGAATGGACGGCTGCCGTTCTTTTCCGGCTATACCTGCTCAACCCACCAGGAAGTGCTGGGCGATAAATCCTAAAGTAATAATCCCTTTTACCTGGAGCGAGAGGAGCGAACAAACATTATTATGCAGTGTATCCGGGGAAAGCCCTCCGATTAGATTCATGTGATCGACGCGCGCGATTAATGCAGGGTAAAAAACACCGTCAACTCCCTGCAAGTTGGGGTTATTGTTTTCCTGCGGTGTAGCGTTTAGTTCTTTTGCGGTCCTAACCTCCCTCCGGCAATGGGATGCAGTGAAAGCGTAGAGGTAAGCGATGCTGCCCGCGACTATACGCGATACAGTGTGTGTCGAATCTCGAGCGGGTGTGTTGATACGTTGTTTCATTGTTTCACGGCTGATCGCCTTTGACGGGCCAGTGAAGTGCTGGACTGTCTCTTGCGCTGCATGTAATCCTATTATTATGTCCTATGCGGCCGCACATAGCGATGAATAGATTTGACCATGACAGTTATTTGTTGATTTCGCCTGTGCATGATAACACAAACCGTTAGACCTGTGTCAGCTGCACACTGATGATCTTCATAACACTGTGCAGTGTGTTAGTAAACATGTTTATAGGGACTGCTGTCATTTACAACATACTGGTTACACAAAGGTACTTATAACTGGATATATGGCCGATGCTCGTTTTGTTGAAATTGATTTACATTTGTTATAACATTCATATGAAATTACTAATTAACATTTGCAGCGTGTTAGTTAAATGTAAACAAGAGATTGACTGATGTGATTTTTTATGATTCATTGATAAATAATACAGATTATTTGTTTTTTTTAAACAACAATAGATGTATTATTCATTACTAATCTCAGAAGTAAACAATAACAATATAATAATAATAATCAAATAATACTATTATTATTAATAATAAAAGCATGTTCTTTAACATAATATTAATGCTCTTAAAAAGGCATGATTTATTATTAGTCAACACAATTAATAATATTAATAATAGACATGCTTAATCACCTTATGTTTATCATTTGAATCATATGATAATCAGTCTAAGCATGACTGAACATGAAGCACTGTGTTTTTGTGTCGCAGAGGACAAAAAGAGAATGGAAACCTTTGGAGGACCGAAGCTGCACGGATCTGCCGTGGTTCCTGTTATTTACATTGTTCCTTGTGGGAATGGTAAATCAACAATTCACTTTATTCATAATTTATATACAATATTATGTTCATATATGCATGTTATGAAGGTGCTTCTGGTCACATGTGTTCATGTTACTGTGTATTTACATATATGGGTACTAGTGCTGCACAATTCACAATTAAAAGATCGGGATCTCTATTTAAACACCCACCTAATCGAATTCCTTAACACCAGTGATTCAGCTGTCTTTGACATGTAAAACTTTATAGTTTGGATTTAAACACTGATGTCTATGGTATAGCGAGCAAAATGGAGTAAATCACCTTTTGAAAGTAACTTGACGTTTCAAACACTGTCATTGAATCATTCTTACAAAATGCTGATTCATCCAGTAATGAATCAAATCTTGAATCATGCATTCAAACCGTCAATTTGAACAAAAAAACAAACACTCGTTGAGTGGTTTAATAGGATAGTTAATAGTTAAAACATGTAAACTTAATAAATCCTTATCTGGAGCAAAATAAGCAAGCTGACATTCATAACAATCTATCTTTCATTTAGAATATATTTACAAATTTAAAGTTTTAGTTTGTCAAGAGAGATTTAAAGAGCCGTTTTTGAATGGTGCACATGTAAGAACAAGTCTAGAGAGAAGAGAATTAGTCCTCAGATGCCATGTCCGTAATTTATAGCAACAAATCTTGCATTAATTAATTCTCTAACAAATCGATTAAAGAAAGTTATTAACCTGACATTATTAACCAAAGCGGTCAAACGAAAAAAAAAAAAAAAAAAAATTGGGACAGTCTGGTTTCGGGAAGCAGTCGTGACTAGCTAGTTGATTTCTTCAACGATGCATCATACTATGGTAGTTAAGCAGCGAGTTACTGTACGTCGTTGTACAGGAACCCCAGATTGGTTAGTCATGGCATTCAACAGTCAGATGTCCAGGACAACGCTGTGTAACTGTATTTTAGAGCTGCACAATTCTGGATAAATTGAGAATCACACATTTTTTTGGTTAAAATAGAGATCACGATTCTCTCACAATGAATGATTCAATGACTCACTCATAAAGACTTTACTTGTTTCATTTCTAGATCAATCAGTGTTTTTTTATGAATCTCTTCAATGAATGAATGGTCTCAATGCACGGCGGTATTTCCGGTCAAGGTGTGGATGCACTGAGAATTTATATTGAATTTTATACTCCATGGTTATACTAAAGAAACATTAGTCACAAAAACAGACAAAACAGACACCCCTCGTTGTGTTTATGCTTCTTTTTAAAATTATATTAAATAAACATAGCTATATGTAAAATTACATCTAAATGTATGAACGTTTCGTTTCAAAGACGGGAGGACAGTAAATTTTGAAGACTCTGCCATAATCCCGTTTTCCTCGGTTTTCCTCCGCTTTAATCTCCCTTTTTTGTTGCAAACTGTTGAGCATCCTTGTGCCAAATGCGGAACTTGTGCATGTATAAAGCCCATTCAATGACAAATACAATTTTTAACAGTAACATGTCGCCACCTACTGGTGTAACAATGTAATGATACAATCTTTATTTGAAGCTTCAAGTTACGTTCAAATGGTCATTTGGTCTATTTTGCCCACTATCATAGACATCAGTGTTTATATATGTATATATATATATTAACTTTTATCCCAGTACTTCTGTGATAATGTTTGTAAGACAGAAACAATGAGACTGTGTGGTTGAAAAAACTTGTTTTGTTTGTGAAGCATATATGTCAACTGCTCTCTCTGGGTCAGCAGCGGCAAATGCAGATTTTGAATGTTTGCTGTGATTGTACTTGTCAAAGGTTTAATAGAAAGGCGAATTGTTGTCAATAGCAATAAAATTGCCTGGGTGTTTGAATTGAGATTGCTTTATTTTTAACGAATAATCATGCAGCTCTACTGTATTTTATGCATTGATTTATTATTTTTTTTATTTTATTAGCAGTTGGTCATATAAGTCACATAAATCAGGACTATGATGTGAAGCAGAAGTGGAGTTCAATGTTCCTGGACACTGACTCGACAGTCTCTTCTCTTAATAAAGCAATAAAATAACTTAAGCATAGAATAAATAACTGAAAGCAATAGTTTATGGCATTTAATTTATTTAGTAAAAAGCCATATAATACAACATTCTACCATACTAATTAATTCAATACTTTTTTCAGGATGACACTGCATAAATATTTTATGGCCCAGCTTTAAATGACGTTTTTAATATGTGGGGTTTTGTCACCTTGTGATTTCTCTGGTCTTCACAAACAATTGGGAACATTTAGTTTAGCTCTATACGTCCCACATTGACACCGAACTAGCTATTAACGCAACATCTCTTCCAATGAAAATCTGAGCAAGCCACGATTAGTCTCACTTGGTTTCTATTTCTGTGGTGTTTTGCGGGGTACCTCCACCCAGTGTGAAATCTCACTGCTTCAAATCCCGTTTCACATACCTGTATTATAGTACATTAAATATTTTCTGATTGGTTGTGATTGCAAGGATGCTGACCTTTGACCAAATGAAGAAACTCACAGGAATCACTTTTGTCGGTTTTGATGAATCCTGTAAATGTTTTAGGAGCTTTTCACACATCTTTGCCTGTAGTTATTTTAAACAAACACTGTCCATGATTCCTGCTAATTCACTCTCATTCCAGTGTGGCATCTGTGGGTTTACCATCGCAACTGGAGGGGCGGCGAGGCTCGTGTTCGGATATGACAGCTACGGGAACACGTGCGGCCAACGCAACGAGCCCATCGAAGGGGTCCGGCTGAGCGGTCTCGACCATATTGACAGAAAGTGAGTCAGCTCGCCTTTCATCCCTCTTTGTACACTTAGCCCGCACGCACCATCCCCTCACCTCCTCCTCATCCTCATTGCACACCAGTTTTTCTCCGTCGTAAAGTGGTCAGCAGTGAAATCAGAGCGCTCCAGCTCCTTGCCCTTTGATTATCACATCAATGCAAATGTCAAACGGCTGGCGTTTCACCTCGAGATGGCTGAGGACTATCTGAGCTACACACACAGTGCCTTGAATAATTCAGTACTGGCCCCGAGGACGGGCACTGTCACAGTGTGCAGCCCTTAATGGGTGCTAGCCTGCAGGAAAGACAGGTATTGCAGGCTATTTCATTTGTAGAGCTGTCAAATTACGTTTTTTTTGACTCTCCTGTGTGGTTGAACTGAATTGTATGTAGCTTTTTTCAGAGATGGGACTGAGATCTGACTCATCACAAGGCAGAGTGATTCATTTGGTGGAGTGAAGTTAATAATGGCTTGAAAATGTCTTGCTGGAGCTGTCAGAGAGATGGCTGTGTTGGCAGAGGACATGCGGTTTACCTTTGTATTAAATGATGTCAAGGCTTCATACAAATGCAATTAGAAGCTTGTAAAGGAATATCTCTGACATTATTTACTAGGGCTGGGTAATAAATATCGATTTCTCGATATTAATCGATTCTCATTTTTACGAACCGATATCGATTCTTAAATCTCAAGAATCGATTAGTCATCCTGTTTCATTTGATGAATGGGACATTGTATCGCGGCTGTCCGCATCCAAAAATCGCAATAATCTTTGTCCTTTGTTACTATTGATATGAAACAAAGTCTCAATTTTCAAATTACGTCCATTTTCTTTAGAAATTCAAAAACATAAATAGTGTTTTGGCGCTGTGGCGTGAGATCACTCTGGCGCAACGCAAGAAATAAACATGAATGAGCATCTGAAAGTGAGTTAAAGATTACAACTTATCGAAATCCGTATCATGTCACATTGATTCGCTCAATCAGCGTTTCAACCGTGGAAAGACGTCAGTTAAACTAATCAATGTCGTACAGTATATCGTCATATTTACCTCATAAACCTCATACATAAACTCGTTAGTCAGCTAGAAAAAATAACTCCAGAGAGGAGAATTTTGCTAAATATACACCATATTACATATGCATTATAATCTTAATGTTCTTCAATATTTAATGCATATTTGAATAAATCTGGCAAGTTTTTATGACAGCCACAATTTAAATGTTTATATTTCATATAATCTTCTTATTATAAATATAAATAAAAGTGTAATTTAAGTGTTTGTATAACTACAAAACAGTTTATTATTACCTTCATATTAGGCTAATGAAATCTATAGGCTACAACTAGACTCCCATAGTTTACAGCATTAGTTAAGAGATTTGATTCCCTTGAGAAAAATGGCCATTTATTGTAACTGATTTCCAAAATAATCGATATTGAATCGAATCGAATTGCAAGCTTGTGAATCGAAATCGAATCGAATTGTGAAATTTGTCTCAATACCCAGCCCTATTATTTACTCATTAACACCCTCATGTTGTTCCATACCTGCAGGACTTATATATATATATATATACTATTTACTTATATATATATATATATATATATATATATTTCTTGCTCATCCAATGGAAGTCAGTGGGGTCCAATCTCACTAACCCAAACTTTATGAAAACCAAGTTACAAAAAGTTATGTTTTATCATAACTAAACCCATATTAACATTTTCCCATGTTTACATATTCAGACATCTGATCCAACATGATGAACAACAGTGTGGACTGACTGTGCTACACTGGAATTTGCTAAACAGAGGTCATTTACATATACCGTAAAACTTCAAATAATAGCCCGGGTTTTTATTTTCCTAAATTGTTGAACTGCACCTGTTTGTATTTGAGACAGGCCTTTATAATTTAGTGTTGAGATCTTGTTCATTGAGTGTAAGCCTAGAGTCTCTAATCTATAAAAAGTCTCCAAATGCTCCATATGAAACTGCGGTCTTTCGACCTTTTACTATTTTGTCAATTGATTTTGATTAATGTGCGTGAGGGAGAGAGAGCAAGATAGTGCTCATGTTGTTTGAAGACGTGAGAGTGCGCATGCGCGTCCGGCGCCCTATCAAGCGCAGCAGTCGATCTATTCTACATCACTCACCGATCAAAAAAGGCTTTGGCGGGACAAAAATTTGCTTTGGCGACCTCCAAAAAGTGGACGATCTGACGGGTTTTAGAAGATTAAATACAAACCGAAACTAAAAAAACAGACTATTTACCCAAACCTGCTGCCACACCAGGTGTGTTAAAGAGACGGGAATCATCTAAGTCTTATGTAGCCTACTGTTTTTTTTTTTTTTTTTTTTACTCTACTAAAGCACATATTTACCATAATATGTATGAGATTTAGAAAACATGCTAAGTTCACAAACATGTTTCTCAGAAAAACAATGCTACAGCCAGTGACGTGTGTTCCGTGTCTGAATGTCTGTTTTATTTTGGACTGTGTGATCGCCATAGACAGTAAAAGAAATGGACAGAGCGACCCCATTGATTTCAACGGAGAAGACTGAAGCCCGATTTTTGTACTTCCTGTCTGATGTCTGAGTGACTGCGCAGGCTCAAACTGAGTGTGACAACAGTCTGACAGTTGTAAATGTTCTAGTAGCTGTGCCAAGCCAAATCTGAATCACCTAATTCCTCAAAAATGTTGTTGAAATATTTTGTCCCATTGCTTTTATGGGCTTCTCCCTCGACTTTGTGCCTCCATGTCCCCCCTATTGCCTCAGAGACAATAGATGATTGCCTGCGAGCTTTTCCTCCTGTCTATACGGTAATGTCTCTACTGTGCGACAGAAAGTTGTGTAGTGATGACGCAATCGTTAGCCTATTTTTCACAAAAACGGCATTTACGGGGACATAACGTAAGACACAAAGTAGTGGAGCATTTTATACATTGTCTTGTTTCTTTATAAATAAATAATGGACAAATGAAGTCTTTGGACACCTCAGATGTAAAGTTATTGACTGTCAAAGTGATGCCAAAATGAATGGGAGTCAATAGGATGCTAACAGCTGTGATGGTCTGCTACAATGGCAGCTCCCGGAAGGCTTCAACTTCTGGCTGATGGATTACCCCATAGATACAGGGGTTGGACAATGAAACTGAAACACTGGCCAATGTTGGAGGTTTCACATCTATATGCCTGGCGGCCAATCTTCAGAGTGAAGCACGGGTGGATCAGTGATGGTTTGAGCTCCAATATCATGACAATCCTGATTGTATTTGATGGACACGACACTGCCGAGGACTACCAAACCCTTCTGGAGGATCATGAGCACCTGATGTTCAAACCGCTCAAACCGCATGATCATGCACCAACACACACAGCAAGACTTGTGACAGAAGGGTTTGATGAAGATGAAAGTGACGTTGAACATCTCCCATGGTCTGCACAGTCACCAGATCTAAATATTATTGAGGTGTTTTGGAGGAGCGAGTCCACCAGCATCATATAGTGACCTGGACACTGTTCTGGAAGAGGAACAGCTCATAATCCCTCTTGTCACTGTGAAGGACTTCTATCTGTCAATTGGTGCTGTATTTGGATGCAAAATGAGGCCCTTACCATTCTAACAAATTATTGTGTTGTAAGACCAGGTGTTTCAGTTTCATTGTCCAACCCCTGTATGTATATAAAGGCTAGATGTGTCGTCCGCGCTGCTGGCCAATGGAGGTCGACGTCAGCACCTGGCGGCCATCTTGTCACAGGCAGCTCGCTCACTGGTAACATTGTTTTGATGTTGCATGTACTTTTTAAATCACCGTAACTTGCTCAATTTTCTACCGGTCTGGTTTGTTATAAACGGCAGAGATGTAGTTATGACACTGCATACTTATGAATAATAAGTGTATAAATAAATAATCATCCAGAATTATAGCCACGTTAATAACGTTTGTAAGAAACCAAACCGTTTGTAAATCCGTCAAGATTTCAACGAGATAAGAGTATTTCTTACATCAGATACCACAGAGCCCGCCAGAAAGCCTGTCTGTGACAAGATGGCCGCCGGTGATGACGATAAATACTCCGCCGTGAGACATCTAGCCTTTATATAGATATCTATGGATTACCCCCTTGGTGATTGCCTTGTTTTTGCTTCTTTTTCACCTGTACTCTTTCAGAAGATGCATTATAGCGCCCTCTACCGCATAACAGTAAAAACACAGATTGCCGGAAATTTCTGTCAATGCCGGGGAAACAATGTGTCATCAATTATGAAAGATTCCGTAAATGGCAGGAAAGAGCCAACGTGTTACCACATACACTATACTTGAGTGCTAGAACAGCATAATAAGCTGACTTCCGGGATAAGAATAAAATATTAGGCCTGTAAAATATATATTATTTTCATGTAGGCAATACGGAAACGAAAATAACCACTGAACCTAATCTAACCCAAAGCTTGCTGCACAAAAACTGCTGACAACCTTTACAGCATGCAATAAACGATGAAGTACATGAGAGGAAAAGATGGACCAGAGATGGATAACGTGAGGGAGCGTGGGTAGTGGGAGCAGCCTGCTGGATCACGCTACTAGAAGCTGAGAAAGTAAAACTAAGCTAAGCGCATTAACCAGATGAACTTTGCTCGGCTAACAACATTAGCTTGCTAAGTCTGCCTCCTGACACACACAAATTACATCCCAAGCATGTACTTTATCCAGTACAGCAATGAGTCTTGATGGGTAACCACTGGCCTAAGGAATTGGAAACTGGAATGAATTGTATGTATAGGTACGTTAGGTAGAGACTCGTATTTCCAATGAGCCTAGGTTGGCGACGTGTGTCTGTGTATAAAGAGAGAATGATATGGAGGGTATGTAGTTCTGTGGTAGAAACAGAGATAAAGCTGTAATATGAGGAAGATGAAAAGAAATAAGCATTCACATCTTCTAGGTGGTATTTACCACATCTGTCTCTTTTATAACAAGATTAAATGAAGTAATTACTCCCAGCTATATGTTGTAATAGGATACGCAAACACCTGGACACGTGCTACATCACACACAGGCAACATGATGTGAAAAAAAAAGTGAAACGCCAACATAAATCGATGCTTTTCACAAAAATGTATTCTGTAAATGGGCAACTGACATAATTTTACTGTCCTCAAAGGCTGTAATTTTAAACTCATATTCTATCAAGACTGGACAGCAAAGAACATTTTTATCATAAACATAAAATTGTCTATTCAAACTGTGCTTTGTTTTGTTTGTGAAAATTGTAATTGTACCCCTGATGAACTGTGAAACAGACATATTAAAATGAGTTTGGGGTCTGTAAAAAATGATATTGTCTCAGTCTCATGTTCACCAAGGCTGCAATAAAAACAGTAATATTGCAAAATATTACAATTTAAAATAACTTTTTTTCTCTTTGAATGTATTTTGAAATGTAATACATTTTTCAACATCATAACTCTGATCTTCAGTGTCACATGATCTTTCAGAAATCATTCTAATATGCTGATTTGCTGCTCAAGAAACATTTCGTATTATTATCATCATTGTTAAAAATAATTGTTGCGTAATATTTTTGTGGAAACCATGATGCATTTTTTTTCTTTGCTGGCATTTATTTAAAACAAACACTTTTTATCAATTTAAAATATATTCAAATAGAAAGTTATTTCAAGTTGTAATAATATTTCTGTTTTTACCATATTTTTGATTAAATCAATGCAGCTTTGGTAAGCATTAGAGACTTCTTTAACCCTAAAACCGTATTCTGGACAAATGTGGGCAAAATAGTTTTGATTTATTTTTTAAAAATACTTCCCTTGATCTGAGCGGTACAAGACTTGGCTACTTTTCCTAAGTTTGCCTCCTGAACACACACACACTTTTTTGACTCAATTCTATAATGTTAAGTGGGTGAAATGGGAAAAACTGTAATTTAGAGCATTCTAAAATAAGCCAAAATAAGACACCAGGTGACCGTAAAGTCACTTCATCTTTAGGTTTTAGCTCTAAGAACTTAATGGAATGATATTTTAATGTAGTTAAATTAAAAAAAAATAAAACATAAAAATAAGCATTATTTACATAGAAAATATGGTACTTTTTGAAGTAAATCAATTCAAAAATACCCCCAAAATAAAAAAAAACACCATAAATGGATAGACAAAACTTTATCGAAGACAGTGATATAACATTTATAATAAATAAAAATTAGGATCACACCTGAGTCCTCTGTGTCCACAATTACAGGATTAAGGGCTATAAAGTGAATACGGTTTGAGGGCTACAAAACATTCTTAACAACCACAAACTTTTTTCAGTGTATTTTCTATGTAGTAAATTAAGCCTTTATAATAAAACAAGAAATTCAGTAGAAAAACTGTAGTTGTAGTTTGCGAATGCTATATTCTTGTCAAATCTTTTCACATTAGACTCCCCCGAGGACAGGTCTGGGCTCCGTACAGTAAACCTCTCCTATGACCAGGCCGTTTTGACAGGATCTGTGCTAACGCTGAAGTGCTCTTTCCTCAAGCGCGTGCGTCCCCTGCTACTGACAGTCTGTTTTTGTGCCGAGCACACAAGACAATGGGTCCCTCGTCCCCGCGTGGGCACCGTGCCCACTTCACACCACAGGAAAAGATGAAGTAAAGCCACAGCCACAGAGGAGGATTGGCTTATAAACAAGCTCTCAGTTCCCCTCTGCCAAAAAAACTGGGCTGAACGGTCCTGTGACGAAAAATATCTGCTGTTCAGAGTTGATCTTTATCGCACAATGCTGTGTTCTAAGCCCCACTGTGGTACTTCATGTAATAAACATCTTGCTTTGGTATTTCATTTGTCATCAGATTTGAGGTTATGTACTTTTCCTGTCTTGAAAAATGAGAGTTTGGTGTGGTTTTATTCACAGATTCGTCTTTTTCCTGGATCCATGCAACATAGACATCATTCAGAGGAAGATTAAGTCCATGGCGCTGTGCGTGTCACTATGTCCTACCGAGGAACTGGCGACTTACTACGACCTCAAGAGGTTTGCCATGATGAATGGTGAGTTGATCACCCAGTTAGCTATTGTGTAACGTCATCGTCACGGATATAATGCCAGGACATCTACCCAATGGGAAAGACAAAGGCGTTCCTTATATATGTGGTTATGACCCCCAGTCTGTGTCTTTACATTCTTTTTTTCTCAGGGGCTCCAACAAGAGCAACACACACACACACACACACACACACACAGATTTCGACATATGTTCCTGTCAGGCACAGACCCGGTTGAGTTGGCTAAACAAAGGTTCCACTGACCCATTTTGCTGTAGGGTCTCTGTTGTTTACAGTCCAGTCTTGCTGTCTGTAGGGTTTGACACGTTCCATCTGACACCAAGCGGGAATATGAATGACATCATTGTTTCCCATTCAGAGACATGGACTTTCTCTGCGTTTTCTGTGCATCTGCTTAAGAGGACAGTTCACTTCATATTAAATACGTAGTGAGTTAACTGGATTAATTAGTGACCTTAATATCTCCTGTTGATAGCTGATATTAGTTATTTTAGTACTATTTATGTACTGTTATATAGCACTTATGTTTTGAAGTGGATTTTATTTTTATACTTTTCAATTTAGTAATATTGTTCTGCACTTTTAAAAAAAAAATATTTCTGTTTAGCTTAAATTTATCTTAAGTTCAATTTTAGTTTAAGTAATTTTTGTACTTATTTCAGTTTAAGTTTAAAAATGTTTTTTCATCTAAAATATATTATATATTTTTAGTTGATTACTTTGAACATTAGAAATGTCTTAAAGGAGTAGTTCACTTTTTTAAAAAAACTTTTGCTGATAATTTACTCACCCCCATGTCATCCAAGATGTCCTTGTCTTTCTTTCTTCAGTCGAAAAGAAATTAAGGTTTTTGATGAAAACATTCCAGCATTTTTCTCCATATAATGCACTTTACTGGTAACCAAACGGTTCAAGGTCAAAAAGACAGTTTCAGTGCAAACTGTTGAAAGGGCTTTAAATGATTCCGGACGATGAATAAGGGTCTTATCAAGCGAAACGATCGCTCATCTTTTCTGTGATGCACGTTCATGACTCTCCTGATCAAACTCGTTCATCAAAATGAACAAATATTTTTTTGTGTCATTTGGTTCATTCAACGAACGAAATGAACGAATTGACTCAGAAAAAGATTTGTTCATTTTGATAAACGACTTTCAACAGGAGAGTCACGAACTTAAAATTTGTTTTTCTTTTAATGAGAGATCGTTTCGCTTGATGAGACCCTTATTCATCGTCTGGAATCGTTTTGAACAGTTTGCACTGAAACTGTCTTTTGGACCTTGAACCGTTTGGTTCCCAATGAAGTCCATTATATGTAGAAAAATCCTGGAATGTTTCATCAAAAACCTCAATTTCTTTTCGACTGAAGAAAGAAAGACATGGATATCTTGGATGACATGGGGGTGAGTAAATTATCAGCAAAAGTTTTTTTTAAAGTGAACTGCTCCTTTAACTCACTTTTGATCAACTGAATGTGTCTTGAATTATAGAATGAATTTCTTACAAAAAAAGAAAAACAAAGTCTTATTGACCCCAAACTTTTGAACAGTATGTGTTACATCCCCATATCTATTTTTTTAGAGCAATGTTTATTTAAATTTTTTTGTCTGACCATTTTGGTCAACCTGATTAAAGCTGGTTGACTTTTGATTTGAGCTAGTCAGGTCACCTAATGAAGCTTGCTTCCTCTTATTGTCCACCTTAAAGGTATCGTTCACCCCAAAATAAAAATTCTGTCATTATTTACTCACCCTCAAGTTGTTCTAAAAAATGAATGGAAGTCATTGGGGGCCAGTAACTGTTTGGTTACCAACATTCTTCAAAGTATCTTCTTTTGTGCTCAACAGAACAGAGAAATTCATATAGGTTTAGAACAACTTGAGGGTGAGTAAATGACCATTTTAATTTTTGGGTGTACTATCCCTTTAAGTTAGCATGAGCTAGCATTAAAGGGGTGATGTTGTGTGTATAATGCAAATGCATTTTTTTTGTTCTCTTTTAGCATCTGAGCTTTGTTCGTATGAGTTACCTGGTCATAAGTACCCTCAACTTCCCGAGCGCTTCGAAAAGTGTCCCAAACTTCCAGTACCAGAGAGGTATGAAACAAACTCTTGACAAACAAACTCTCCCTATAAAGCGCGGCTCTTTTCCCCCTTGATCTGTCCTCTATCCTCTGGCCTTTTCTATCTCTGCAGCAAAGCTCTTCCAGTGTTTAACCGCTGCACGCCTGTGGATATCTCCTGCTATGCTAAGTTTGCTGAAGCGGTGGTCACGTTTGTCAGTGATAACAGCATGTTAAACAGGCTGATTGCCGGGGTGGCGGCCAGCAAAGAGATCATTGTTGGGCTGTGTCTGCTGGCGTTAGGTAAACGTCTACTCTCTCGGGCTGCTGAGATTACATTTTCTTACTATGTTTTTACCTGTAAATGGATAGTTACGGTCCCTGATATCCATATAAAATCAACAAACAAGCATCTAAATATAAGGCTCACTATAGTAATTATTGCAGTGTTCTGAGCCACTATCAGATGGAGGCTTAAGTATTCCATCATCCCTTTAAGAAACAACATTTGCAACATATGGAAATGAAATTCCATAATACAAAATTTTAGATTGAGAATATCTTAATCTGAATTTGTTCCTGTTTTGTGCATGCTGCAGTTTTGTCTATGATCCTCATGGTGATCATTCGTTACATCTCTGCTGTCCTGGTTTGGATCCTCACTGCAATGGTGGTTCTGGGTTCTTTGGGCAAGTCTGCTTTCACTGATCTTTTCTCACCTCCTGAGCTGAAAATAACTTTCTTTCTTTCTTCATTTGCACGTACTCTTACACAATAGCACAAAAGCGCAATCTGATCAATTAAACAGTTTAGCCAGTTGTCAAGGATACATTTGTGATCTTATGAGCATCACACAAAGTGAGCCGTTTTTAATGATCATGTCGGTCTGATACTTGATTTCATTTTATTTGACTATTTTACTTGGTTATATTTTAATTGGTTCTATTATTTTTAGGGCTGTCAAACGATTAATCGCGATTAATCGCATCCAAAATAAAAGTTTGTGTTTACATAATATATGTGGGTGCACTGTGTATAATTATTTTATATATATAAATATTAAGAAATATTTTCATGTATATACTGTGTATAGATTTATATATTTATATAATTTATATTATATATAAATATTTTACATATAAATAATATTTTTTTCTTAAATATACATGCATGTGTGTGTATTATTTATATATAAAATAATTATACACAGTGCACCCACATATATTATGTAAACACAAACTTTTATTTTGGATGCGATTAATCGTTTGACAGTCCTAATTATTTTATATTTTATAATTGTGATATATTTTTATATTTAATATTGGTAATTAACATTGTTCTTTTCTATTGTATTTTTGTTTTATTTTATCATTTTGTTCTATTTTATTTTATTTAGTTTTCTTCAGTTTTATTTTTAGCTATTTTTCTCAAACAATCTATTATTTGCTGGTTTCAAAACTACTATTATCTATTATAAGTACAATTATCCATCTTAAAACTGTAATTTACGTATCGTTTTTATAGTTTTTGATGCCTGTTTTTACTTCCATTTCCAAAATTTAGTGCAAGTTTGTTTTTCAAGCAAAAATACGACTAAACAATATAGATTTATAATATAACTCTTCATATGATCATATTGACTGTCAGCCAATATTATTATTATGTACAGTATCTGTTCCAAAAGGATGCACAGTCCCAAACAAAGGTGAATCACCATTAACACAGTGTTTTATTCTAGGCTTACACCTGTTTTTGCAGTGTTGAATGTGAATTTGGCTTGCGTTCTTTCTCAGGAGGCACCAGCGTTCTGTGGTGGTTATACATAGACTACCGAATGACGATGAATGAGACCATGTCTAAGGATCTGAGGGAAACAGAAGAACCCAACGGTGGCATGAAACCCACCAAAGACTACGCTCAAGGACTGCTCATCTACGCAGTTTCAGCAACTGTGTTCACTGTAAGCTCTCCAAGAAATGAGGATATGAAATATGGCTGATGTTTTTGGTTGTGTCATGCTGCAAATGTCCCTCTTTCTGCTCCTGCAGGGAATATTGTTGCTTCTGATGTTGTTTATGAGGAAGAGGGTTGCCCTGACCATCGCCCTGTTCCACGTGGCAGGAAAAGTGTTTATCCACCTGCCACTGTTGGCACTGCAGCCCTTCTGCACCTTCCTCGCGCTTTCTCTTTTTTGGGTTTACTGGATCATGGTCCTCCTCTTTCTCGGCACCACTGGTGAGATGAAGATGTCTTTGGGTTTTAAAGGGATATTTAAAGAAAAAAGTCACTTAACTACCCTTATTTTGCTCCTAAATTTGCTTCTTTCTTACATAATTTTTTATTAAAAATTAAAAAGCGGCGTTAATATTGTTTTAAAGGAGTAGTTCACTTTAAAAAACACTTTTGCTTATAATTTACTCACTCCCATGTCATCCAAGATGTCCAAGTCTTTCTTTCTTCAGTCGAAAAAAAATTAAGGTAATAATTAAGGTAAATAAATTTTCTCCATATAATGGACTTCAATGGGAACCAACCGGTTCAAGGTCCAAATGAGAGTTTCAGTGCAGCTTCAAAGGGCTTTAAACGACACCAGACGATGAATAAGGGTCTTATCTAGGACCCTTCGAGTCATGACTCGAAAAAAAGATTTGTTCATTTTGATGAACGGGTTTGAACACGAGTCACGGACGCGCATCACAGAACACAGCAAGGCGAGCATTTGTGCTTCTAAAACTTAAACTTTTTTATTTATTTTTGAAATGGCCGATCGTTTCGCTAGATAAGACCCAACTACTCCTTTAACTGTTTCATTTTGTTTTCCAAGGAATGGAATGGAATACGCCTTATTCACGGCAGCGCCATCTTTGATTTTTAATGAGAATGAAAGCGAGGCTGTGAGGGATAGACTTGCATCTCTTCAATGGGCTGCACTGTTATTTAATGTGTTTTCGGATTGTTCTGCTCATGAAACACAGGAAAAATATCTTTCTAAGAAATTTCAGTTGACAAAAAACTCCTGACAATGTAAGTTGTGGAAAATTGTAAGTAATCTAGGAGCTTTATTCAGCTTTTTAAAGCGGATGCCATTGGAAACACGGTAAGTCTATCCCTCACAGCCTCACTATCACACCTGTCATGGCGCTGCTCTGAATAAGGTCTATGATTTGAGGGTGGACAAATGTTGTCAGGATTTGCTTTGCATTGTTTTTTTGTCAGGACATAATGTCTACAACGCTTAAAATAGCCTTCTGGTCAAGTCATCAACATTTACGTACTGCTGCACAAATTAGCCGACTTTGCTCGGGCACCTTGTTTTCATTTTGATGGTGTATTATTATTGCTAAAAGTTCTTTAAAAGCAAAAATCTGTCCTGTCCACAGGGAACCCGGAGAAGAATGAGGAGACTGGGCTGGTTGAGTTCAGGCTCACAGGAGGGCTGCAGTACATGACCTGGTACCACGCAGTGGGATTGATCTGGATTAGCGAGTTCATCCTGGCCTGTCAGCAGATGACCGTAGCCGGTGCTGTCGTAACCTACTATTTCACAAGGTCTGTCTTTTAAGAGGAAAATGTTCTCAAATGCAACTGGTCAACATTGTGTTGTTAAAGGTGCAGTAAGCCATTTCTGAAAAACGCTGTTGAATGAGGATCGGGCCGAGCAGCACGACACGCTTGTAGCCAATCAGCAGTAGGGGGTGTGTCCAATCATAATGGGCTAGGAGAGAGGGAGATTTGAACTGTAGAAAGAGAGATGGCTGAGAGACATTACAAAAGAGAACAGCTGAGAGGAATATCACTGGAAAAAGAAGCTTTTGTAGAAGTTTTTCAGCGCTGGAGAATCCCGAGCAGGAAGGCCTGAAATCGGACGCTGAGGTTGCAATTTTACCATTAAAACAACAGCTATTATTTTGTAATACTATATTGGTTTACATTATTTGAAATGACTTTGAAAAATCTAGGATAAGTCTTAGTCTATAATTGCATTTGTCTTCGACTAATCCTGCATTCATGGTATTGTTCTTAAAATAGTCAGTCAGTCATGTTTATTTATAAAGCACATTTAAAAACAACAGCTGTTGGCCAAAGTGCTGTACAATGTATAAACACTTTAAGCCAGAATCATCATTTGGGTGTAAAAGAACGTAACACTGAGTATCGTCTGCGTAACAGCGGTAAGATACATTATACTTAGTAAAAATAGTATACAGCAGAAGTAGGGCTGGCTATTTCACAAATTTCACAATTCGATTCGATTTCGATTCACAAGCTTGCAATTCGATTTCGATTACAATTCGATTCGATTCAATGTTGATTATGTTGGATATCAGGTTTATTTTTATAGTAAGAAAGTTATATGAAATATAAACATTTAAATGGTGGCTGTCATTAAAAACCTTAAAAAACAGATTTATTCAAACATGCATTAAATATTGAATATATTTAGCAACATTCTCCTCTCTAGAGTTATTTTTTCTAGCTGACTAGCGAGTTTATGGTCACGTTTTTTCTGAGGTAAATGTGACGTTACATGTTTACAAGTTGTTTTACTGACGTCTTTCCACGGATGAAACAATTCCAGAGCGATTCCATGTGACATGATACAGATTTCGATAAGTTGTATTCTATCTTTTAACACATTTTCAGATGCTCGTTCATGTTTATTTGGAGCTGTGACTGGTATTATTAAGGTGGAAGAGGAGATCATGTGCGTTCCTCGCTGCTGCTTCTCTAGAGCTGAGCCAGAGCGATCTCACGCCACAGCGCCAAAATGCTATTTATGTTTTTGAATTTTGTAAGAAATTAGATGCAATTCGAAATTTGAGACTTTACTAATAATAGTCATAATAATAATAATAGTCACAAAGCACAAAGATTATTGCAATTTATTGGATGGGATGTGCTATACAATGCTCCATTCATTCATCAAATGAAAACAGGAAGGCTAATCGATTCTTGGGATTTAATAATCGATATCAGTTCGTAAAAATGATAATCGATTAATATTGAGAAATCAATATTTTTTACCCAGCCCTAAGCGGAAGCATGTATAAAGAAAATAAAAGAGGACCCAGGATGGAGCCCTGCGGGACCCCATATTTAACTTGTTCACGAGTTGATAAAAAAACTCTACTGAGAAGGTTCGGTCCTTTTAAATATGAAGCAAACCAACTCAAAGCACAACCTTGGATCCCTATTTGCTGTAAACGATTTAAAAGAATATCATGATGGAGAGTGTCAAATGCCGTGCTAAGATCCAGCAGAATTAAAACAGCACATTTACCAGAGTCGAGAATCAGAAATAAATCTTTTTTTTTTTAAATCATCACAAATAGCTCACAACTATAACCGTGAAAGAGGAGTAATTTATTTCATATCCATTCAGGGACAAAACCAAACTCCCGCTGACACCCATCCTGTCATCAGTGCTGCGTCTGGTGCGGTATCACCTGGGCACCGTGGCCAAGGGCTCCTTCATCATCACCCTCGTCAAGATCCCACGACTCATTCTCATGTACATCCACAACCAACTCAAAGGCAAGGTAAGGTCACAGCTCACTTTACGTATCCTTCATGCATGTTTATGCTTATACCAGGCAGTTTCCATTAGCACTAAAAGTCCTTATGTTGTGCTTGGGACAATTACATCAGTGATTAACTAATGCGATTTATTATTGTCAGACTGTACGAACATGATCCTCGCTGTAAGCCATGTCACACTGTAAGATCTCAGTTGTCATAAATGTCAGACTGTACGACAGTCAAGACGTGTTAAAAACAGATGCATGCGAGAAAACTTGTCTGCAGTTTTACATCATCAGTCAATGACGCGTTTGGTGACGTGAGCTGCCTTGAAATGGTTGCTACAAAGAAATCTCAAATGTTATTTTTGGTCATGCTTTTCTTGAAAAATAAAGACAATCAGACGGTCGTCTTAGGAGAAGCCACACTGCTGGACTGTGAGTCAAATCTTCTGATATAAATACTTGGGAGTTGAAATTGATTCGAAATTAACTTTTAATGAATGTGCACTGAAAAAAATGCACCAAAGGATGTATTTCCTAAGAAAATTATATAATTTTAGACTAGAAAGACACATTCTTGTTATGTTTTATAAAAGTTTCCTCCAGAGTGTTCTGTCCTTTGGCCTTATCTGTGTGTTTGGTAACATGCATGTTAAAGATCAAGGGAAACTGCAGCGCATGATTAAGATGGCCAGCAGGATCATTGGAATTGACCAGGTGTCGGTAGCTCAACTGTATAATGAACTTATCTTAAAAAAAACTGATCAGATCCTCAAGGATCCTGCTCACCCTCTTCATTATAAATTTATGAGAAGTAATAGGTCAACTGGTAGAATTATACAACAGAGAATTAGAACAGAGAGGTACAATAAATCATTTGTACCTACATCAATCAGATTGTATAATGATCAAGTACATCGCAAGTTGTTATAGTTTTAGCTTTAAATGTTGGATTGTGATTGTCAAATCCACAGTATTGTTATTCTTTTTGTGTTTCTCTTTTAATGTTTTGTTTTTAGAAGGTTTGTTGTGATAACAGCGCGTAATGACTACATGAATTTCCCCTTGTGGGATAATAAAGTTTACCTTGACCTTGACCTTGACCTTGACACTGCCAGAATTTCGTCGGAGATCAAATTTGAAAATCTGTCGGTGAACATGTCAAAATAACTTTCAAAGACTTCAGGTTTTAGTCTAGGATCAGAGGATTATTTTATTTTAAATTTGTCTCAGATTGTAAAACATAAACTGAGTAAAACACTTTTTTGCATTTAAGTCCTTTCATGGTAGAGACATGTTCTTTCAGTTTTATGCATATACTATTATAGTGTTTGTTTATATTATTTTAAATTAGATTTTATTTTTATATTTTAATTTGAAAGTTTTAGCAATTTTGTGTCCGGTTTAATTTTTTTTTTTCTTTTTTTTTTCCGTTTTTGTTTTAAATATGTATATGTGTTTTTTGTTAATTATTTATTAGTTTTAGTTACTAGAGATTGGCATGGGGTACTTTCCATAAGATAATCTCTCAATGCAAATCAAACCAGCTATTAGGCTAACTGAAATAAAACCATGCCGATCTCTAGGTATGGTGAAGGGTGTGTGATGATGTGGGGTTATTTTAATTCCAAAGGCCTGGATCCATGAAATATGCCTGCCTATGGGAATTTTAACGTAGGGGTGTCCTGACTTATGCACCCTGTATTTCAAGGATGAACATTTATTTATTTACGATACATTATTCATTCACAAAGACAATTGGTGTACTTAAAGGTTGGATTTTTCCTAATTTTTTAATCGAGGCATTACGATAAATTTCCAAAAGACTATTTTTTTTATTCCTCTTTTTAGTCAACTTTATCATGGGTGTATTCACTTATGCTAAGCAGTGTATACTGTAGAATGGCTTAAACTGATTTTTTTCAGATTACTTTTCTTGTCTGAAAACGTTTTTCTAAATACTTGCTTTGGTATTTTCTAGTGTCTAGGGTGGGTATCTATCTTTTGAAGTTAATACCACAAGCTATTTATTACTGTCCTCTTGGGTTCCACTTTGGTGAACTGTCGTTTACTTGATATATGGCTAGTGATCTTGGGAATATAATGAACTCTAATAGATATCAGCACCAGCTTTATAGAGGCAGATTTGGAGCATTGAGGTAGTGGCTGACAAATATGCAATAGAAATGCACTGTGGGTAACTTCCTGTGCGCTTGCTCTGATTCTGTTCCATGTTACGCGGCGCCCCACAGGAAAACGCTTGTGCGCGCTGCATGCTGAAGGCCTGTATCTGCTGTCTGTGGTGTCTGGAGAAGTGCCTCAACTATCTGAATCAGGTAGGTCAGTTAATGAATTATTACAAATTGATGTGGTGTTTTTAATATGCTCTATGACAAACCATGTGCAAATCAGCCTTTAAAGATTTCAAAAGAACTGTGATCTATTAATTCTTGTAATCCGTTTCTAGAATGCTTATGCGGCGACGGCCATAAACAGCACCAGTTTCTGCACCTCGGCACGTGATGCCTTCATGATCCTGGTGGAAAACGCTCTTAGGGTGGCGACCATCAACACCGTTGGAGATTTCGTTCTCTTCCTGGGCAAGGTGAAAGACAGAGGAGTTTTGATAGTAGTAGTTGAATATTTTAAGAACTATAAATGATGCAAGATAAACTCAGTGTGTAAACCAATATAGTATTACAAAATAATAGCTGTTGTTTTAATGGTAAAGTTTCATTTAGTGGTTTGAGGAGTGCCATTTTATTTTGTATGTTGCCATACACTACCATTCAAGTTTGAGGTCAGCAAAAAAAAAAAAAAAATCACATTCTCTTCAATTTATCATTTATTTGATCAAAAATACAGTAAAACAATTGCATGTGTTGCATATGATTACAATTTAAATTAACTTTTCATTTATATATATATATATATATATATATATATATATTTTTTTAAATATATATTCCTGTGATAAATTATTCAATTTTCAGCATAATTTCTCTAGTCTTCAGTGTCACATGAAACTTCAGAAATCAATAAAAAAAATTCGAAATGCAGATTTGGTGCTCAAAAACATTTCTTATTATTAATGTTAAAAACAGTTGTGCTGCTTAATATTCTTTTTTGTGAAAAGCGTGACACATTTTTTTCATGATTCTTCAACGAATAGAAAGCTCAAAAGAACAGCATTTAATGTATGCTTGTCGAATTAAAGTGTTAATTTATTGTTTTAAAAAATCTTACTGACCCAAGACTTTTGAATTGTAGTGTATGTCCTACATCCAGCATTTATTAATGATAATATTAATTCTGTTAAAGTAATGAGGCCAGATTTAGTTTTAGGTTATATTTCTAATTTTAAATGATTAAATTGCTGCTAAAAGTTTATTTGTCAACTTTTATGGCCTCAAACAGACATGAACTATAAGTCGAAAGCTTACAAAATGTGTACTCATGCTAACACAATGTTACTGGTTAAGCCGTTTCTCCATCTTTCTGATCTTTCTGAAGCTGTTTTACCAAGATCCAACGTTGTAAACCAAAATCTTTCCAGTAGGATTTCTTTCTTGGTTGTTATAGCTGCTAATTGAGCGTTTGGTGCCATGCAGATCCTGATCGTGGCGTGCACGGCGTTCGCTGGGGTGTTAGCGCTGAACTATCAGAGAGATTACACCGAGTGGGTCCTGCCGCTCATCATCGTGTGTCTGTTCGCGTTCCTGGTGGCACACTGCTTCCTGTCCATCTTCGAGATCGTAGTGGACGTGCTCTTCCTCTGCTTTGCCATCGACACCAAATACAACAATGGCACACCTGGGAGGGAGTTCTACATGGACAAGGCCCTGATGGTGAGTCGACGCTGAAGACTATCTGTGCAATCTCTCCTTCTGTCACCATAAATAGTCTCAGTGTTGAGAGCGCACTTGCCATCTGAGTCACGTTTCTGATTTGTGTTGTAGCTTCGTTCGTTCTTTTGAATGCGGGCTCTCCGCTGGCCTGGTTACGTTAATATTTTAAGATTCAGACGGTGTCCCAGATATTCTCTCTTGGCAACTTTCACCTTTTATTTTGAAAAGCTGGTTGATTTTGCAAGGGGGAAAAAACTCGCACAAGGCTGGTTTTATGAAAGCGTTCTCCTTTTCACATAGTCAGCCAAATCGTGTAGCCAACAGCTTTGTGAAATCAAAAGAGATGGATTGAGCCTTGAAGTGCTGCACAGAATCACAGCCCTTCAGATATGCAAAGTCAACCGTAAAGTTTGTAGCACAGCATCTGCTTTTCTTCTGAGAGCTGCTTTGGTTAAAAATATGTGTTCAGACTGCAATTACTGGCATCAATTCAGAACGTTTTTATTTTTGGCGGGAAAGCTGTTTTCCAACTGCACATTGAGCTGTGCCCTAGTCTGCTTGAAAATGGTCTTCTGGTGTAAGAAATGTGGAATACTATTTGCAGTTGTTTTGAAAACGATCTGAAAATTTGTTGCTATTTGTTACGCAAAATCGTCATTCAACAAGGTAAAGTGGAAATGATGAGTTGTTTTACTGGAATGTAAGGCCGTGTGTCCACCAAAGCGTTTTTCCACTTGCCTGGCGTTTGTTTTCAATGGGAGCGCCGCGTTTTTTAAAACGCCATGAGCGTACCGAGGCGCTGAGCGTTTTTTTTCACGCTGAAGCGCCGAGCGCCCGGCGTTTTTACTGGTCGCTGGGAGTTGAAAAATGTTCAACTTTGGATAAAACGCAGCGCTCATCACTGTCACTTTTTACCCAGCCGTCCAATCACAGTGGAGGAGGGGCGGGACTAATACCACACCGACCAACTGTCAACATTCAAACTGCTGCGGATATTCTGTATCATAGCAACAAGCGTCTCAACGGAAAAAACGCTGCGCTGCCAAAACGCTCTCAAGCGCCCAAAGCACGGCGTCTTCAGCAGAGCGTCTAGCGTTTTCAGCTGGCTAAAAACGCTTTGGTGGACACACGGCCTAAAGATTTTCAAAATATTATTAACTTTTTTTATAGTATTGTAAATAAAGCTTTGGATAGCTTTGTGGGGTGATGATGGCGCAGTGGATAAGACACATGCCTTTAGTGTGAGAGACCCGAGTTTGAATCCACTGTGAGACACCAATGTGTCCCAGAGCATGACACTTAACCCCTAGTTGCTCCAGAGGCGTGCGACCTCTGACATATATAGCAATTGTAAGTCGCTTTGGATGAAAGCGTCAGCTAAATGTATAAATGTAAATGAATAAAATTGTAGGTCTATAATTTTGGTTCCAATTGAATTTGGATAATATTTTCAAAATAAAAAAGTCTCTGAGTTTTTGCAGAACTATGCCCCTTCTGGTGGCAAGCGAAACTGCAACCAGAGGTGTGGACCACACTCACGCTTGTGGAAAAAAGAAAAAGAAAAGAGTCATCAGTAATTCCAGTTGTACTTACTTCTCGAACTATTGTCGGTTTGAAACAAATTTGCTTAATTCCAGCCTATGATCCTCATTGACTGCCCGCCGCAAACCGTCTACTTTGACCTCTGAGCATTGTAGTTGTAGCTGAGACTGGATACGACTGGTGCGTGTTGTCGACATGAGAAGAAGCCGTTTTCAGCACTGTGAAAGCAAATCCACATTCACTTTCAAAGAATATCTGACCAATCAGAGAAGGGTAGTCTCGTGAAGGCGCATGACGTCACGCCCAGTCTCAAATTCCGTCCCGAATCCCTCTTATTCATTTTACTGTACCGAATTATAGAGGCAATCGCAGTGATCAGAGAAGGACTCATTCAGCCCATCAAGCAATTGTTTAAGCATGTATGGGTTAGAAAAACGGCTATTTTTAACATGAAATGTTGCGCAATGCACCTTTAAACAAAATTTTTAGTTTTAGTCGATCATGCATCAATATGTTGTATAATTAAATTATAATTCATTTTATTCTCAGTGGTGATTCTCATTACTGTCATGAAGTAATTTTATTGTATTAAATACTGTTAGATATTATTTTATTAAAATAGATAGAGGACAGTAATGAGAATTTGAGAATTAAAACATGATTAATTATCATTAGAATGTCTTAATTCTTCTTACATAAATCAAACATGAACTCAAACTGAGAAATGGTCCATGGAGCCGAGAGTGAAAAAGCCTCTTGGTGTTCGGGACGGTAGTTTAATTTCTTTCTTATATCTTCTGCAGGAGTTTGTGGAGAACAGCAGGAGGTCAATGGCGATGGAGGAGCGGGGGCGCAGCAAGCGCGCCCGTCCCAAGGAAGAGGTAGAGTTGACGGAGGTTAAGGCCATGGTGAGTGGTGATGTGGGTGAGGCAGGGGCGGAGTGGAAGGAGCTCCAGGAGTTCCACCTGTACTATCTGCTGCTGTGTGTGCTGATGGACTGGGCCCTGACGGAGCACAACCTGGTGCTGTGCCTCACACAAGACATGATCATCTTCCTATCTGTCTGCCTGCCCACCTCCACCCTCTTCTTCCTGGTCACAATGCTCCAGAACACACCTGTGGCTGTTGCTGCATGCTGACTAACGCTTCCTCACCTCCTTCTATCATTTCATCCATCTTTCTATGCATCACACTAACAGAGCATGAGCATCTATTTTTCTATCTGTGGAATATTTTATTTAAATTTTTTTTTTCCATTCCATTTTTGCCTCTTCTTTTTTATACTGACTGTCTTGAACTCATATGGCAGCTATAAACTGTACTTGTATATCCGTGGCCTTAAAAACACCGTGTTGCTCTTCGGAGGAAAGATAATTGAAACTGCCGAGCTGGAAAAACAAGAGGAGGAGAGCAAGGGAAAGACTTTATCTTTCACATCGATGGTCATATTATGATCTATAATATAAAAGGATTCTCCACAATTCTTAACTCAGACACTTAACCCTTGGCTTACTGGATAAACCACTGCAAATCGTGAGTTTAAACACCCAAACTATCAAAATGACTATTGGGTCAGTTTAGTTTGTTTAGTAAGATAATATTGGGACTGACTGTATATGGGTCGTTGATGGGTTCTTTTGTGTGACATGCTATTAAAGGAGTAGTTCACTTTTTAAAAAAAATTTCTGATAATTTACTCACCCCCATGTCATCCAAGATGTCCATGTCTTTCTTTCCTCAGTCGAAAAGAAATGAAGGGATTTTCTCCATATAATGGACTTCAATGGGAACCAAACGGTTTAAGGTTCAAAGACAGTTTCAGTGTAAACTGCAAACTGTTCAAAGGGATTTAAACAATTCCAGACGATGAATAAGAGTCTTATCAAGCGAAACGATCGCTCATTTAAAAAAAAAAAAAAAAAAGTTTAAGTTTTATAAGCTCAAATGGTCGACTTGCTCTGTTCTGTGATGCACGTTTGTGACTCTCCTTTTCGAACTCGTTCATCAAAATTAATGAATCTTTTTTCGAGTCATTTGGATGATTCAACGAACGAAATGAACCAATTGACTCGGAAAAAGAATTTTTTTAAAGATTCTTAAAAAGAAGCCGTTTTCAGCACTGCAAAAGCAAATCCACATTCATTTTCAAAGGATATCTGACCAATCAGAGAAGGGTAGTCTCTTGGTTAGGCAGGTTTAGAGAAACTGAATACTTTATCGAACTATTTCACTGTGAGAAATGAGGTGATGCTGCTATGTACATTGCAGCATCACCTCATTTCTCACAGTGAAATTAGAAAATGTAAAAAAATATAGATTTTTTTTTTTAACTTTGGATTCATTGTATTGTAAGAGACCTCCAAAAAAATAGGAGCCTTTAAAATAACATTTTAGTGGAGCTTAAAAAAAAAAACGGCAACTTTTTTTTTTAAAACCACTAAAATATCGTTTGTCACTCCACAAGATTATTTAAAGGGATAGTTGACTCAAAAATTAAAAAAAAAAAAAAAAGTCTTATGTTGTTCCAAACATAATCATAGTATGAAAGTCTATGGCTGGGCAAAAAAATAAAAAATAAATAAAATACATTCAAAATGTTAGTTTTTGGGTCAAACATCTTTTTACATGAACTGCAAGAAAAATAAATACATTTCCTTACATATTTCCTTATTTAACCCTAAACTCTTGATGTTGAAGAATTTCGTGGTCATTTTAAAAAAGTTCACATTATTTGTCAACTACCCATATACTCTCTGTGTTCCTGAAATCTGTTGTTATTAATATTGTTGGTGTGTTTTAGAGGGGAGAATCTGGTTTCAAGATTGCCTTTACCATCCATCATAACACCCTCTCAATAAGCATGGCTTTTCACACCTGCTTTTTGCAATGCTATTTGATGGCATTCTGCTCCTTGAAAACTGATGAAGTGGACTAACTCCTCACGATCCAGATCAGATGAATGGTTGTTGGTTTGTTTGGGACTAATGATGTCTTTCTTTCCCGTAGGCTCCCGGGACAAGCTCTGCTTGACCAAAATCAGCCCATGGGACTTTTTAAAGACATTCCAAAATGTTTATTTTTACCAATGTGTAACATGTTTACTATGGTTTCACTCCAGGGAATACAATATTTTAATAAGAAACTGTAAAAAAATGAAATAACAATGTAATGAAGCACTTTATATTGGAGCGCTGCATATTTTAAAAAGCCTGATGCATTTTTCGTAGTGATGTCCTTTTTATAAGACTAAAAAAAACCCAGTTGCCATCTAGTGAAACACAGTATTAATAATGTCTAGAATCACTGTTTTTATTGTCAATTTTTTCATAACAAAATTTTCTTTGCGTTTATGAAAAACCCACATACTGCAGTGCAGCACTTGTTTTTTTCTTTTAATCCAAACACTGAAGCATCTATGCTTTTATTTCTTAATTTAAAAAAAAAGAGAGAGAGAGAAAAATGCTTGGTTGTGTTATTTTACTAAAATAATGTTACCATGCTTGCAAATGAAGTCTGGGGGCCTTTCACTTCTGTGTAAAAAGATTGGTTGGTTGCTTTCCCTCCAATGATGTTGATTTTTAGTTAGTTTCTGAGTTGTGATAAAATGAGGTCATTTTTTCCTGCTGTGTCTGTTAGTACTGGAAGAAACTGGGTTGGATTACCTTAAACTGGGAGGATGATAATGGTTTCTAACTACAATCCACAGTTGCTGTAACTATGTAACTAGTATGAGTGACATTTACAACAAAAAGCACAAACGGAAACAAATATATTACACAACATGGTGATTTCACCTGGTCAGTTACACTACCAGTCAAAAGATTATTTGTTTTCTAAGTCTTATGCTCACCAATGCCACTTTTATTTGAACAAAAAATACAGTACAACAGTAATATTGTGAAATATTATTACTAGTTAAAATAACTGTTTTCTGTTCAGATGTAATTTATTCCTGTGATGCAAAGCTGAGTTTTCAGCATCATTACTCCAGTCTTTAATATCACATGATCCTTCATCATTCCAATATGCTGATGCTCAAGAAACATTTCTTATTATTATCGTTGTTAAAAACGTTTTTTGCTGCTTAATATTTTTGTGGAATCCATAATACTTTTTTCAGAATTTGAACAGCATTTACTTGAAATAGAAGCATTTTGTAACATTTTAAATGTCTTTACTGTAACTTTTAATCAATCGAATGATTTCTTAAAGGAGTAGTTCACTTTTAAAAAAAACTTTTGCTATATATAATTTATAATAATTTACTCACCCCCATGTCATCCAAGATATCCATGTCTTTCTTTCTTCAGTCGAAAAGAAATTAAGGTTTTTGATGAAAACATTCCAGGATTTTCTCCATATAATGCACTTCAATGGGAACCAAACGGTTCAAGGTCCAAAAGACACTTTCAGTGCAAACTGCGAACTGTTCAAAGGGCTTTAAACGATTCCAGACGATGAATAAGGATCTTAAAGTTTTATAAGCTCAAATGCTCGCCTTGCTCTGTTCTGTGATGCGCGTTCGTGACTCTCCTGTTTGAACTCGTTTATCAAAATGAACGAATCTTTTTTCGTGTCATTTGGTTCATTCAACGAACGAAATGAACGAGTTGACTCGGGAAAAGATTCGTTCATTTTGATAAACGAGTTGAAACAGGAGAGTCACGAACGCACATCACAGAACAGAGCAAGGCGAGCATTTGAGCTTATAAAACTTAAACTTTGTCAGTTTTTTATGAAATGAGCGATCGTTTCGCTTGATAAGACCCTTATTATTCGTCTGAAATCGTTTAAAGCCCTTTGAACAGTTTGCAGTTTGCACTGAAACTGTCTTTTGGACTTTCAACCGTTTGGTTCCCATTGAAGTCCATTATATGGAGAAAATCCTGGAATGTTTTCATCAAAAACCTTACTTTCTTTTCGACTGAAGAAAGAATGACATGGATATCTTGGATGACATGGGGGTGAGTAAATTATCAGCAAAAGTTTTTCATTAAAGTGAACTACTCCTTTAATACGCATAAGAGACTAATTTAAAAAACATAAAAAAATCGTAATGATTCCAAACTTTTGACCGGTAGTGCATGTAGAAACGGTTTGTTAGCTAAACAACATCCGTCAAAGAAATGCAAGGCTACTCCTGTTCGTAAATCAGCAGTGGGGCAATTCTGGTGCTGTAATGTGGCTTGAACATTGTCTTTGGTCGTTAAAGTAACTTGACTTTGCCTGAAATTGAGCGCATGTGTATCTATGATGGTGATCCACAGCACAAAGCACTGATCTCTCTTTGGGTGCAATGCCTTATCATCCTGTAGGAGTAAAATGGCACAATGTTGCCTTTCCTATTTTGGGAGATATGTGCTAATGTTAGCTTTTAAATAGTTTTGTAGATTTAGCTTTAGAACAAGTCATTTCAGCTGTTCTCTTTTGCTTTGCAACCCATGGAGAGTGTGGTCGCTTTAAGCTACTGAGAGTTCGAGGGGCACCGACTGCATCAAACTTAAGTCTTCCTACTTGTGTATCTAGAAAGGAATCTTGAGAGGAAAAGTATCCTAAAGGAAACATCATTTTATTTTCTGCTAGACCGTGCGGGAGGAGGAGAGTCACACACAACTCGTATTTTGCCTTAACCAACTGAGTGAATGTCGCCCCCTGCTGGATTACATAGACTCGGAATTGAAACGGTTCATAAGCCTTAAAAGATCTAGATCTAACCATTCACAGTATTTTAACTAACCCATCGAATGCCAGAACGTGGTATATATGGCCGAGGATCTGCAGTCTTTTGGGTTTTTTTTCTAACAAATGTCAGATTTAGCAAAAATGTCTGTGATGTGTGCAGTTTTTGTATGGATGTTTTGAACATGTCATGTTACATATTGATAAATATTGACTGAGGAATAGTTTTTTTTTTCTTTATGATTTTTATTCCGTGTTTTCGTGTCTTGCATTGGAGGGAAATGTTGTGAATTGTGTTAAAATGAAGAGTTGTTGTTTTGGGGAGGGTTCAGAAATGTACTTATGAGATATTAAGAGCATGAAATAAGAAAAAAAAAATCTTGGAGATTTAACATTTGCCACTCAAAACTTATGCTGAAAGCATGTTAAATATTGCACTAAGATGGCATACATTAAACACAGAGATGAATTAAAGATATCTGTTAAACATTTATAGTTAAAATCGTCTTATAGCGCATTCAATATAGAGATGTTTCATAAAGAAAATCTTCTCGGTCAACAAAATTGTCTTGACGTTGCAGTTTCTGGTTACGCAACCAACCCACAGTTTTATCAGGTAACATTAACTTGATGACTGAACAAGTAGGTTGTGATTAAAGATGAACGGTGGAACTTGCCTTTTAGGGTGAATCTCACAAAAACATCACCCCAAATAAAAAAATAAAATAAAAATGAAAAAAGAAATGATTTTGCATGAAGAACATTAGAACCATTAAGGTTATTTGTAATTGTGACACTATTTTCATGAGAATCCCGAGTGATAATGTGCTTAATTTAAAGACTATATTTTTTATTATTATTTTACATAAACTTTTATTGAATTCAGCACATATGTGCCCTAATATGAGGTATAAATGCAATGTAGAACACACGCGTGTGTAGGTGTAACCCTTTAGTAAACTTATTCCATTATATTATTATTTTTTATTAATACTTAATTGTCATTCAATAATGTCACAATGCAAAAAATGTTTTGTTTATGCAAAATAAAAAATAAAAAAAACTCTAAATGAACTTAGGGATTTAGGCCTAAAAAAAAAAAGTTTTTTGTATGGATACCAGGATCTTTTTGGCCTCAAACATGGTCTTTGGCTCTCCACATTATATTGTCAAATGTGCACATAAGGTAATGTAAGCAGTGCACAAACTCTCTCTTTTGCTACCTGGTTAGCTTTTGTTTTGTTCATAGCCTTTTTTTCCCCTCTTTAAATCACAGAAAGCATCTCAGTAACAGCTGTGATCGCTAGTCCTGTCAGTGTGTATTAGAAAGAGACAGACGAGCTGTGCTTAGAGGCAAGCAAGTAAAACCCATAACCACACACACACACACACACACACACACACTGATGACCTGCATGCTCCTGACAAGGGATTTTTCTAACTCTTTAAAACAATGAGCCATTTTTGTAGGAACGTGAACTGTTTGGCATTAGAGTACATGTGACTTAACACTGATAGAACAATAGCTTTATTATGCGACAAGCCACTGTTTTTATTTTTCGAGGTGAGATTGTGAGTCCGTTTCTCCTCTTTGTTTTGGGAAACTGTGCTTCTGTTCGTCACACAGGGGGTAGGCCGATACAGTCATGGATAGGCAATACATCAGTTTACTCTTCTGGTGTGATGTTAGCTATTAGCTCTTACCTGCAGTAAAGTTGTTTGTAACATTGAACTAAGTTTTTGTTGATTTGTTTGATTTTTATATTTATGATTTCATATGTATCCTGTTTTTTAAAGTAATAAAATGGGGGAAAAAATGACTGTTTCTTCAGTGTCAGCTGATCAGACAGACTTTACACTGGGGTTTCACCAAATATAAAGACAAAGTGGAATGAAAAACAGTTTTAGATTTATTATGTGCATGTTTTCTGGATAATATTTTGGTTTGTAAATTATGCATGAGGCTGATAACATGTGCATGTGTTATATACAGTAGCAGCTCTTTAAAAAAAACTAAGTTTCACAACTTAAATCAATTGTTTGCTGAAGGGGTTACATATACACTACTGTTCAAAAGTTTGGGGTCATGAGATGTTTTAAGTTGCCCTCAAACCGTATTCACTTTATAGCCCTTAATCCTGTAATTGTGGACAAATGTGGGCACAGAGTGTGATCCTAATTTTTATTTATTATAAATGTTATATCACTGTCTTCGATAAAGTTTTGGCTATCCGTTTATGGTGTTTTTGTTAATTTTGGGGGTATTTTTGAATTTATTTACTTCAAAAAGTACCATATTTTCTATGTAAATTATTTCTATGTAAATGAATTACTATGTAGTTTTATTTTTTGATTTTGTTTTTAGAGCTAAAACCTAAAGATGAAGTGACTTTGCTGTCACCTGGTGTCTTATTTTTGCTTATTTTAGAATGCTCTAAATTACAGTTTTTCCCATTCATTTCTATGGGTGCCCATTTTTGACCCAAATACAATATTAAGGAGGTTTTTTTTCACCCACTTAACATTGTAAAATTGAGTCAAAAAAATAATAAAAAATTGTGTGTGTTCAGGAGGCAAACTTAAAAAAAGTAGCCAAGTCTTGTACCGCTCAGATCAAGGGAAGTATTTTTTTTAAAAATAAATCAAAACTATTTTGCCCACATTTGTCCAGAATACGGTTTTAGGGTTAAAGAAATCTCTTATGCTCAACAAGGCTGCATTTATTTGATCAAAAACCACAGTAAAAATTGTGAAATATTACATTTTATTACAACTATTTCCTATTTATTCCTGTGATGCAAAGCTGAATTTTCAGCATCATTACTCTAGTCTTCAGTGATCCGTCAGAAATCATTCTAATATGCTGATTTGCTGCTCAAGAAACAATTTTCATCAATGTTGAATTCTTTGATTCTTTGAGGAATAAAAAAAAAAAACAGCATTTATTTGAAAAATATTTTAATTTATTTAAAATAAAATGTCATAACAAAGTAAAACTGTTTTCATCAATTTAATGCATCCTTGCTAAATTACATTCATGTCCATAAAATTGACCCGAATCTTTTAAACAGTGGCAAAGTTGCATATATGCAATAGACATGCCCAATACTGAGGTCAGCTGCCCCGACTGATACAAATTTTTGACCCTTTTGTTCAAGCCATTTGTGTCGTAATTTACTCACCTTCATGTCATCCTGATAAAAGCTTTTTGGTTTGTTCCTCATGCAACCTATTGCAGCATATGACTTTTGGAATATAGTGCATGTAGTTTTATGACTACTTATATGGTGCTTTTTTGGCCAGAATCCATCTCCATTTACTTTTACTGAATGGAAATGGCTGATCAAATGAGATTGGGACTAAATGAGGGTGAGTAACTGATGAGTTATTTTTATGTAGTGTTTCTCAGTCAGCATTCAAGGCATTTGCACATGCATCAAGAGCTTATGTTTGCCTACTCTATACCTCCTCTTCATCTTCACTCGCCAGGGTGTCCAGCTCTTTGTCTTTGCACCGGACGTGTTCAGCTTTGTATGCGTTCTGCAAGTTCTCCAGCTCTCTAATCTCAGTGCGGAGTTGTTCCAGATGCACGGCGCGCCGGTTCCGCAGCAGCTTCATGGGCAGTGGGTTCATGTCATTGAAGGCGATGCTTGTCAGCTTTCTGTGGAAAAGGAAGATGAGGTATATCGACATTACATCTAAGAAAACTATACAGTAGACTAGCTGACATGTTTATTTCCTGCAGGAACATGTGATTTGGAAAGAATCTCCCAAAGCAAGCTTTTCTTCTTTGTGTTTTTTAAACTATGCCATCCATGCACTAAAAGCAGGAAGCATGCATAGTATCATGGGCGTATGTTTAAAATAGCCACCACAGAAGCATCTGACCCATATTCTGTTTCTGTCAGTGTGACAGATGCAGGATGTTTTGTTTTACTGTGACTCAATGAATTATATATATATATATATATATATATATATATATGTCTGACAGTGGTGAAAAAAGCTACACTGTCACTGTCTACAATTACCAGGAGCTTGAAATTAAATGGAAGAAACAGACTATATATATATATACTTACATAGTTAAATATATATATATTTGAAGAGTTCAGATGCAAAAGCCTCTAAATGCCATTTGAAATTTTCTTCTTTAATGATGATTTTTAGCTTTTTATCAAACTTGTATATTTAAGTTCATTAATTTCACTTAAATAACAATTAATAGGTAATTATCATTGCCATTTAAGTGAAATCACTGAACTTAAATATACAAGCTTGATAAAAATGATCATTCTAGAAGAAAATTTCAAATGGCACTTAGAGGCTTTTGCATCTGAACTCTTCATATATATATATATATATATATATATATATATATATATGCAAAAGTCTTAGGTACGTTAGTATTTTCACACAAAAAAAGTCAGTAATTTTTATATTTTGCTGTAGTGTGTCAGTAGCAAATTTCAGTTTTCATTTCCAAACATTAATTTTGACATTAATTGCAATAATCCAGTGATATTTTTGTATGCGCAATGAGCCTGACAACAGCAGGTATGATTCTCACGGAGATCTGATGTCCGTTGAAGGTTTCTTCAAGTGTCTTGTAGATGTTTTCACTGTTCTTCTGGATTTATTCTGTCTCCGTTTTTCTGTTTCTTGATGTAATCACAGACAGCCTTGATGATGGTGAGATCAGATCTTTGTGTGGAGCGCCGGCTGTTGTCAGACTCCTTGTGCATACAAAAATCTCACAGGATTTGTGTTAGAACTCATCCTTAAAAAGTGTAACCATGAATACTATTATATGGTATAGTGTAAGGCTTTATGAATACATACTTTTATTGTATAATGTCTTAATACCTTTAGAATGCATCAAATACAGAAAATATGACTATTCTACACTTCCGTTGCTGTACATTACTCTACTATAAACTGAGTGTGTATACAGTAAATATACTTTCTTTTCTATCCTTCATCTCACCTTCCATCTGCAATGGTGATGGGGAAGATACGGAGATACTGGTACATTTCAACACTGTCTTGAATCTTTAAGATGTCTTCCTCTCTGTATTTAAAAAGAGCCAGTGCATATCGAAATATCACCTATGAAAAAGATGAATGGGGGATTTAGTCCACAAGTGTTGCGCAGAGTATTCAACTATTATTAATTTGTAATCTCTTCAGTAATACTGGAGAAACCCAGTACTGATCCATACACTATTTCCAAGAATGCTCTGTCATAGATCCAAGGTACCTTGATGCCCTCATACAGGAAGGTGTCCCATACTTTAAACAGTATGCGGGTAGGCAGAGTCTCAACGAACAGCACCAGGAACCACTCAACAGTGATGAGTGATACGTCTACTTTTAGAGCTTCCAGATGCGCTGTAAGTCGAGGCAGTTTCTCCGACATGAGGTCCTTTAGTACACGCTGGTCAGCCTGGATAGATGAGAAGAAGCGAGTGAGACAGACAGTAAAATGAAGACATTTTGAGGAATATACACTAACTTAAAGGATTATTAGGAACACCATACTAATACTGTGTTTGACCCCCTTTCACCTTCAGAACTGCCTTAATTCTACGTGGCATTGATTCAACAAGGTGTTGAAATCATTCTTTAGAAATGTTGGCCCATATTTATAGGATAGCATCGTGCAGTTGATGGAGATTTGTGGGATGAACATCCAGGGGACGAAGCTCCGGTTCCACCACATCCCAAAGATGCTCTATTGTGTTGAGATCTGGTGACTGTGGGGGCCATTTTAGTTCAGTGAACTCATTATCATGTTCAAGAAACCAATTTGAAATGATTCGAGCTTTGTTACATGGTGCATTATCCTGCTGGAAGTAGCCATCAAAGGATGGGTACATGGTGGCCATAAAGGGATGGACATGGTCAGAAACAATGCTTAGGTAGGGCGTGGCATTTAAATGACACCCAATTGGCACGAAAGGAGCCTAAAGTGTGCCAAGAAAACATCCCCCACACCATTACACCACCACCACCAGCCTGCACAGTGGTAACAAGACATGATGGATCCATGTTCTCATTCTGTTTACGGCAAATTCTGACTCTACCATCTGAATGGTACCATCTTTTTTTTTAAAACTGAATGAGACTAAAACGGAGGTTGTCTTGTTTGGGCGTCCGGAGTTGGTATAGGTTCTCATTAGCTCCCTTGGCCATCTAGCACCTCACCTAAGATCCCATGCACGGAACCTTGGAGTGATTGTTGATAGTGCTTTTAAACTGGATAAGCAGGTCAGTGCTGTGGTTAGGGCCAGCTTTTTTCAGCTGAGACTGATAGCTAAAGTCAAACCGTATCTGAGACAGGCTGACCTAGAAAAAGTCATTCATGTTTTTATTACCTCTCGCCTGGATTACTGTAACTCCTTGTATACAGGCATTGGGAAGGGTGAGCTTTATCGTCTACAGCTTGTACAGAATGCAGCAGCACGTCTCCTAAGTGGCAAGAAAAAACGGGAGCACATCACTCCAGTACTCTCGTTGCTTCAGTGGCTTCCGGTAAAATATCGGATTGATTTTAAGGTTCTTTTATTTGCTTTTAAATGTATCAATAGTCTTGCCCCAGAGTACCTTACGGACCTTGTCAGGCTGCATAGGCCCTCCAGAGACCTCCGTTCAGCCAGCATGATGGTCCTGGAGGTTCCTAGATCTAAACGCAGACCCAGAGGTGATCTGGCTTTTTCAGTGGCTGCTCCGACACTCTGGAACTCATTGCCTGTAGCCGTGCGGACTGCTGGTAGCTTGTCCATTTTTAAATCATTGTTGAAGACTCATTTGTTTGAATTAGCGTTCGGCACAGGGGAGCCGCCTTGATGTATGCTGTATTCTATTTCTTAGTATTTGCTATTTATTTATTCATTTACTTATTGTGTTTTAGTGTATCAGTCTGTGTTTATTGTTTTGTGCTCTAACTGTGAAGTACTTTGGTAGGCCTAGGCCTTGGAAATGTGCTATACAAATAAACATGACATTGACATTGACATTGAATGTCTCAACAGAAATCGAGACTCATCAGACCAGGCAACATTTTTCCAGTCTTCAACTGTCCATTTTTGGTGAGCTCTTGCAAATTGTAGCCTCTTTTTCCTATTTGTAGTGGAGATGAGTGGTACCTGGTGGGGTCTTGTGCTGTTGTAGCCCATCCGCCTCAAAGTTGTGCGTGTTGTGGCTTCACAAATACTTTGCTGCAAACCTTGGTTGTCACGAGTGGTTATTTCAGTCAAAGTTGCTCTACTATCAGCCCATTCTCCTCTGACCTCTAGCATCAACAAGGCTTTTTGGCCCACAGGACTGCCGCATACTGGATGTCTTTCCCTTCTCACACCATTCTTTGTAAACCCTAGAAATGGTTGTGCGTGAAAATCCTAGTAACTGAGCAGATTGTGAAATACTCAGACCGGCCCGTCTAGTACCAACAACCATGCCACGCTCAAAATCGCTTAAATCACCTTTCTTTCCCATTCTGACATTCAGTTTGGAGTTCAGGAGATTGTCTTGACCAGGACCACACCCCTAAATGCAGTGAAGCAACTGCCATGTGATTGGTTGTTTAGATAATTGCATAAATGAGAAATTGAACAGGGGTTCCTAATAATCCTTTAGGTGAGTGTACATTACTGCTTTGCGTATTTCAAGATTCATAGATATTTATGATTTTCCAAGTTCTCACCTGACAGCCCAGCAGATCTTTAGTGTAGTAATTGTGAGGCATGATGTACTCCACAACCACTACCAGACACCAGAAGGCATCTTCCTCATCCTGCAGTACCAGCAGAGCAATGGCCGCCAGTCTGAACACAGTGACATAGATACTGGTATTATTTACCTTTCTTTTTGCATATAGGTGTCATAACCTAGCCCTAATATGATGAGCCCATAAGGTGCCCTCTTCAGCAAGTTGTTGATCAACAAATGACCACTAGATGTCAGTATATCACATGACATGGTCAATATAAGGTCAGCATGATGTTAGTCATAGCTAGTTGGCACTCGGTGTTCAGCATGGCAGACAAGACAACAAACGTGGTGGTAAAGGGGTGTACTCAGTTATGACATTAAATGTAAAATTAAGCATGTTAAAAAAAACCTTTTTTATAAATTAATAGACATTTTTAAAGAGTCACTAAACACTAAACCAACTTTTTTTAGTTAATGATCTGTAAGAACGGATCTTTATTAAAACCAGTCATTGATTCGAGTAACTTTTTTGACATTTGTGTATAAAGTGTTTTATTTCTACAATATATGGTGTAAAAACGTCTTAGTGCTGCCCTCTTCAGGTTAAAGGTGGCTACTGCAGTTAAATTTTCCTATTGGATGTTCCGCACTTCGTGACGTATGCAGGTTTCAGCTCACCACGCGAGCTAAGTCCTTGGCAGTATAAAAACCAGGAATTGGAATTGCGAGTATTGAAAACGATCAGGATAGAGTGTTTTAGCATCTATTTCGTCCCCTCTATCTCCGCTGGGGTCTGCCCACTTTTTCAGCATTTTCAAATATTGCCAGTGGGTGGAGTCAGGCTCTGACCAGGGGTTTAGTTACCCTTAAAGTAAATCTGGCACTTTTTGGTTTGGTAACGTGTTATTCATAATTACATTTTTTATTTTATTTTAGGTGTAGTGGCCAATATTACGCTAAAAAGATATTGTGAGTACCACAAAAATCAAAGCCATTTATCTCTTTATCATGTCTATTGTGGCTCTGCATCAATTACCAGTTGTCAATTACCTGTTGAGTCCCTGCACATAGCCGATGGTGGGGTTTTGCCATGAGAACGCTTGCAGAACTCTCTCCAGCTTCTGAATCAAGGGGCTCGAAGGAGGGGAAAAGTATTGATTGGTGGTCAACGTACGATCCAGGTCCAGCTGGATCTGTCTGGGCACCAGGTGAGGCGAGGTTCTGCTCTTCTCGCACAGCTCCTGATAGCGGTCGGGATGACGCTCTCTTAACGTCTTGGTTCTAGTCTGTATCATAAAACGCCAAACCCTCACGCGGTACTCGCGTGGCAAGCCTGTCCGGAGTAGACCCTTCAATTCTGTTGACGAAGAGAGTTCAGCTTCAGGACGTCCGAACAGGAGCTGAGCGCAACGAGCCAACAGCGGCCCATCGCATTCCTCGTGATTCAGCAGGTTTTGGGATCGGATCTCCAGGGCCTGGATCTTAGCAAGGAGCTTCAGGTCCTCAACTTTGTAGTCTACTGCGATCTTAAATCCATATTCATCGTACTCACTGTAGAATGTTGGGAATTGTGAATTTTTTTCCAACATAAACAGAACTTTGACAAACATTTAGATGGCAATATCTGTTCATGCTAATTAGAGCCAGACCGATATATCGGCCAGCCGATATTATCGGCCGATATTAGGCATTTTCCATAATATCGGTATCGGCAGTTATAATGGCCGATAAATTAATATTTATAAAATAAAATAAAAATGGACGAAACACGCTTCAATCATCTCTCCTTGGCCTGTAATATTGAAAATGTATGTTTTACAATTTCCAGTATGTTATCTATTGCTAAATTATGGCTCATCATAGACTAGCTAACGACAAAGCTAGCTAATGCCACTATCATCAGTGGAAGACCGCCAACGTTAACATTAATGAGCTTGGAAACCACAATGAACTTTTTCTGCCTAAATAAAGTAATGATTACCGTATTTATAACTAGCATATCTCTAGTTACAGTCCCTGCATTGTAAAATGTAAGTTATACTTGTGAGGAGTGAACATTTAGACACAGAGAAAAAGCATCAAACGTATCTTGTGCAGAAAAGTTAGCTTTTCTTTTGCACATGTGTGAAATCCACTAATATTTAATAAAAAAAATATATCGGCCGATATATCGGAATTTCGGATTTTGAAACACAAAAATATTTGTATCGGTATCGGCCTTCAAAATCCTTAATCGGTCGGGCTCTAATGCTAATACAAGTTATTTAATTGAAGATCTACATTCTTCTTCGACTTTCTTTTAACATCGGCCTTATCTAAGCAACAACTGATCTATTTCTTTATAAATCTCAGTATGAGTCATTTATTTTATACAGCCATCCATGTCTGGAATGGTTTACAATTCCAAGTGTGAATGAGAATTGAGAGCTCCAAAGAAGATAAGAACAGGTGAACTGATGGGACTGTGTGTACCTGATGGGGTTTATTTTGATGGCTGCGTTCAGGTCTGCCTGAACTGCATCTTTAAGCACCTTCTTGATTGCTTCCCTCAGCTCCGGATTCAATTCCTCACTCTCCTGGAGTTTCTGGAGGATTCCCAAATATCTGCTTTCCATCTGACAGTTATTGGCCTCTAAAACAGCACACTGACACACACATAGTAAAGCTTCAGTAAATGTGGTTTCAAACACTTTTTAAGTGACATTTACCCAACAATCATGCCATTAGATTCATATTCTAAAAATGGAATTTCCCTTAAAGTTGTATAAGCACACTAACTTTCAAAACTCAAATCGCTCAGTTCATAAAGACATTTTCAGTGTTCAGATGAAGAGATTAGCCAAGAAGAACAAAGTGTAATGACGTCTTTAAAGTACAGCAGGAAGAAAATATGCCTGTTTTGGTGCAAGAAAAAAATTCACCTTTACTATCAGACTTTGCTCCTGTTCTGAACTTTTTCTCCAAAGAGTCGTCAGCTGGTAGATCTCAGAGTTTAGGTACTGGTTCTGGGTTTTATATGCTTTCAAATCATCCTGAAATAGAGATATGATAATGATTCTGTTTACAGTAGAGCTGTGCTTGGCACAACCATTTCAGAATCGGACAAACTATTCATAAATAATGAGTATTATATAGACCATTTTGCAAGATGAAAACAACACTGGTCCAGAAACACTTCCTGTTTCAGTTTGTAACTGTTTTCTTTATTTCACATGTAAAGAAAACATCCTAAAGATGTTATTTAACTTTTTGATTCAGTTTTACATGTTCTGTTGGTTGTATTTTATCCCAGCTTTTATGTAGTGTTAAAAAACTGAAACAGGAAGTGCTTCTGGACCAGTGTTGTTTACATCTTGCAAAATGGTCTATATACTACTATCATGGCAAAGCCATATTTTCAACATCATTACTCCAGTTTTCAGTGTCACATGACCCTTAATAAATCATTCTTATATGATTCTTTGATGAATATAATGTAAAAAACAAACAAAACAAAATAGATTTTTTTTTGTATCAATGTCAATCCTGTCACTGAATGCATCCTTGCTAAATCAAAGTATTAATTTATTCAAAAATAAAAATAATCTGACAGACCTCAAAAATTTAGTAGTCATGATTGCAAGAAACCAAGATATTTTTGTCTTGTTTTTTTTTTTTCAAGAATATTTGATAAATAGAAAGGTCAAAAAAGAAAGCTTTGTTACAAATGTCTATATATATATACTGTATTGTAAAAAGTTTATTTTCTCACTTTCAAATGCATATTCTCCAGTGTAAGCTGTTTGAAGGTCTCCGTTTCCAGCCCATTGGTGCAATGCTGGTCTTCCCCACAGGCTGCTAACTTCTCAGATAGTTTCAATATCACTTCCTGTTTGGCCTGGTTCTTGTGCATCAGGAGCTGGACACTCTCTTGGAGTTCAGCGACATGAGAGTCCCTCTGGTTCAGATCCCTCCGTAGGTTCTCGTTCTCCTGCTGCAGGGACTCCAGATGGTCTCTCAGTTTGGCTGCCCGCCGTTCACCGTGTCTGAGGAGCTCCAAGCGTTCCTGCTCTCCCTCCGCAGCTAGAAACTGAGCACAGGTTCGTTTCTCCAGCTGAGCATCTTCCAGCACTTTATGTAACAGCAACACCAACTCCTGACAAATGATATGATACATATGCAGCTTTTAGTAGATTATATGAGTGATAAATAATCCAGCAGGAAGATGAAGGTGAAGTGGTGGTTAATGTCCTCACTTTACCTTCTGTGCTTTGACCTCTTCAGCCAGGGAAAGTTTTTCATGTTGAAGTTGAGATCTGTCTAGCTCTAGAGGTTGGAACTTTTCTTTCCAACTCTTCCTGTTTTGTGACACTGTGGATGGATTATTTTTGTGCAGGTCCACACACCTGGCGTTTGAAGGGGATTCTGGGGTTTGAGAAGATCTGGGTGTGGGAACTGATAAAGCTGAGGAGGAAGGTGGGCATGAACATTTAAAACGTTTGTTTATTTTTTTTTTCTGGCGAGAAAGTAGTAGCGCTTACTGTGTGTCTTAGATGAGGGTGTTTTTTGGTTGTCATTTGGGTCGTCAATATGGAAAACGCTTTGTCTAATTTCCTGTGATTGCCGGTTACGGAAACTGTGCATTGTGTTCCTGTAAATCAAACACAGATACACGTCTGAAGAAATAACTCACAATAATAATCACTTTTTTTTTTTTTAAAGAAAAAGGCCAGTGTAAACATTGCAACATGAAGCTGAACATGTTGTGGATGGTTGCCAGGGCATTGTTATGTGGTTGCTAAGGTGCTCTAAGTCGTTACAAGAATGTCATTAGGTAGTTGTTAGAGTGTTCTGGGTGGTTGTTTACTGGATCAAATTAACAGAGCCCACTCGAGTCCCTCCAATTTCAGTCTGAAGGGTTTCATTGCCAATTGAATCAACCATCTGGTGAAATCTGTAAGTCAAATCACTTAAAAAAAGTAAAAGCAAAAACCTCATGATTTGGATCATGTCCATAGCACAGTAGCAGGACAAGTTGTGCTGAAGTTTAGTATTGATAACTGAAACTAACCAATCATAAGTATGAGCAATAGTAAAAGATTGCCTAATAATTAACATCTTCCTTTGTGTGTAGGCTATGTAATCTATTTAATGTTTGACATTGCAGATGATGACGAAACAATGTTAGTCATGATGTGTTTTATTCAGAAAAAGAAGCAACTTACCACATCCTTATTGAGACAGACGTGAAACTACAATTACTTCCTAATCTTATATTAGATAGACTATACTTTGCATTGCCTTCATAATTCAGAAACCAAACAAGCAGAGATTGACAACACAACTTCCTTACTTGAGTGAAAGTATAGATACTACTGGTCAAATATTACTTCGTTACAAGTAAAAGTTGTAAAGACTGATTTTTACTTCAGTAAAAGTGCAGAAGTGCTTGTTTTAGAAGTACTTAAGTATTAAAAGTAAATGTCAATGCATTGTTTTATTATTGTATAATACTTGCAGTACCTTATGCCTCTGAATCTATGCCTGCCTAGTGCCTACCCTCATATCAATATCACATTTATTTCTAGAACACAGTTCCAGTAGTCGGATTGAATGTGAGATTGGATAAGTGCACTCAATAACGTCCACCATAGTTTCGGACACACAAAGTTTCTGATCTTATTAAGATCATCTTAATATGATTTTGGGTTCAGATACTCAAAAAGAGTACAGCACTCAAGTAAAGTACTTTGTTACTGTCCACCTCTGCAAACAAGCCAATTTTCTTGGTTTATTTTGTATCTTATTTTTTTTTTAACTTAATAAGTCAAGTCAAGTCAAATATATGAATATATTATGTTTATGAACCCCTCATACAAGTGACAGCTTGTTCACAGTCATGCATATAACATGTCAGGAAGTATATGTGTGTGACAGAGTAATGATAACTTCCCTAAAATAATAATTCTAGAGAAATTTAGATAACACCTCTTTTTTGGAATGTATGATGTATTTTTCATTTTACCCAAAAGATATGCCATGATGTCAGTGTCCATTTTGTGAATTTTTTTAGACCAGACAGAGAAAACATAATAAGTAAGCCTACATGTACTCACTGCAGCTCAATTAGCGGATGTTTGATTGACATATTGAGGGGGTTGTTTAATCCTGGTGCGGGCAGACTGGCAGCTTCTTCACCCACCAGGCCTGAAGGAGTCTTCACCATCGGCAAGAAGTTAGCTGTTTAGAATAAAGCAGAAAGATTGTTCAACAAACCCATTGAGTTAAATACATCTGATAGTCCAGTATTACAAGGTGCTTTAGATAATGAAACTTACTTGTTTCTATTTTTGTCATGTTTTCGCAAGAAGAAATCACATGCTCACCAAGGATGCATTTATTTGATCAAATAATTTTGTGAAATATTATTGAAATCTAAAACAACTGTTTCCTATTTAAATATGTTTTAAAATATAATTTATTCCTTTGATGCAAAGCTGAATTTTCAGCATCATTACTCAGTATTACATGATCCTTAAACATGATCAACTGTTGAAAACTGTGATATTCTGCTCTTTCTTGCTCCACCTAGTTCTTTTCTAATGACACAGCCACACAATGTTGTACATTTATCACAGGGTGAGGTACATGTATCAGCATGCCTGAAATTCCTGATAATAGCAGAAGTGTTGTTTAAAAGATCCATATGCTAACCATAGCTAGCACAGAATAAAACTACAAACAAATCTTATTTTGGTCTCTAAGAACACTTTCATGTTATATTTGGCTGGTAGTGCTATATTTTGCATTTTCCATGGATTCAGCTGCTCAGACATTCACTTCCTCATTTCCTGCATTTGACTCTCATCCCACAGCTGTTTCCTAATGCGTAGATAACAGAGCTTGTGGTTGGAAGGGGGTGTCTGTGTAAAAGGAATGAAAGTGCTTTTAGCACAATGATGACAAGCCCAACCCTACTTGTATTCCTGGAAATGATGCATTTAAGCATTGTAAATTAGAAGAGACGGGGATAAGAAAAGAAGAGAGCAATTTGCAATATTAATAAGTCATATACTGTAGCAGATACACTCTCAAAAAAAAAGGTACAAAAGCTGTCACTGGGGGTGTACCTTTTCAAAAGGGACACTTTTGTACCCAAAGGCTGCATATTGGTACCTTAGTGGTACATATTAGCACCTGAAATGTACATATTAGCACATAAAATGTACATATTAACACCTAAAATGTCCATATTAACACCTAAAATGTACATATTAGTAGCTAAATATACATTTTAGCACCTAAAATGTACATATTAACACTTAAAATGTACATATTAACACTTAAAATGTACATATTAGCACCTTAAATGTACATATTAACACCTAAAATGTACATATTAGCACCTTAAATGTACATATTAACACCTAAAATGTACTTATTAACATATAAAATGTACATATTATCACCTAAAATGGACAAAAGTTTACCTTTTGAAAAGGTACAACCCCAGTGACAGCTTTTGTACCTTTTTTTTCTGAGAGTGTATACATTTTAAAGCAATTTTATATCAAATTACTGCAGCCACACTTCTACTGTAAATCCCAAAAGGTTTCTGTGCCTTTCTGTTTAAATTAAATGTCAGACTATAACATATTTTTGGATTAATTTATATGTCAGTACACTACATAGTAGTTAAAGACACGTAATGTAAAGCTAGACCATGTTTTGAATGAACTTTTGTTTTTATACTTTCAGTTTTCATTTTAACTGTGCCTTTAGAATATATTTGTTGTGTGCTAATTTGCATGTGAATATGTTATAAGTTCATCACGGGGATTTTCACACAGCTCTATATTTTTGTAACTCAAGATGTACTAATGTTTCTGGTAATACTTTATAATAAGTATTTACTTCTATATTTGTGTCCTGAATTACTGATCTGTGAGAGCAAAGAAATAGAAAAAGTTTCTCTCGCAGATGAGAGTGGATAATGGTTTTTAGCTAAGTCATTTAAATGTCTCCTCTTAGGTTAAGTGTACAGGGAAACTGAGCTCAGCAGTCATTTTGTGTTCAGTCCACTTCAAACCCCAGATTATCAGTTAAGTGCTATGAAGCACTGATATTGGCCGCAAACCACAGTATGTTGCATAGCTGTTCTTCAACTTAGTGAATAAGATGGATATCAACATCCATCCCACCCTTTTCCAGAATTACTAAATGTTTAGATCTTGCAGATGACTAACATTTCCTTTCCAGTCACACCCTCTTGCTGTGATTTGCCAGACAACACATGCACAAACATAGCTGGAGACTGTATGTGCTGGTTAGCATTCTACAAATAAGCCCCTTGGGCTAATGATGACTAAACTAAAACAATGCAACCTGCTGAGTAACGTGCTATCTGATTGGTCTCTTTCAGCTGCCCCCTTCCTGCTAATCTTGTGCTTTCCTCCCTCTATCCTTGCTTTTCCTTTCTCCGTCTCTGGCCTGTGCTCATGCTCAGAGCCTATGGTTTAGTAACATTGTTTAGTAACAATTGGGATGTTATCTTGAACACCAAATGTAGGTAGCAAATAGTAACATACGTATATAAACTCAGATTATCATCTGAATGAAGGATTTTATAATAGTTTGAAGGTTAAGAAACTCCTCTTTCAATTAAAACAGTCAGTTAAAACATTCTGGAATAATCCTCAAGTTCTGACTGGGCTGATCTTTCCCTTTCTATTAACTTATTATCACATGACTAGCCAAATAATTAGACTTTCCTTTTAAACCAAGTAAATTCCCCCTCAGATCATATTTCATAAACAGTGTAATTTCCAAGGTGCAGTAACTGCTATTTAAATAACTGTTTTCAAATGAGAAATGCTAGGTTTCGTATGGTCTTCCTCTTACCAGGGCAGTTTGCTGATGGTGTGCTTTCCACAGTTAGGTTGTCTGGTCTTGGCATGGACTGATGTTCAGCATGCTTCTCCCTGAATAGGGCACGTTTCAACTGCAGCTGTTGCAACCAGTACATCTGGGTATCCCTGTTAGCTGCCTGAAAACAGAATGATGTTTGAAGACACATGGTTTAGGCTGGTTGCATAAACCTCTAAGGCTAGTCTTACGAGTAACACATTTTTTTCAAAACTTTTCATAGCTTTTTTAAATCAGTTAAATTAGCCTAATTTGTTACCGAAAACCAAGATCAACTGCCCTACTTAGTCGGTCACATTAGAACTTAAAGGAATAGTTAACTTTGAAATGAATTTTTGGTGTGTTTTAGCTTACCTCAAGGGCATCCAAGATGTAGTAGGTGTCTTTGTTTCGGCAGTGGTTTCAATTTTGATATTTTTAGGTCAAACCGTTCTTGTCTATCAGTCATATAATGAAGGTCTATGGTCACCACCTCAAAGAGCATGCAAAGAGAAGTCCAAATTAAACATGATTTAATGACTCGTAAATGTAAGTAGGCCTACACATTGATGGCCTAAGACACGAAACGAGCGGTTTGTGTGAGAAAATAAACAGTATTTATATAGTTTTTATCTCTTGTAACCACAGCCACATCCAAGTGATCTGAGGGCAGGGGCGCTTTATGACTGTGGTAACGAGGTAAAAACGATATAAATACTGTTCGTTTTCTCACACAAACCGCTCGTTTCGTGTCTTAGGCCATCAATGTTTACTTACATTTACGAGTCATTAAATCATGTTTAATTTTAACTTCTGTGTGTGTTCTTTGAGGTGGTGACCATAGACCTTCATTATATGACTGATAGACAAGAACGGTTTGACCTGAAAATAACAAAATTGAAACTACTGCGGAAACAAAGAAACCTACATCTTGGATGCCCTTGAGGTAAGCTAAAATATCAAAAATTCATTTCAAAGTGAACTATCCCTTTAAGACACTGTCTTAACATAATGGCTGTGTTTTCTAAAGCATTGTTGTCTTACTCAAAATGCTCGTCGGTTATTCCTCCACACTTAACCCTATGTTAAATAATGAAATGAGGAGGAGGGAAGTCCCTTTATAGAAGTACCACATTATTCAATATACTGGAAGGCCATGTTTTAAACATTAAAAAATGTAAAAAATTTTTTTTTTTTTTTAAATCTGTTCAAAACACACTTTATCAAGATATGTACAGCAAGCAGCCTTTTCTCTCTGACCTAATTTCAGCTCGGTTGATACTCAAGAATGTGATGTGTAAGGCCTGTCTGACTCTACTGATAACAACAACAAGCTTTTGGAGAAATAAAGAAACGGAAAGTATATATAATAAATAATATAATAAGTAAGGCTTTATATTCATCCCTCATTTATACATCTGAAGCTTGTTTTCTGAACAGCAACTGACCTTTGGAATCTCAAATGTTTTAAATCATGAACTGTCTTAAGGCAATGGTTTCACTTTTTGTTTCTTATTTTTTCTCTCCTTTCGTTTTAGTCCAATATATCTTTTATGAACATTCCCAGGTCCTTAACCTAATAACATTTCATATTTAACAGAAGATAGAACACATGAAAGGCATTGAAGTTTATTCATTATTTTCACAACCACATATTCCCTCCAATTTCATATTCTTTCCCCCCTGTATAGTTGCCATGTTCTTCTCATTGATTACCACCCAATCCTAAACAACTCGTCCCCCTTTTTTTCTTAAAAAATCACAGTTTATGGAAGCCTGTTATTTCAAACCAAACCATGTGATAACATTACCTTGAGAATGAAAGTGCGCTCTGGTGTCTGTATATGAAAGGTTCCCTCCTCTCCCTGCAACGGGTAACTGAACGTGGCCCGAGACAGATCCACCTTACCCAGAGGATTGATATCCTGTGCCATGCGGTAGTAAAACAGCTGACAGCTTTTCTCCTCATAGGCAAACCAGCGGGACTTCCAGGCTTTGAGAGGTCCACCCTGCTTGTTGAGGTAGCCACATAGCTTACTGCCAGACTGAACGTGTGCCCTTCTGAAGGTGGCAGAGGTCCCATCAGGCTGAGCAGCATGGATATCGGTGACCTCTTTAGCCTGAGCCCCATCTGACTGACCCAAACTCTGCTGTTGGTTCTCCTCAGCGCCGACACACTCACCCACAAGAGATACGTGCATGTCTGGTGGTGGAGGTAGAGTGCTGGAGCTTCCCGTGCTCTCCATCTGCTTTTCTCAACAAAGTAAATAAGTGCATGAGCATAGTCACACCAGGAGAATATGATCAAATAGAGCTTCAGTAAAATATATGCATACTATAACACACTGAACCAGCGATAGGTTCGGTCCTAGAGAGCCGCTGGCAGAGTTTGGCTCCAACCCTGAACAAAGCCCTCACCTGCGTATAGCCTTAGTGATCCTGAAGACATCGATTTGCTTGTTCAGGTGCTCTCACAGCGGCTCTCTAGGACCGAACTTGCCTAGCCCTGCACTAAATGAACAATTAGGGTAAGATGTCCGCTTAAGAACAAAGTGCATTTACTATTAAGTTAAACATCCACCTATATTTTATTAAGGGAAATAAATAGAAACATGTGCTAATTTAGTAAGAGCACAAAATGTAAAATGATTCTTTTATTATTATATCTAGCCCATCTGTTGTCATTTATAGATTTGTATTAATAGAGATTTTCATTTGAAAGGTAACTTAATTCTATGACATGCATATGTTTAATTGCCAATATTATCATTGAAGATGTCATAATAGCAACACTGAATTCAAATCGAATTTAATTCACTTATTACCTTAGTCTGTAGTCTATAAGTGTTAATGAATTGCAAAGATGTCTGAAATGTGCATCGGATCCAAGGATGTAATTTTGAAATAATAACAACCACATTAATTGAAATTTTTTTTTTTTACTACAAAATAAAAATATTTTCTCCATATATCTAAAAACATGAAAACATGTGTCAACGAATCCCTAATTAATACATAGACACAAAAAAACTTTGATATTCAACATAATGCAATATCACAGATCACTGTCTATATCCCACAGACAAAACCATTTGAGCAATTCTAACGTAAAACTGTTTTGACTCAATTTTTCTATGTATGGTCAAGGGAAAATATTAATGCAGGAGGTCATCTTCGGACATCTTACCCCATCTTATCTTACTTCGAAATAATAATACGTTTAAAAAAAGAGAAATGTTCGTCATACAAAATAAGTTTCAAATACACAATACACACAGCTAAGTAATTTCAATTTCAACCTAAACAGATTTCACATTTAAATATTATCAGCATTTGTCTAGGTAATTCTATAAAGTAAACTGCCTATATTATAATTTATATAATTTATTAACAAACATTATGGTTCATATTATGAGTAAATCATGATTCATATAGAAAATATGGGATCAAATTTCAAGCTGCATGACATTTTAAAAAACAAACAAATATGTTAATGTACATTAATAAACTGTTAAACAGTATATAATGTAGGCTATGCTTATGTTAATAATTAAACAATACATAAAAATGGTAACTCATGGTGTCAATGCTGAAGTAACGTGAATTGTGAAAAGTTTCACGCGCGCATAGTTCGCGCTGTCAGTTGGAATAAATAAACTGAAACAAAACACACAAACATAACCCAGCAAATGATAATAATCACAAAACCTACCTTGTTTTTAAAAGGCTTAAAATGTTCTTTAGTCCATGTGTTTGTCCAGGGCGCGTCTATATGGCAGTATCATATTTCTCACAGAGAGTTCCAGCCTTTTCTTACAGTCTATGGTTCCAGCATGAAGGAGATCAGGAAATGTCAGTCACACATCAGGATTATCATGTAAATGTGTCTCGCGGACTTTTGGCAGGCGTGTCGTCATGAGGCATCGCCTTTATGCACTGATTTGAAGCACTGTTCCCCAGAGACTATTTATATAGCCTATATACTTTGCTGTTCCTTTCAAGCTGGTTTCAAACTCAGGAACTTATGAACTGTTAGTCAGGGTTATTTTGATTAGGCCTAAGCCATATAATGATATGGGAGAATGACCTGTGATAAAATAAAATACTATATATCATTTGTATTTTATTCTTAACGATGTCCGTCCGAATTCGACTCGTAAACGAATCTTTGCTCGGTTTGGTTCGAACCGGTCGATCAAAAGATCCGATCTGATCCACCACAACCGGTCGAACCGGTCCACAAAACGGCCTTTTCAATAATTAATATCCAGCTAATCAACCAATAAGTGAGCTCATCGTAAGATCATTTATATTTACCCTTTGAATGAATGACAGTTTTACCAATATTTATTTACAAACACACACATGATGCAATACGTTTGCAGTCAAAATAAATAAATTAATTTTAGTATTGTTTAATAATGTAAATGGGAATTGTATAATTTACTAAGAGTAGCCATTGCTTCAACACTAAATCGAATAGCTGGATTGTTTTTTTAAACGATTCTTTGAAGAGCACAGTTCAAAAGAACCGATTCAAGGAAATGAACATGACATCTGGCAGTTTCCTCCACGCCGCTAGGGCGCACATTTGTTCATATGTCTGCTCAAAGCGACATTTTTTCTACGATGTCAGAGTATAGACAACAACGTGCGTGTGTTGTGAATTAATATTCCACAAATGATAATTTACCTCACATACAAAGAATAGAAAACACAGCAAGGTAGGTGTAACGTTAAATTATTTTAGATATACGCTGACTTGATTGTGTTCCATGATAAAGACAGACGTTTACTTGACATTTTAGAGTCCTAAATAAGAGCTAGTGGATAAATAAGAGCTTGTTGTCTAATTAAACATATCTATGTTATCCAATTTAGTGGCACTCTTCTGAGAAGTTATGAAACAACCATATTACCTTGTATTTGCGCCATGGCAATAACGTGTTCTTAGACATATCATGTTTGTTTTTTACCCGTCGAGTTACCTTGTAAATACCATGATGCAAGAATATAGTAACCACTTGCCATGGTATGCACTACCAGTCAAAAGTTTGGACAGAATTTATTTTGTTAGTAAAGGGAAGTGAGCAACCAATCTCTAGCATGAATGTGTGTTTAAGAGCATACCAGGATGCATGTCATGAAGTTTAAGTGGAGACAGTGTATTTTCCACTATGTCATGCTACAACATTTCTTGTTATCAAAATAAATTAATCAGTAATACAAAAAATTAACTATTGTTTCAGATCTCATCTTGTTGAAAGCATCCATCCAGAATGAGAAACCTCAGCCTGCTGCAGCGCTTCAGATGTGTGGATCTTCCTATCCCGGGATCCCCGCAGTGTTTCACCATCAGAAGCGAGGATGGAACAGTGCTTGTGGCCTCCGAACTTGCCATCACAGAGTACGACCCACGGACTGGAGAGGTACTTCTAGATTAAATTTAAGTTTCCATATGGGTTCAAATCTGACTTAGTGTCTAGTACCAAATAGCTATACATTAATCTTGCTGTATAATGTGCTTTCATAGGTTTATAAAGAGGTTTCATTGACGACAGATGACTATCTCCCAGAGGATGGTGGTGGGCTTGTGGTGGGAATACAAGATCTGCCAGATCAGGAGTCAGTGTGTGTGGCCTCTGCCAGTGGTGATGTCATTCTCTACAACCTCAACACCAGTCAGGTGATCATTCATTTGATCTAAATGCTCTTACATTAAAAACATTTTGTTATGCTCTAACTGTGCTTTAATAATTTCTCTCTCACAGTTGGAGTGTGTTGGCAGTGTGGACAGTGGTCTAACCGGTATGACTTGGAGCCCAGACCAGGAGTTGGTGACTCTGACCACAGGTCTTTATCTCTAGCAATGTTATTTTAGAGTCATTGAAATACACTATGGTTTTAGTTAACTATAATAACCCTAGCTCTCATCAAATTTCTGTGCAACTCAATTAGTTCAGTTTAGAAGTGCATAATAATGACATTTTGCATTGTGTCCATTTGTGTCTTATATGGCATACCAGGTCAGGAGACCATTATCATGATGACCAAGGACTTTGAGCCAATAACTGAGGTTGGAATCAATCAGGATGACTTTGGCGAAGGTATAGCTAAAATAAGTTTTCATTTAGCGCTCAATATCATTAGGATTGGGTATCATTTCAATGTTAACAACCCCAATTCCGATATTTCTTATCGATTCCTAATTTTGACAAAAAGAAAGAATCAAAAAAATTTGGATTTATTTCACATTTATTCTAACATTTTATTGTAGCTGAATACCATGAACATCAATAGGCTATAAAACACTTACACAAGCAACTTTTGCCTATGGTTTAAAAATACCATAGCAAAAACAACTAGCCTAACTAATTAAATGTCAAGCATTATTAAAGACAAGTAAAATTCAACTGATCAAAGATACCATTAAAATAAACAGTGTTTTAAGATTATTCAGAGATTCAGGTACAGAAAAATGTAAAATAACACTGCAGTTAATAAAAAATAAATAAATAATACATTTAATATATATCTACAAAAATGATTCAATCAAGAATAGCGAGTGAATTCTCTTTTTTCTTTAGTTGTTTGATAAGCGTTATTATAGAGACTGCAGTAGGAATCTTATGCTGCTTTCACTTTAAGAGCTGTGTAGATCCAATATAGTTACACATGTGTTTTCTTTGTCAACTGTTTACATTCACTTAAGACATAACTGACTATGTTAACATGTGAAAGTTCACAACAGCGTGTGATGTTCTTGCACATTATAATCACTTTTTTGTGTGTGCACTTTGGATTAGTGTGCTGCACAGAAAACAGTGCACGGGTCTTCTTGCGTCTGAATTATTACAAATCATTAAAATGTACGCAAAGGAATCAATAAGAGGAATCAAAATTTTTATTTTGTAACAAGTATCCAATTCCTGACCTTAAAGGAGTAGTTCACTTTAAAAAAAACTTTTGCTGATAATTACTCACCCCCATGTCATCCAAGATATCCATGTCATTCTTTCTTCAGTCGAAAAGAAATTAAGGTTTTTGATGAAAACATTCCAGGATTTTTGTCCATATAATGGACTTTACTGGTAACCAAATGGTTCAAGGTCCAAAAGACAGTTTCAGTACAAACTGTTCAAGGGCTTTTAACGATTTCAGATGATGAATAAGAGTCTTATCAAGTGAAACATAAAAAAAAAAAAATTCTTGTCATTTGGTCAAATGAACTAATTGACTCGAATAAAGATTCGTTCATTTTGATGAATGAGTTCGAACGCGCATCACAGAACAGAGCAAGGCCACCATTTGAGCTTATAAAACTTAAACTTTGTTATTTTTTTTTTTAAATGAGCGATCGTTTCGCTTGATAAGACCCTTATTCATCGTCTGGTGTCGTTTAAAGCCCTTTGAACAGTTTGCAGTTTGCACTGAAAGTGTCTTTAGAACCTTGAACCGTTTGGTTCCCATTGAAGTCCATAATATGGAGAAAATCCTGGAATGTTTTCATCAAAAACCTTAATTTCTTTTCGACTGAAGAAAGAAGACATGGACATCTTGGATGACATGTGGGTGAGTAAATTATCAGCAAAAGTTTTTTAAAAATGTGAACTACTCCTTTATATATCCAATTTTAGAATTGGAATCGATTTTTGATTCCCAAATGTAAATATCATGCTTTCATGCAGCTGACTTGTGTTCACTGCATATGAGCAGATATAGTGCCTGATTGGTTATTTTGCTTCTGTGCATCAGATAAGTTCATCACAGTTGGTTGGGGCAAGAAGGAGACTCAGTTTCATGGCTCTGAGGGCAAGCAGGCTGCCCAACGGAAAGCAGCAGTAAGTTTTGCTCTGTTTAGTATTGTTCTGCTTTACCAAACCAACCCACTGCAGCCAGCAAGTATGATACCGAGCAGAGGAGACTATTGGCATTTTGACCTGGTTTGAATATGATCCTCCTTCTCACCTAGTTCTGATCCACTTTCACAGGAAGTGCAGCCTGCCCTGCCATGGGACGACAGGAAGCCAAGGGTCACTTGGCGAGGCGATGGGCAGTTCTTTGCTGTCAGTGCTGTTTGTCCCAAGGCTGGTGAGAATTTCCCTTTTTTATGGATCTTGTTACATAAAAAAGTTTGTGACTGTTAAAATATAGCTGCATTTTTGTTTCAGGCGCTCGAAAGGTTCGTATATGGAACCGAGAATGTGTCCTGCAGGCCACCAGCGAGGTCGTTAACGGTCTGGAGCACCCTCTCTGCTGGAAGTAAGACATCCTGAACGTCTTTTAACTTTTCAAACTATTTAGAGAAAGGGAAATTATGCCCTTTTAGCCATCATTTCCGATTCTCTCTGCCCTATCATTATCAATTAAAGTGCTAATATTGAATTGTATTTTTCTTGTAGACCCTCTGGCAGCCTGATCGCTTCCACACAGCGACACCCTAACAAACACAGTGTGGTGTTTATGGAAAAGAACGGACTGATGCATGGAGATTTCACACTGCCTTTTGGAAAGGACCAGGTCAAGGTAGATATTAACTCCTCTAGTGTTGTCAAAAGTACCGACTTTGGCACCAAGTCGGTACTGAGATGTTAAAAATTTGATGATACCAGCATTTCCCTCTAGCATTTTGAGCGTTGTTGATGCGTTGTTGTCTTAAACACCTCTGATTGGCCATTGTGTTCACACTCTCAACATACATGTCTCTGATTGGCCACTGAAGTACTAAACTAATTTCCTTTCTACATGATTTTGATTTTTAAAGATTCAAGCTATAAATCATGGGGAATAAATATAAAATGGTCTGTGTTTTTCAGGTGAAGGAGCTGCTGTGGAACAGTGACTCGACTGTACTAGTGGTTTGGATGGAAGACTTGAAGCTTGGAGAGAACAACCATCCCAACACTTACAGTAAGAGGC